CTATAACGTAGACTACAGAATACCAATCAGTGACATAAACGAAGTAATATAAGTAGATACTCACCCTCACACAGCGTAGCGATAAGCAGAAACGCAGTGAGGGTGCTCGACAGACCGTATTCAATATATATAGTCCATCCCGACATAAAGGGGTATCAAGCTTGGCCGGCGGGATACGACGGAGCTCCTGCTTGCTAATCCAACACCAAAGGCCATCTCTCTTCCAGAATTTGCAAGCAATGCTGCGACAGTAATACAGTTAGTGTTGTTTCAATTCGTATATGTGCTGGCTTACGTCTGTTCATAGCGTCCTTTCCAAAGACCTTCAGTGGATGATGGCGAACCTGAGATCTTGACTTGTGATAGGAAGCATTTGATTAATGAGCCCCCTGCGACAATACTTACACGAAGTCCATACATATAGGCTCGCGTTGATGATATCTAGCATTTTTGGCACATACGAGGCTTTCTTAACCCACCTCGGGCTCACCTTGGACTTAGCCCCGTGATGATCACGGGGGTCGTGAATGTGATCGCGATGGCTCGGACAATGAAGGCGACGAACTCCGGAGCTTTTTTCTTTCTTATTAATCCTGCTCAGTTCGTGTCTCACGACGACCGAGGCGAGTTCTGGGTGTGTTTATAATCCTACTTCTCTCCGTGCTACTCAGCTCGGCGGCTCCACTTTTTCCCCTTGCCGCTGGCTCTTCGACCTTTTCCACGAATTCTCCCGATATACGACGTGGCGAGGGTCTTTCCGCCGACTGGCCAAGCTCTTCCTGAGAGTTACTGTCTTTCCATAAACAAACGAATCGAGGTCCGAAGAAACGCAACACATTCGAGACCAAGTCCGACAACGGGTAGTAGACTGACGTCGGTCTCGTCGATTTGTTAGCGAGTGCTCCTAGTGACGTTATAACTATCTCATATACAACTTCATGATGATCCGAGAACGGTCTATCTATTGTCCTTCCTAACCGTGGTTCGGCCTGTGGCCTGCCTCGATCTCTGATGACGACAAGGACCCTGAAGTGGACTTATATAAATCGCCTGTAAAGCTCCACCAGAACCACTGCGTTTTCATTGCACTACCGCATCTGCTCTCTTACGACCTTTATACGACTGAATTATGTCTAATACCTTTGCTATTCACCGAGCCTTAACTTACGCTTGGCTGGTAAGCTAGGGCAGATTATTATAGCACGACGGCCTAACTGAAAACTTTGTTATATCATAGTGGACAGTCGCCGTCATACTTCTGGGACTTACTGGCTACAGAATTCATGTAACGGAAGGCTACGAAGAGAACTTTTATGGTCAGTCGTACCTTGCAAATTGCAATATTATCGCGTTTAGCATTTCTGACGATGTCCAACAGAACCCATCATTGTTGAATTACTAGTTTCTGCCTGCCTGGCTATCATTTGGGCACCCATCGCGTGCGGAGCTTCCTTTCTTCGGATACTTTTGATAATCCTCATTATATGACAGTGGTCACCTCGTCCTCCGGAATCACAGCGCCTCAAAAACCAGCCCCCAATTTCTCTCAGAGATGGCAGGAAACTTTGTTTTATGGGTAATGTGGCTCGTCGGCGCTGTCGACACCACTGTAAGTACATGCCTCTATTCTTGTCGCCTACCTATGCTCAGTGTTCGTCAACAATAGAACCGAATTATCCCCGGAAAGAATTGGTGCGGCCCAGGCAAGCAATGCAGAATCTTGACTGCAATCCTAGCATTCTCCTGGATCGGCTGGTCCTTCTTGACCATCATCGGTGCCATGGGCCTTATGTACTATGCATACTACTCCGCGCAACCTGCACCTGTCAAGGAAAAACCTTCCAGCGCATAAATGGTTTACGACGAACGCGACGACCCGTAACGAAAAGGCACATATGACTCCTCACTTCTCAGATTTATGCTATACTTCTTAAATCGCAGTTGTTATCATAATAGTAGTTTAGTTGTACCCACCCAAAATTCTACCTCTGTTTTCTTCCCTTCCACTGATTGTCGATAAACTCCGTGAGGTCAACGTCATTCTCCCACCGAGAACAACAACGTGTGAAAAGCTCCTAGGTGCCTCCTGAGTCGAGGTGAATCGGAAGTTCAGGTCCCCGAGCCATCATTGCTTTACAGTTATTATGCGGCGTAGGTCGGCTGAGTCACAAAATTATGTATCAAGTTATTCTTCGTCTTGTCAGAGTTACATACAGACTGTCCCTCCTTTCACTGTCCCTTCTTCCATCAATAGATCTGTATCCTACGAGCAAATCGGAGTCCGTGATGATCACAATAACCTTTGTGCGTCTTTCTTGCGCCTGTGTTCCGCATTCATCTAAATACTGGGATACTAGATCAGACATGGCCAGAGTGAGGACAATCCGGTAAGCATTTTGGTCTAGCTCGATACATATACTCAAAAATTGAGGTCAGAGAGGAATATGGGCCGGATGGAAAGATGCACCACTTTCTGAATTGAGCACGTCCATACCTATTTAGCTTAAAGAAATGTTAATTCATCTACCTTTTTCTAGGTGTAAGAGTGGGTGTTCTTCAATATCCGCATGTCCGACGAATAGCAACATAGCGTTCTAGCAAGCAAAGGCCCTGGGTGAACATCTCTCAACCACGAAGATCGATCTCATTTACTCCTCTCCCCTTCTGCGGGCTCGTCAGACTGGGGAAGCCGTGCAAAGCGGCCAGTCCGTCCAGCCCATGCTAATCACAAATCCACATCTACGGGAGCAGCATTGGGGCATCGCAGAAGGGCGCTCATGGAGTAGTCATGATCCCCAGAACATGCCTCTCGAAGAAGCTTTCAATGTTGGCGTATTTACAAGAACAGTTCTTATCGATGGCGACGGGAAGTTTCCTGGAGGAGAAAGTAGGAATGATTTAGCTGCTCGAGCAGATATCGCGGTCAAAGAATGCATCTTGCCGAATCTCACGGAAGAAAATTTTGAGAATGGACTTCATATTGCTTTTACGAGTCATGGTTTGTGTATAGGCCAACTCATTGCCGCTCTATTGCGATACGATGCATCCGCCGACGGGGATATATCCTATGAGGGCTTGGGGAACACCGCATGGACACGAGTGGAGGTTTTTTTGGATGTAAGTCTTCGTTGGAGCATTTTACTATCGCGACTCGACTAGCTTCTTGATAGGCAAATGATGGCCCGGTTGACTTGAGTGTACGCCCTGCGCTTAAGATCAACGTGACACACATAAATGCGAAGGAGCATCTGGAATGTTTAGTATGTCCTCGATGTGACTGTCTTGCGTGTTAAGCTGACCAGGTGAATGACACAGGATCAGCCAGATGTTCTACCTGACGGCAGGAGAGAAAAGGAGACAGCAGAATTCTTGAGCGGGGGAGCAATCATTGCCAAGTACTAGTAGAGCTAAGGGAACGTGGAAAGTAGATCATCTCAAGAGTATCCAATTGTCTATTCTCAAATTATATATGAGAGAAAAATATTTGACGTTATCTGAATGATTGACCGCATAGGCATAAGCTGGTTTCCCTATCCAGAAATCGAAACGAGTACTGATTCTGTGTAATTATAAACCGAGGTTGATATCGATTGATTCGATGGTGGTGGTTGAGAATTGTATTTCCAATTTTGCCAACGTAATATCATGTTTGCACCGCCACCTCGACGCGCGGGGCTCACGTGCAACGCGTTTGCCTTTTGAAATTGAACCACGACATGGGTATCGACCTTCAAGAGGAACTCAAGAATAAGATAACGGAGCACGGCATTGATAACGAACATGATCCTAACAAGGAAGATGTAGAACAACTTCTCGAAGGTTGGTCTTAATCCTCTTTGTATTCCCTTTCCTAAACGACGCCATTCAAGGTGTTGTTGAGGCGGTTGCAGAATCGAGCGATGCGATAACAAATTCAAAAAACTTTGACGTTTACTGCAGTCTACTAAAACACTCGGATGCGGTTCCCGGTGCTGTCATGACCAAACTACTAGACTCTTTAACCTCTGGATTTCAAACCGAAGTTGATGCCACTATAAGAGATGCCGCTACGGAGGACACAGAGGCGATATCAGGGCACAAGGAGGCTCTTGACATGTATGCCTTTCTTCTGCACTGGTTTGTTGCCGCTGCGGAGAATGTCAAGTCGGAGAGTGAGGAAACAGCTCCTGCCTCGAAAGCTAAGCCAAAGAGAGGAAGAGGCGCGAAAGCGGGCAGGACCGGTGGTCGGGCGGCAGCATCGAAGAAGAACATGGAGCAGTGGTCATGGCAGGATCATATACCGAACGCGTTGAAGTTGATTTGCCGGATACTTGAGAAGCTTCCTGCTCAGTATGTGTGGCCGACGAGTATGGAGAGAGAAGCGTTCATCAAGTGTGTTGTTATCTTCCATCTTATAGCATTGTTATTGATTTGGTGTGCCAGATGCATCACACTTCCTGTATACGATATCTCGGTGAATGAGTCGTACATGAAAGTGGCCGACATCAAGAAAGGCGTACAAAGAGCGATCTGCCTGTCAGTCAAGTCGCATGGCCAGGGGTCTACGGCATCCACCAAAATTATGGCAAATCTGTCTTTCCACGAGCATTTGGCGGAACCGATGGCAGAGTGTCTGTCAATTGTCGAGGATGAATACCATCACCCCGAGCTTGCGGACGAAGTCCTTAGGGATATCTCTACCCAGAAGTTCAGCGCCCAGGACACCAAAGGTCCCCGTACTTTTTCCAAATTCCTCGTCAGGTATTCCGAAGTATGCCCCCGTCACACGCTCAAACAAATCAGTCTTCTCCTTGATCAGCTGGACTCTGAGGTATGTTCAAGTCATGTTCTGAAAGACGCGGGCTGACAGTTCAACTTAGGCCTATCCCATGCGCATAGCGATCGTCGAAATTATCGGCAACCTCATTGTGCATCTCGATAGTAATAGCGGTCCTGTAGGCTCCCAAGAGAATACTCAGTCTACGAAGCAGATCAATGGCCTTTACGATTTTCTTATTGAACGTATGCGAGACGTCACGACCTATGTTCGTACGAAAGTCCTATCTGTGTTCACGAGACTTTGCGAACTGAAAAACGTGTATGGGAGATCGCGGCTACATGTCACTAGGATCGCCATCACTGCGTTGGAGGACAAGGCGGCTGCTGTAAGGAAGAATGCAGTGGTGTTGATTGTGAAACTCATCACGACCCATCCTTGGGATCGTATTCACAAAGGGCCTTTGGAAATGTACGTATGGGAGAGAGAGTACGAGGAGCTGTTGGAGAAATGGGCGCCATACCAGGAAAAATTGGATAAGTTCAATCTTGCCGAGCAGCCGTCTCAAGTAGAGGAGGAAGAGGAAGATGACGACGATGACGATGAAGCAGAGGAAGAAGAGGCGGAAGAAGGCCATGAAACGGCTACGAAGCAGTCTAAGAGACAAAACAAGTAAGTCGGATCGTGTCTAACAACATCTGGTGCTAACTCCTGTGACAGAAGAGCTCAAGGAGATGATGAAATGGACGTCGATGAAGATGAGAATGAGAACGATGCCAATGATGATGCTATGTCGGCGGATGGCGATGAGAGTGAATCTCAACCTCGACCTAGCAAGAAGGGTAAATCTAAGAAGGCCTCGAAGGAACCCCATCGTAAACCTCGACAATCTCAGCTGAATCCCGATGCCTTAGAGGCGCTGAGGCTTATGGATGAAAAGGAGGTCAAGGAGTTACGTCTAACGAAAAAGTATTATATTGAAGGTATGGACTTCATGCGGCACATCGAGGACGCCATGGTTGTCTTGTGCCAGTTGCTGGGCTCGACCAATAAACCGGAGGCCTTGGAGGCAATTGGATTCTTCCAGGTTGCCCATCAGTACAAGATGCGGAATGCACAGGTACGTACGTAGCATCTTGCGAGGATCAACAATTCATCTTTGTCGCTAGTGTGGTATCAAGAAGATGTTGCATTTAATTTGGCAGAAAGACAACAGTGTCACGTCGGAGGATGGCAAGGAAATCAAGGGCGTTCGTTCTAGGCTATTGGAGTGCTACCAGACGTTGTACTTCGATCCCATCGACGACTTGGATGCGCGAGGCCAAGTCAGCCGGATAGCTAAGAACATGATCGAGCGCGTTTCTTTACTACTCGTCCTTCACTATGCGTTTTAACTTTTGATTGCAGGCTCACTTATGGCGCTACTCTCGCCGAATTGACGAGTTTGGAGGAAATGATGCGCACGATGATGGCCAACGATCAAATTCCGCCCGAGGTTATCAGCAAGCTGTGGCAAATCTATAGTGCGTTCGTTCTAGTGGAGTGATTTCTCAGCTAACTCTAGCACTTGTTTTCTAGCATCGAACAAGCTTCTTCCCAAGCCTCAGCGACGAGGAGCTATTGTTATCCTCGGAATGCTGGCCTTGGCCAAACACAACATACTGTCAGAACTTGATCACGTTGAAACCATGTTGAAGGTTGGTTTAGGTGCTCTCGGAAAGGTACATCTCACATTAGCTCACTAAACACCTCTGACGTATTTCCTTAGGTCGACCTGACTCTTGCCAGATACACCTGTGTAGCATTGCAGCGGCTGAACGGTAGCGCCAAGAAGGTGAAAGGTGCATGGTTACTCTGTTCTTCCAGCGGGCAAATGCTGATAGCGTGAAGGCTCTCTTGACGACAAGACGATGCGCATCGAGATGGATAGCAATATCTTTCAGAAGCTCAAGCAAGTCGTCCTTCAACCCTGTCGCTCCAAAGACTGGTTCGGGCTGGCCGAACAGGTCATCAACACCGTCTACGCTCTCGGAGAGCATCCTGATGTCTTCTGCAATGACCTCATAAAGCAACTCACTCAGCGTGCTTTCACTTACGGACCTCAAGCTGAGAGTGCTGCGGAGGATAAGGAGAATGATCCAGATGTTATGGACGAGGATCACCCTGGCGATGTATCTCAGGCGGATTCACAAGAACCCAAGGCGACTGATCTGGGCGACGCTTTCCATCTGAGTCAGCTTCTCTTTGTGGTCGGTCATGTCGCGATCAAACATATCGTGTATTTGGAACTTGTCGAGCGAGAAGCTAAGAGACAAAAGGATGAAGCACAAGCCGGTAAGAATAATCTACTTCTTAGGGGACGTGTTGTTCTGACCAGACATGTATAGCGGACAAGAAAGCAACTCAAAATCACACTGCCCGCGGACCTTCTAAAGATGCTGAGGAGCTGGACCAAGTAGCTGGGAATGCGGAGGATGAGATTGGCGAACAGATGCAAGAGATACGAGAGCATGAACTGCTATTTGGCCCAGAATCGCTGCTCGCTGTTTACGGTCCTATGTTAGTGCATATTTGTGGAAGGCCTGATAAGTTTAAGGTCAGTTTTGTCGCCACCTTTCATTAACCCTGCTCTGAGAATATTTGCGCAGAACCCTACCCTCAAAGCCGCTGCGACCCTGTCGTTCAGTAAGTTCCTGTGTGTCAGCTCCCAATTCTGTGATGAGCATCATCTATTGCTATTCAAAATCCTTGAAAAATCCGATAGCGCCAATATCCGGAGCAACATCGCCATTGCACTTGGTGATGTTGCTGTGTCCTTCAGCACTATCATCGACGAGAATAGCAATGAGCTCTACCGGGGACTTTCGGACCCTGATCTTGTGGTGAAGAAGAACACGCTTATGGTTCTTACACACTTGATCTTGAACGGGATGGTCAAGGTGAAGGGACAGCTGGGAGAAATGGCGAAGTGTGTGCAAGATCCGGACGTTCGTATATCCGACCTTGCGAAGTTGTTCTTCAAAGAGTTATCTACGAAGGATAACGCCATCTACAACAATCTGCCGGACGGTAAGTCGTCTGTCATTGTTCCGAAGATCCATGATTACTCAATGCCTACTTTTCTAGTCATCAGCCATCTTTCTTTCGGTGAACACGCGGTTGATGAAGAAATGTTTCACAGCACGATGTCATATATTTTCACCTTCATTGAAAAGGTAGGCGTTCGTCGTCTCGGCGCGGACGAGTGCTGAGCATGCATTTTAGGATAAGCAAACGGAGAATGTCGTGGAGAAATTGTGTCAGCGGTTCCAGCTTTCCGAAGACCCTAGGCAATGGCGGGATATCGCTTACTGCCTATGGCTGCTGAATTACAAGTCGGATCGATCTGTCAAGAAACTCATTGAAGGCCACAGGTTCTATGGAAACAAGCTACATGAACCAGTGGTTTATGAGCGATTTACTGCTATCCTCAACAAAGTAAGGCATCATCCGAACTTGTGAGGTCATGCTAATCACGTCGTGCTGACAGGCTCGTGCGGCTAAGAGCAAGGACAAGCCAGATCATGAACTGGATGAATTTGGCAAGGTAAGACCTTCTGATTAGTTCCTTGAGTGTGCACTTACAAGTTTTGCTTAGCTCCTTGAGGATAGCAAGGAAGCGGGTACAGAAGAACACGATCTTACGAAGCGAACAAAGTCTGCAGTCAAGAAGCGTGCCAAACGTCGTGAGATATCACTTTCTAGTTGTCCGTCGACGAAGTGCTCACGTTTTGCTTTTATAGCCGCAACGCGTTCTACCAGAAAAGTCAAGGTCGAGCAAACTATCGAAGAGGATGATGACGAATGAATGAGATAGATATGGGAAGGATCTATGTATAGCAATAATATTATATGACCACCTCTTGTATCAGTATTGTACTAATACCTTCACCCAGTTGAATAATTCTACTGGAACGAACGTGAGCGTAAACGAGCGATAACAAACGCCAACATGTGAGGTGAGAAAGGAGTGTGTGTGGGTCGACAATAGCGACAGAGAGATAACGAAATATGCAGATGCAAGGGAGTGTGGGTGGCAATAGATACTGTAACGGCATAACGAGTGTCGCAGGGTGAAGGTATTAGACCAAAAGACCAAATAAGAAGTGAAGTAGTACACAAAATGATTATCCGGGGATGTCCGAAAAGAGTCCTCGACTTAATAACAATATTGAGGGGCAATAAAAACTTGTGTGCGTGAGGGTCATGAAATTAGGAGAAAGGAAACACGTTGTGCCGGGTCAAGACTGCGAAATTAAGGCTTAAACAATTCGCCCCCGTCCCCACCCCGAATGATGGCCTTCATAAATGTAAAGAACCGCTCCGCATATTCCGGTGGGGGCACGGGACTGATCTTATGTCGGTCCGCACTCAGGCCCTTCCAAAAATGCTCCAGCTTCTTGACAACGCCATACGGTGTGAGGATATCGATGACGCCGAGGTAGTATATAGTACCCATATTCTCGTTGGTCTCGTCCGTCGCACGTAAGCCGCCTTCGTCTTGGTAAAAGATGAAATGCTGCCGCTCGCCCGTGTCTTCCTCGGGTAGACGTATTGTGCCTTTGCCAAGACGTTTGGGGTCAGACTCGCGCATAGCCCGTCGCACAGCGATAGCTTCCGGTGAGAACGTGCCCCCTTTTGCTTTATGCTGGTGGTTTACCGAACCACCGCTCAAAGTGGGTCTACGACGATGAGTGTGAGGGATGTCGGGCTTCAGAATAGACGTTAGGAAGGGCGCTCTTTCAGCGAGGAATAAAGTCACATACGTCGAAAACTTTTAGTGTGTTCTTACGAACATTGTCCCGGTTCCCTCTCCGCATGTTGTGTATCCCAACCAACAAACTGTAGTCCATCACATCGATGGCCTTCAGCATCTCTTTGTCTCTCCTCAGCTGTTCCGTCAATAGAGCGCGCTTCTCAGGACCAAACTCCAACTTGAGGCCCTTGTTGATCCAATTCATATCCTTCAACACCGGATTGTTCTTATGCTTCTTCAACTCCTCGGGATACTCTCTCCCCACTGTGCTCCCTTTCAAGTCATACGTCTCATGTATATCCTTGTGTGGCGGGAACAAGTTGTTCATGATCACGAAGTGAATCTTCCGCCCCCTCGGCAGTTTCACTCGATGCAGCCCATAAAACCGACTCAACAGTGTATGCGGGTTCTCCTTCACATGATTGTAATACTGCTTCAGAACTCTGAGCAAAAATTTGTGCTCGCTATGCCGTATCGTCTTGATTATGAACCGGTAGTCGCGAGAAAAATAGAAAAAAGAGCCTGACTTCCCGGGAGAGCCTAGTTCCGACAGAATATATTTCGAAGTGAGAGAAAGAAGGTAGTCGGCGGGATCGAGATGGAAATACTCTTCACGTAATGAACGAAAAACCCAAGGAGCATAGTCTTTAAATTTGAAGTCGTATTTTGCCGATGGCGTGAGCTCGTTACCGACAATGTCGAACGAGAATTTATGTCGGGCGGTGAAATCGTCGTCAGTCAGTGGTCGCTTGATTTTGGCCTGACAACGTGAGACCTAGGAGAGGATGAGAACAGAAGAGGAAAAAAGGTGAATAACGCGCACCCCAATGCGAATGCCCGTCAACATGTTATACATCAGGACATAGTTAACATGGTCCTCGCCAATCAGATTCCCAACTAGCGGAACATCCTCGCCTTTTCTGGTTTCCGCCCGCGTCAAGGTAGCTTCCGCCTGTTGCTGCATAGCCCGCTTCTCCATGCGCTCACGCCGTATCTTCTCTGCGTGGAGTTGAATATCGCTGGCGACGTCATCAACCTCAACGTGATCGTAAACACCATGCAGATGCGATCCATACTGAGGGTATAGCGATATATGCGGACTGGGTACAGGGCTTAACCGTGAAGGCAATGTCTGTAATGGCGAGCCAGTTGTATTCCGTCTCGCTGGGCGATGCACATGTATCGACGGCAGCGGCGGCTGGAGATAGTCGGTTGTATGCACAGCAGGCGTTGAAGATGAGGTATCTATCGGGTGAGAAGCAAGGGGGGGTTCGGATGCGGTGATGGTGATGGTGTCTTGTGAGCGGAGAGTTGATAAGGAGAACTTAGTATCAATTGATTGCTCGTATGCGACGCCAGACGAGGTGGCAGCCCGCATTTGGCTGGCCTTCATGGTGGATGACGACGACGCCGACATCTGGCGGTCCAGGAACGATTCCGGTCCAGGTTCAATGAGGATGGCCTCTGGCTCGTCGAAAATGACGGGTTTCCCTGCGGCCTCTAGGAATGTCTCTCCTATCGGTTCTGATACTTCCGGTTCTGGGCGCTCAACGCTAGCAGGTGGAGATGGCGGCGGCGGACCTACGTGATCGTCATCACGTAGGTCGGCCGACCCGGGTGGTACCATATTCGTTACCGTCTGTGATACCTTTTTCAAGAATGAGTCGGTCATTTGCCCTGCCTCGACATGGACCCTGTCCCCGGTGACCTTGACAATACTGGTGCCTATGGTATGGATAGGATTCACCAAAGGTCCCTCCGTGCCTATGGTATGTAGCGAGGACTTTGAAGACGATGACGAGTGGGTCGTTGGGGTTGCCATAGGGGCTGTCCTGAACGATGCGGCAGACGATGAGTGCACGCTACTTTGCGCTGAAATCAGACTATGCCTGTGAGATGTGTCCGGCGGCGGCGACGCTGACCGCGGTGGAATGGCTGAGCTCGCCATATGTTTCAGCTTTCAACGACAGAGAGGAAAGCTCGAAAGGAACGACGCTCGATGTTGCAGCAAATGATAGTGAAGGTGAATGCTACTTCGGTCTTCCTGCCTCAAAGAAGCACAGGTTTTGCCAAACAGGCACAAGCACCGCCCCAAGAACTTTCAGGTACCACAAATTCGAAAGCACTGCCATTTTCCATTGTATTATAGACAGACACAAATATACAACCCCCTCATGTCCATTTTAAAGGGAAGCCTGCATCAACTTGAATACGCTAGTGATAGACCCAATCAAGAGACCTGTGGGAAATCAGATACGTATATGTTTCCCTCACAACAGATAACGGACCTATTTGCGCAATGGATCCGATAAAACCTCCCTGGGAATTGCGCTATACAGACAATGAGCTTCTTGAAGAAGAAAAAAGTTCCGCCGACCTACCTTCGCAGGGTCCCCAGTTATATAGCCCCGAGTGTAAAGGATACGGCCAAACACCCAAGTACCACAGGCAGCGGCGGCAAAATTCGGGTAGCACACAGCGGTCAAGAGCGTGCTAAGGATTTCAGTGAACGATCACGGGAACAACGTCAGGGTCGCACCTTGAATAAACCACAGGAATAAATTCCAGCGTGTTTTGATGAGCACCTGATAAAAGGTCCGTCAAAACTTTATCAAAGATGAAGACGACACGTACGCTGAGCACAGTTGAATATCTTGGCATCCTTGGAGGCCTCCACTTGGGCCTTCTCAGCATACACTAAAACAACTGAGACGCGTCGACTCTGATAGCCAAAAATACATACGCTGAGGATACTCGATGCCAGCTGTCTGGCGACGTCGGCCTACAATGAATGCCTGACCCGAGAGCAAAAACTGAGCAGATAGCAGAGCGGCGGCGACCCAGGCCCATCTACAAGGGACTAGGAATATAATGTCAAAGTTAAACGACCGACGTACCCTTCAGGAACGGTAATCGTAGCGGCCATGATACAAGGTAATAAGCAACGGACGAGTAGCAAACAAAGCGAACGAAACTAATCAAAAAACAGTTGCTGCTTATATGGCCGCTGATGTCAACAGATACTGTCATCTTCGGCCCGCCGGGGGGGGGACGTACGTGGAATATTCAGCATTCCGTACTGTCAGCGACGAATGGTTGGTAAGTTGCTTTATTAATGCCGAGCGCTTGCGTGGATCCTAGAAAAGAGCGGAATACAGCAGAACCTGAGGGCCCTTGATAAGATCTGCCGACACGTGCACCTACGCTAAGAGAAGTAATCAGACTATGATGTACATACACTGACTATCGAAGAGAAAAGGACATAAATCTATTTATGGAGTATGTGCAGTCCATGAGCATCTAAATACATCCTAAAGCTTGGACAAAACGAGTCCCATAACAACATAAAATATAGTCGCAGGCGGCGTAACAACACAGTAAGCCCAGAATATTGTCCGACTAATCAATCGCTCAAATGCATCTCCAGACGCCGCCTGCGTGATTTGGGCGAGTGTAAGCGCCGGGGGAGATGAAATGAGCAATACATTTGCCACCACAAAGACCGGATCCTCCAGCACGGCGTGCCAATCTAGTTTGGTGGACAACGCCATCAGTGGCAGTAGCAACAGCGGCGTGATAATCATCCTCGACGCTACAGCGATGATAACTGTCTTCGTCTCGCCTGCCTGTGTCGCTTGCTGTCGAGGTTCGCTCTTCCTCATGGTGAAGATGCCTTTCACGCTATGTATCAGCGAGTAGGTTTCAGTCTTCGCTTCGTCTTCCTGGGGGGGGTAGAAATAGGCGCCCAGGACTATCAAGGTAAGCGGGATGGAACAGTTTCCTGCGCTGGCCAATGCACCTTTGACAGGCTGCATGTGGACCTCAAGGACATGCTGCAGAGGTTGGATGCATGCCACGATCAGCGATGCAAGAGAAGCCCACAAGGGAACAGTCATGAATTCGTTCAGAGCTGTCCAAATCCACTTCAGGCGATGCGGAACGTGCGAAGAGGTATGTGACGAATGCTGCGTCCTGGAATGCCGACGTTCAGAATGAGTGGGAAGAACGATAGACTCCAGCTCGTCATCGCTGGTTTCCAAGTCTGAGTTCCCCGGCGATGAAACGTGAGGAGAAACAATCGTGGATGAGGAGGAGTGGATAGAAGACAAGTAGGCGCGAGAGTCATTCGGGGAGTTGGGAAAGGAGTTGTAAAATCTTGAACGACGAGAGGGTTGGCCTTGGACTGTGACATTGCGTTCCTCCACCACGATACGGGGAGCTTCGTCATCATGTTCATCAAAAGATGAAGAACCAAAAAGAGGGCTGTCTTCGTTGTCCGGCGGTAGCAATATAGGTTGAGGCTCGTCGTCAGCTTGCGCTAACAATCGTACTCCATAGCTCCAACGCAGCTGTAGAACATCGTCACTAAGAACCATTGCAAAGAGGCTCAAGACTTACCACCATCCCAAGGGTGCTGTATAGCACGAGGTACGTCAGGGCACGACCGAGCATTACGTTGTTGTCGTCGTCCTCCCCCCACTTCAGTCCAGGAACTGTTACGACCAGACTTTGCATTAGAGCGATGGGAAGGGAATTGGAATTCATGAACATGGCAGCGGCCATGGCAAAACTCCTATACAATACGTTAACGAAAAATACAATTATCAAGGAGGAAGACTCGCCTCTGGGATCTCTTCAGTCGGAATATCCATCCCAAGACAAAGGCAACAGACATCGACACCACCGTTACAATAACAAAAAACAAAGGTATTATCCATAATTCTCGCAATTTTTCTGCGATGGAACATCAGTAAAAGTGTAGGTCAATAAAAGCATCACGACGTCGTCATCAGTGCGTCACGGAACAAAGGCTGCTGCGGAAGAAAGACGCCCGAGAGAGATGGCAAGAGATCTCTTTTGCCATGTCCAAAAATGTGTCATTAGATGAACATCGAAGTCGTTCAAATGCGAGAAGAAAGACCGTGTCTGCGCGAGAACCGGCGATAGATACCGAAAACATGCCGGAATTAAAAGAAGCCTTCAGGACAATAGAAATAGACATCGACTGGAAGCTCATCGGGAGAACGAATACCCAGGAAACGGTCGGCTGACTCCCCGTCAGAACAGCATTCCGCTAATCAAACCTACGACCACGGGGCTTATATCCTTGAAACTGCAGATCTTGGACGCTAGTGGGGCCCCACAGCGACAGAAAGAGCTTAGAGGGGAATCGGGGACTTGCATAGGTAGTATCAGGCACAGAACCCGCAAATCCGGAAGGAAGTCGGCGAAAAGACGCATTTGACCGTGGCACTGCCAATGACGACTGCGATGCACAAAAAACTCACCTGGAGACAAAAAGAATGCGACTTTGGAGAAGAGAAGCGCAGGAGTGAATAGGGACACGTTCAGTCGGTTGAGTTGCTGCGGATATTAGGGTCAGGGGGGACAAGATTGTGGGAAGCAAGTCATGCATTACTTACCTTCTGTGTTTTCTTATCAAGGATTCCTTGCCCTGCGAGAATGTAACCGGCCCAGCATAGAAGAAAAACCTCGAGGATTGACTATATCATGAAATAAGATTGAAATGAGCCAACTGGACGTTAACCGCATGAATGGCGGTACGCACGGTAAATACCGTTTTCAACAGTGGTAGAATTGGCGGGTCAGCCATAGATTATAGGGGCAAACTTTAATGCCAAAATAGTGGTGGTGGTGAGGGGGGAAGTTGGAGAAACAGCGTGTCCCCTCTCCGGCGGTCCTATATTATACTATATACTTAAAAGGAACAGTGCCGAGCCTTGCACGTGCGCAACATTATCAGATAACGGCTGATAACGGGACCCAAGCCTGGAGCCGGGTAGATCCGAACTTGCTTCGTCTGCGTCAGCTATCAGCAGTTGCAGGTAACGTATGCTCTGGCGTACCGCTATACTCTTATTCGGTTATATAGAGACAATAATGGCCTGGCTCTGTACTGGAAGAACAAACTCTGAACTTATTGCCAACATGGCCAGGAGCTCAATTATCCACGCAGACCGAGTTGAAAGGGTGAGACAGGCGACCTATGCCCACAACCTCGACACGCTGAATTACTACCTTCTGCTTGGCATAGGCTATGTGCAGTGTTGACCGCATTAACTACGTTATTGACAAGGCAGATGCCTACCAAGATTCTCCTCAGTTCCGTCTCCGTTCCCCGCGGTTGAATTACATGATTCCTGACTATCTTCCAGAGTTATTGGCCATGGTGCTACCATTAGTGCCCCCCACATGGTGCGATTCTTCTAGTCAGTCATTGTTGAGCCACAATTGCTGTGGATGGGCAAGGTTTCTGCAATGCCTTTTCTCTTAACAGCATCAGGGCAGTGAATAATCTTAACTGACTGACTCCCATCGGCTTAGCATGCTTACGCTACTGAACATCTACTTCCGTATCTGCGTCCTGGAGCGCGTGTGCTAGACGTCGGAAGTGGATCCGGGTACTTGGCTGCTGTCTTCCACCATCTGGTTTCTTCACCGGAGAAATCAGGACACGTTGTTGGGATTGAACACATTCCGGACCTCGTAGAATGGTCAGTGCAGAACCTAAAGAAGGATGGCTTGGCGGAAGCCTTGGACAATAAGGAGATCCAGTTAGTAGTTGGAGACGGAAGACTTGGTGAGTGCCTAATGTCATACATACGCCTGCGAAGCTCGTGCATTCGGGGGTTACCAAATCGCCAAGAGATCGTGGCCCAGAGGCGCTAGTCTCTACACAATTTTGGAGCACAACAAAATGGTGATGCCTCGCCTCAGTCTGGTCTATCGGCTGTTTCAATGAAAAGGCTGGCATTTTCATCGTCAGAAACCAGGCATCCAAGATTGTCCTGCACATTCCACTTCCCTATGTATCTGTACGTTGTCCGGCAGGAGTGGTTGACAACATCAGCTACGCAAGCCGCACGCAATCGAAGTCGCCAAGGATTCCTTTACACGAATCGCGGAGCTTCGTGGGACGTCTTGGACCATTACTGACTCTTTTTTTTTAGGATACGAACAGGGTGGTAAGCTTTCCTGACATGTATTTGCGTCTCGTCACCCGACGTGATTCAGGGCCGTATGACGCGATTCACGTTGGCGCCGCAGCTCCAACCCTTCCGGCCAAACTCGTCGAACAGCTGGCGTCCCCTGGTCGGATGTTCATTCCTGTGGGCACCTTCGCCCAGCATATTTTGCATGTCGATAAGGATGTGAATGGAAAGGTGACGGAAACGCGGATTATGGACGTTCGGGTGCGTACTATGAATTGGTCATGAATTGCCGTTCAATATTGTGGCAGTATGTTCCCTTGACCGATCGCGCATCCCAGAGGTGAATTATATCATAATGGGTTCTCGATTCGTCTCGTCCGTGAGATCGAATCGTGTATTACTAGGTTCGGTGATGTTGATGATTTCACATCTTTTCACATATTCTTCTGTATTTGTATCAACAAGAAATTTACTTGACGTGGTCTGCCGGTCCGCCTAATACTAGTAATAATTAAACGTCTGTGGGTTGGCGTCTCCTGCAAAATAAGTTGCGATGTCTTGCGTTTCATCAGTTCGCCTCCTCGATGCTCCTATGTCTTCCATTCCTCTTCGGAAGTCTTCCACCCTCGCTGTTTTGCCGGTAAGAGAGTCTGAGTAAATCCGTTGCGATCAACCCAGTCAAAGTGCGTCGATCGCCCACGTGGCTGGTTTTCTTCCGGTGCTCAAGCGCTCACTGAGGACACTTTTTGCTACTCTTCTTCACCCATGATTTCCTGCCAATACAAATGGATTTTTTCTGCATTCTTGAAGTTCACATCGCCTGTAACACCTCCTACAACGTCACTCAATGAATTCGCACTCCATGTTCGAATTCGTGTCCTGTCCATATGATCTAAGGTACCACGAGGTACCGGTACCGATGAGGTACCAGGGTTAAACTGGGTGTTCCTTGAGAAATATTCTAGAATTTCATCTTTTCAAATGGATGCTAGAGATCGACTTGTTCAAAGAAAAAATGTAGTACAGTACATGTAAGCGTTCTCTTTGGCTCATTCGAGCCTACTCGTCGCTGAACTTCATATAACAGTAGCCATAGACACAAGCCGAGAACGTCTTTGCCACTGGAAATAGCTTCTTTCTTCTCCGTGACTCCTTCAAGCTGGTCATGCGCAATCGTTGTGCCTCTGAAGTTCCTGCCCTCACTAACTGTCCTGGCGGCCTTGACAGATTCTGATATGTCGTGGAAAATCGTTGAGGGCGCTGCTTCAATTACGCATAGGAACGAAGACGTTTCCAATATCTATGGTGATGATGTGGCTCATCAGTAGCCCCTATCGCCCTCTTTCATCATCAAATTGATCTCACCGTGGAATCTATAAAGTATGTCTAAGTCACGTACGTTATCTCAGTTGCTAGCCCCCCTCTTTCAATGCTCACCTCGCTCGTTCTTAGCGCCGCTCTTTTGGGCCTGGCCCACGCTACACTGGTCGATCTAAATACGACACAGTCTGATGGCGTAACGATCCTGGAAACGAAGACTTTCGAGTACGTCAAAGTCACGTTCTTTGTTCCGTGTAACGTTGTACTGACGCGTTGAATACACAGTTATGTGTGTTATTTTGTTTCTTGCTGTGTAGAACCACTTTGACCCCGGCCAATAAGATTGTTGTGGGAGGCGGCACCGCCGGGCTGACGATAGCCAGACGTTTAGCAGAGTCATCGTTGAAGACGTCTGTGTTGGTCTTGGAGGCCGGAGGTTCTGGTGTTGGTCTGTAAGTAACACTGACACTCCCAGGCTTGCCTTCTTCACATTATTTTTAGGAACGTAGTCACGATTCCTGAAAAGTCTTTTTCCTTCGTCGGAACGGACATTGACTGGGGTTTCACGGTGCGTCGGCTTGGCTTTTCGCTGACTCCATTAATTTCTTACCTCTTCAACAGATTGCTCCTCAAGAGCACGCAGGCGAATACGAAATAAATTTGTCGTCTGGAAAGGTGAATCCGTGGTGCTGCTCTAAGCAGGATCAGCTGACATGATCATAGATCCTCGGAGGTGACTCGGCTGTTAATGGTTTGGTATGGACACGAGCGTCAAAAGCGGAATACGATGCTTTCGAGACTCTTGGGTCGCCAGGATGGAACTGGGATACGCTATATGCGCATATGCGAAAGGTACACCAGTCAATTCAGCATTATGCAATAACATATTTTTCTTTTCCAATTTGCTAAATGACTTTCAATCTTTCCGCAGGCCGAGCAATTGGAATATCCTTCTGCGTCCCTTATTGACGAATATGGCTATGTCGTTGATGCGAGCTCTCTTGGAGAGTCAGGTCCCGTCAGCGTATCGTTCCCGGCCTACCTCCCGATGTACGAGCATGCGCTTTGCATCTTTTATGGCATAACGTTGCTGATGTACTATTCCAGACAACACAAAACGCTCGTCGAGGCCTCCGTAGAACTCGGCCATACGTTTAACACCGATGCATATAGCGGAGACAACGCCGGGGTGTATTACAGTCTATCGTCTCAGAATACGGTGCCCGTCCGCGAAACGTCGGAGTTCGCTTATCGTGAGTTGATTCCCGTCCCAACGAATCCTTCGGCTAACACGGCTTTCAGTTACGCCGTGGGAGACCCACAAGCAACTGACGGTCTTCACCTACGCCACTGTCTCCAAGATCAACCTTGACGACTCCTCTGAGCCCAAAGCAACAGGTGTCCAGGTTATCTTCCCTGATGGATCTGAGTATACTGCCAGCCTCAAAAGTGGCGGTGAAGTCATTCTTTCCGCTGGTGTTGTCCGCACGCCACAATTATTAGAACTTTCTGGTATTGGTAACAGTAGCATTCTTACGCCTTTGGGGATCGATGTCAAGGTGGAACTTCCTGGGGTTGGCGCCAATTACGAGGACCAGTATGTTTCTTATATTTTTGGGGGCGACCTAGGGGCTAATTCATTCTCAGTACTATGGCTCTCCTGACTTACCAACTCAAGGACGGATATTTGTCATTCGATGCTCTCTCATACAATGAAACACTCTTGGAGGAGGTAAGCTCATCGATTTGAAACGCGAAAAACTTTGGCTAACTCTACGTAGGAAACTGAACTGTACAGCGAGGGAGAGGGCTGGCTCGTAAGCATGCATGCGTTTGAGATCACAATACGCTTCTAACCAAGCGTTTCCGCAGACTTTCGCTCAAGCCGTGGTCAACTTCGAACCCATCGACGTGATCCTTACAGCAGACGAGATTGAGGAGGCCAAGGAAATCTTGTCGACGAAACCCGAATCCACACCTCAAGACCAATTTGACATCCTCAAGGAGCTGATTTTGAACGGAACTACCCAAGTCGAATATCTCCTGGTATGGTTGCTCTATCGCGGGCTCTTTTATTCTGATTTGCTGCATTAGTTCAATTCCTTCTCTGCCGGTGACGATAAAGAATCCAACACCAGCTACGTCTCTCTGTCCATAACCCATACACATCCTTTGTCTCGTGGATCTATCGTGCGTTGATCTTTATTTTTTCATCCTTTGATGAGGCTCTTCAATTCTCCTGTGATAGCACATCAACTCGACGTCTATCGATGACTTCCCCGTTATCAACCCCAACATGTTCGAGGCCGAGTGGGACCAATGGTGGTTGGCAAAGGCTACTGCATACGGTCGCAAGTTCTTCCAAACACAAGCGTTCCAAGAAATCGTGGTTTCAGAGGAAGTCTATCCCGGCTGTGAGCTTCTCCAATGAGGCAGAAGGTTTCTCGCTGACGTCTATTTAGCATCTGTCTCGACTGACGATGAATGGCTTGAGGTGAATGAACTCTCTTGGCTCACCATTCTGGCTAACAGAACGCTGACAACCACGCCTTGTAGTACGTTAAAGAAAATTTGAACGCTGGTGTACGTCTTCTCGTTGATCCCTGTTTCCTTCACTCAGCTAAGCTTTCTCTAGTATCACTCCGCTGGCACTGCCTCCCTTCTGCCAAAAGAAAGCAACGGTGTCGTCGGCGCTAACCTCACAGTATACGGGTACGCACCATATCTTCGAAGAATGTCGTCCTCGCTGACATATCCCCTGTAGCACCCAAAACCTCCGGGTAGTCGATTTGTCCATTCTGCCTATGCTGATCTCGGCCCACACTCAGGTTGGTAAAAACATAATATCGAGGTTGATAAGCTACTAATAACGTCGCCCAGCCCGCTGCATATGCTATCGGAGAGCTCGCTGCAACACTCATTACCACTGGTTCGACAAATTGCTAGATTCAAGTCTGGGACGCGGTTACCATCGCAATCATCCGTTCAAATTCACCATCGTTATCTTCCTTCCTCAGTCGTTAAATAAAGGCTATCGGACGTTCCTGTTTCGTGTATTTCAGCGGGGTTTATTTATATTATTGTTATAAATCAATTTCTTACTGTTTGCAATTTCCACATTGGAATGAAGAGAAAGCTTCGGTATGTGGCCAACTAAGCGAGGTTGCGCACATTCAAGGCGCGCACCATTTTTTCTCGGTGAGGATCATTCAAGGGTCAATATAGGGTCAATGCTCACGCCCTGATGGTTGGGCGCCCAGGCCTGGTTAGAATTCTACTACACAAAGTAGAAAGGAATCCCATTGAAATCAGGGTGGTCTCGGATCATACATCCGTTTGTCATCCATTCATCTCTACCCTGCCTCTTTCAATATAAAGTCACGTAGTAGCCGTCTATGATCATCAATGCGAGGTGAATAAGTAAGTACAAAGTTACCACTAATCTACAAATCAGGAAGACCGGCGGCCATTCAAACCGTAGGATATGCCATACACAGACATTCATCGAAACATAGAGGTGCATAAAGAACCGCGACAGTCAGTACTGGGGGGCGTCAAGATAAAGTAAAGTGAGAGAAAAAAGTCGATAAACCATTCTATGATCAGCACCGTTGCTTATTGCGCATGACCGTTAATTCCGTTCACTGTCGGTGCGGAAGGGCTCCCAGGGACTGCAGCGCGGCCCCGGGCAAGGAGCTCCGTAACGGTTGCCTTCAAATTGTCCAGCAACGGTGACACCTGTTCCTTCACCTCAGCCCCAACGCGACCAACTTTCTCCGGCAATGGCATGTCCTTCGCCGACACAATAGTGCGAAGATCGGCGATTGTGGTAGACAGACGCTGCGAGAAGTCGTTGTAGATCTCTTGGACCTGAGGTGGGATCTGAGTTTGAAGCTGTGTCGTAGAGTTGTGCAGGGTGGAGGTGGCAGAGTTTTGAAGTGAGGCGGCCAGGGCCGTAGATGAAGCCTGGAGCTTCTGGAGTTCAGCCAGCATGTTGTCTGAGAGGGAATGGATACGAGTCTGGGCGTTGGTGATGGAGGAAGAAGCGAGAGCACTAATTGAATGCGACGTTTCCGTTGCCTTTTGTCTGTTGGGAAGAGCAATGTTAGCATCATAATGATGAACGATAAGAAGAAACACATACACGAGAACTGAGTGTGCCTGGATCTGTTTTATTTGCTCATTGGAATATCCGTAAAGCTGGCCCCCGATGGACTTGTAGAGAGCCAGAGCGCGCTGATACTGGTACTTGGATTCAGTGGGCGACGAAGGTTGGGATTCAGGGCTGATCCGAGTATATGCCCCTTCGACATAGTTCAGGAGAGGCGTAAATTGCTAATCATCAGGTCAGAATTTTGGGGCTCGGTGCCAATAAGACTCGTAGTGTATTTACCTGGTCGATCCCTTGGGCGACATGGAAGGCTGGCTGCTTCACCCTCTCATCGATAGCCTTCGAAGCGCTGGCCCTGCGCTTCCTGACAAGTTCGACGACCTCCTCCGGCTTCGCGGTGAAAGCGTATGGATACCTAGACTCAACGACATCGACCGCCTTGTTCGCGTAACCGTCTACACTTGCAATGTAGGGTGCCAGGCGAATCTGAATGGGCTCGGTGTACTTGTAGGCGGAAGTGGAGAGGCCCTTGGCGGTTGAATACGGAGACTTTGTATAGGTGTTGTTAGCCAATGCTTGGCTGACAGCCTCAAGTGAAGACTGGATAAGAGGGATGGAAATTACGCGAGAAAACGCGGTAAATTCTGGGGTGGTGGTCGAAGAAGGCATCTGGATGGACGAAGTTTCCGTCGCGGTCGACATGGTGGAGGCGGTGGTTGGCGGATAAGTTGAGTAAATGGCACGTCAAACGAATATATAACTCACTTCTCCTTGACATGTGATAATGGCGGCTGTCCATATATAGGCATACTTACTTCTTTCGACGTCGAATACGTAATGCTTATCTTCTTGTTTTCTGAGACCCGGTACTTATCTCAAACCATATCATCGATTCTATTCAGATATTTTTGCTTTTTTCTTGGGGTTTCTAAATACCCGAAGAAACAAAGAAGGGTGTCTCAATGGGGCTGAATTGGTATCGATGTGCCTCTCCTTTTTCACATGTCTTGATTCTCATGCATGAGATTTTGAAGGGATCTAGAGGAAGGGTGAGGCGAACTTGGACACAATCAGGAACGTTCGAGACTCGTTTCAATTAAACATGAGACGGATCCCAACATCCGAATCCGAGTATAACAGCGCCGAAGGAGTATCAGTCCGTTAGTCCCTGCTTGTCGTCAGACGTCGACATTCACCAATGTTATGACAATCTTTTCGCCATCAGCGGGGAGAGCCAAAGCCGGGTCGAACTGAAATTTGTATAAGGAACTCAGGGTTATTAGAGGAGGTTGGAGAGGGAAGCGGATTTTACGTTGAAGAACGTCTACGTAACAAAGCTTTTAAGGTTTCTTTCGGCAAGTACCTAACTTCAGTGGTCTTCTTGAGAGGCCTGTCAATCTACGTACCATATCACTATCGACGATGGTGCTAACTGAGTCTTGCTGTTTCATGAGCAACGTCGGAGCCTGGCTTAGGCCGAGGATGGCGCCCAAGCCATACCAGACGACGCTGAAAGGAACGGGGGAAATCTATGATAAAGGGAAAATTCATTGCGCCGGAAAACCACGTGTTGATACGACTTACCCCAAAGACGAGTCCTTCCCACTGAAAGATGCACCCCTGGGAGGTCATTGTGAGTGCAGAACTGCCGTGATCGCACACCAGTACCCTGCGAAATCGATCTAAATATCCGTCAGAGAGGATGCAAAAAAAACCTGCCCGTGACTCACTATGGCTACTGGCCGCCGTTCTCAGCGAATTGAAGTCGACAAAAAGAGAATGATTAGATGGCCTTCAAAAGCCACGAAAGTAGACATCTGTAAATGAGATCATGACCGCAGAAATGGTTTGAACTAGTGGGATAAAAGCTACGCCGTGACACCATCCACTGTCGATATTGGGGTTTGCGCAGAACTTCGGATTATGCTGGACTGCATGTCACAGTTCTGATAACCCAGAGGGTATAAGCCGCGTCCGGGCTGGCGACCAGTTTCATGTTCAAGTAGTCGGAAATTCAGCGCCGTCCAGGAGAGCCACAATTAAGTAATCGAGCAATCGTACATAATAAATTCGCATCTCAATACTGCAACACAATGATAATGTCAAGGCGGAATGGACTGTATCATGAGGTAAATGTGTTGAGAAGAGTCCATAGTCGACGAGGCCGAGTTCATTGTATGTGGCGATGGACTGATACTAAGTGTACGAGATAGAATGCACGAGACTCAAGAAGAAAAACTGGTGCTTCATCAAACATTCACTGCGAAATGATGCCAAGCTTGATACAAAGAATAGTCACCTGCAAAGCAATAGTTGCGGGCAGCGATGGGGATTGTGGCAAGGTTCTGTCCAAGGCATGTGAAAACACAGATGTAGGCAAGTACGAGAGCAATTATCAGATGGAACACTCAGAAGGCTATGCCGAAAAGACGCCACCCCGAGTCGGAAGAAGCCACTGCGTTGCTGGGGATAGGAAGACGACAAGAGATGAGAAGACACGGCACCCGGAAGGAATCGGTCCGGAGGTGCAATTCTGTATCGGCATCTCGGCATTTGTCCGTGGAACAGGCGCAAACAACGCGTCGCTCACGTGGTACCTCGAACGTCCCTTAGCCTAGCGGAATTTCCGAGTCTCTTCTCACCTCATTTTCGTACGATGGCTACGGTGTCCACATCTCGTCGAGCTCGAACTCGTAATGGCATGCCGAAGACGTCTACAGTAGACTGCCTTGCAGATCAACTGGCCTCTGGTCTCAACATCAACACGAAAGGAAAGGAGAAAGCTCAGACTCCTGTCCTGACCGCGGAGAGGCAGAGAGTCGTCGCCATGCGCGCTGTCAATTCCGCCTCTCAGTCACTGGCATCGATGGTGGCTTCAGGTTGGAAGCGGTCGACTGGTGATTCGCCAAGAAAACTCACGGAGGCAAAATCGGCTGCTACGTCAGCTGCCACTCATATATCATCTCTGCGAGAGCTCTGCCCAGGGGACATAGACGTTGAGAGGGCTGCTATGAGCGTTCTGGGAAAGCTTGTAGCGCTAGATATGGTACGCCACTTTACTCTGGATTAGCTGTAGCCGCTGACGTATTCGTAGCATGATGTTGCGCTGTTGTCCTTGCCTGGCATGCACGCAAGTCTATGCAGGCTTCTGTCTGTGGCGATTCCATCAAAGTCAAACTCGTCAGACAAGCTTCATCTAATCACCATGCCAATTCCTGCAGTGCCTTCCGCTATCGAACCCGCCCTCTTGACTCTGATATCTAATTATTTTATGTATGCGTTGGTGGTCATCACATCCACATATTTCCCCCCTCAAAAACCGACCTTACAACCAAACAAACTACCTACTGACTTTCTAACAAATCTTGCGGACACACTACGAAATGAATTCACCCTCATGTCCTGGATGCCCTTCTTTCAACATCTTCCGGCCAAGCACATCAACTTCATCCTCACCCGAGTCTATTCTGTACTCACCAAATCCATCCCGGCCGAAGTCATGCAAACTAACGCACCGTCTGCATTCTTCATTCGGATGCACGCTTTGTGTTGTTTGGCTTATACGAGCCCCGGTACCGTTGGCAGTCCAGACGTCTTTTGGGAGCAACCCACCAAGTATGCCTCTGTTTACATGAAATCCCTGCTTTCGGAGCAGCCTTCCTCGTCAGATGTCCACCAACATGCCACAAATATTTTGGTCCTAGCCTTTTCTCACCTAGTCACAATCGCAGAGACAAAGCAGGTCAGTGCAGATTTTCTCAAGGGGAAGGGCTTCGTGACCTTCTGTGAATATTGGATAGAACTGGCAAATCGCGTAAGAAAACTTCACATATGCTCATCCATCAACTCAGAATTCTTCGCAACAGACCGGGAATGTCGCTTTATTGGATAAGATCGTCGGACTCGTTCATCGTGTATCGCCGCGACAGGAGGTACCTCAATCCCAAGGCAGGACGGAAATACCAGACCCGGGCGAAAATGAACCGAAACTCTCCCCACTCAAAACGGATAGGGCCCACTTTTGCGCCACCCTTACGCGTACCACAGCCTTATTAGAGAAGCCAGATGAAGGTACGCTAGGTATGTTATGCTTGCTGATCGGAGACTTATGTTTATACGGAAAAGGTTCATTGTGTGACGCCCTGGACAGTACCGTGATATTTCTCGACGAGACGGTTAATGCTTTGCATCGATATCGAGATATCTCATGGATGGAGGGAAAAGCTGATCGTGCATTGGAAAGACTGCGAAGGGCTGCTGTTAAGACAATCGAAGCCACGCCTAGCAGTTCCGACGCCCAGTTCCAAAATGGCTCTGATATCTATTCTCTTCTAGAGCGGATTGCCAATGTTCTGGAGCAGATCATTCGGGTGGTAAGTGCTATGGCCTGACCATTTGTATTTTGGCTGACAATCTGTCAGAAACCGTCGAAAAACTCCTTAACACAAGCGCTTGATACGTTTTTTGTATTGTCCCGATTCCGGTTGGATGTCTCAAACATCAGAACCTACGTCCCTGCGCACAACCATCTGGCGCGAGCGGCAACATTAGTCGAACTGGGTAAGGGCGGGATCACTGGCTTTGACGAGGCGAACTTTACACGTTGCGTATCTGGGGCTTTCCATAATGCTGGCGGAACCTTGTATCAGTCCGAACGGCATGCTTCTGCAATCAGCTTTCTCAAGGATGGTTGTGAGCTTGGCTCGAAGGCTTTGCGCCTTCGATCACGCCCTGGATCTGATGGAGAAGGTGGATGGACCCAACTGAACAACCAGCTATATCGACGATGGCAGCTGTTGGGCCTCTGCTACGCGAAAATCGGCAATCGAAAGGTAGGCCGCTCTATCACTAGCCATGACTGCATTATCTCATTCTAAAGTAGCCTGCCCACGAAGCATTTGTACAATGCATAAAAGCATTCCCTTACCCAGTGTCGGACTTTGTGCAGCGTTCTGGGAGTGTTAGTCTTAGCGCTCTCTTCGACTCTTCACCTGCTGTTAAAGAACTGTGCAGCATTGTGGACAAGGTTACTTACCAAGCCGTGTGCGATCTGATGCTGTTTCATCCTGATGTATCCCTACGGTTCGCCGGGCTCGATGATCCAAGTGTCGTCGGGGCACTTCTAGAACGACAGCTGGAATGTTTGGAACCGTATCTTGCCAAGAAATCCGTCCAGACTGTAATGGCGGGGCTGTTGAAGGATGCGGCAGAAGTATATGCTTCTGCGAGCATGCCAATGAGACGCGCCAGAGTCCTTATTAAGTCTTTAATATTCGCATACCATGGCGGTCTAGATATTGGCAGCGGGCTTGGTACGCCTGAATCTATAGTTACTGACATTCTGGCTCTTGTGAGCGAGGTAAAGGGATTTCTTTGCAGAATTTCCATATGTTGATGAATTTTACAGTGCCCAGCGAATGATGCCGGACTTGCCGTGCATTCTTCGCAGTATCGCGCTCTGGCCCATATATGGCAAGCTATGCATGTGCATCGTCGTGCTGATCCACAGCAAATGGCTTTAATTATGGAACGATCAAATGCTGTTTGCGAGATTTTACGATCTCACTTGCAATCAGGAGCTGAAGCCAAGGTGTCCCAGAAGTCAACGCCTAAGCAATCGTCAGCCAGGAAAGTCACCAAACCAGCATCTAGTACAAGACGAACGACAGCTAAGAAGACACCGGCAAAGACGCCCACTACGCCTAAGGCTCGTCAACGCAAGGGTCAGTGATCAGCAACCTTATGAACCACGTATTTTAACTTGATATTTTTGCAGCTCTTGAAGATGTACCATTGAACGCAGCAACGCCTGCCTCGACAGCTGGTCAATCCTCCACTACCAACGTCGTGTTTGATGACGTGGAGAGACTTTTGGACGGTCTTCGTGAGCTCTCCTCGTCATGTCATACCCTCCTCTTCAAACTCCTGACGTCCTTTCAGAATCGTTGGTTCACATTCTTGGTGTACTGTCCCTCCTGGTACCAAGAGTCAATACCTTGGACGTGATGCGACGAATTTCTGAATGTTCTGTCGGCTCCTCAAGCGATCGTAGGCCCCTCACTATTGTCAATATTTGTTCAGGCTGATACTGGTGCAGGTTATGTGTGGGCTTCGGCACAGCTAGCTCATGACTACGTGAGCCTTGGGAAAATGAAGAGGGCAAACAAAATCTTCAATCAATTGTCTCCAACTGTGCACGCCGGACAGGTCTCTTTCGATGTGGCGATCACGTTTCTTCTCCGCTTTGCAGAAGCTAGAGCTACGCTCGATGACGTAGCACAGAGGTGGGTCTTAACGCTATCATTCGGCTGCCTCTCATGTCATTCGTTCATAGTTCCGATCTGTACCAAGCAGCTCTAGACTTGTCGGATCATCTGAAAGAGGATAAGACGTTACCTCCCTTGCAGCGTGTTCAAAGGCGTATTGTTCGCATCGAAAAGACAGCTATGGCTTTTCACGTACACTCACTCGTTCAGTCCCGTAAAGTAAGATTCAACTGATCGTTTGGCGCTTCGGCTCTCTAATGATACTGCAGGACGACACCGCGACCTCTCTCGATGGCCTTCTTCAATCCCTGAGGCAGTGGAATCGCGCCTTCGATGCCCTCTCACGTCTTCAACCTCCGTCCTCGAAACCCAAGGCTCAAGACGAAATAGACCCTTTCACGGATCCCGGCGCGTCGCGGACTTCCGAGGAGACCATGTCTAATCCAGGAAGGAAAGAGTTCTCACGCCGGGAGGCAATGAATGAGTTGGGTTGGCGTATATCAGAGGGTCTCATTTTGACACTATTTGCCCTTTGTGATGGGTATGCAATTCAAGGTTCGGCTCGTGAAGCAGAATTCTTCGCCCAGCAGGCGGAGGATCTTGCTCAGTCTTTGAATGCTCCTGCACTGATGGCCCGAGCTTTGATTCGAAAAGCAGAATTGCAGTTACACCAGGAAAAAATAGAAGAAGGCCAACAGAGCTTGGCAACCGCTCTTCAGCTGATGTGTGATGATACGGGCATTGACTTAGCTGACGTGCATCGACTTCGTGGGCAATTTAATCAAGACGATGCCGATACCGACTATCGGATGGCGGCAAAGATTTTGGAGCAGCTTGACAAAACTTTCGGACTTTTCGACGGCCTGGCTTTTGGGTACGCTTTCCCTACATGTTTACGGGATGATCGCTCATAGAAAACGCAGACCCCGAAGATCCACAGGCACAGAGCTGATGGTGCCTGGATTGCTTACGAAACTCTTACGGAACCGAAGTATGTGCTCCACTTTTGGGTTCTTCGCGTTTTCTCAACTCTTTCTAGTTTGGTACCTTCGTGACGATAATGGGGAGCAATCTACAGATCTACTTGAAAAATTCATGTGTTTGTCCTATAACTCGCAAACAAAGGTGCTAGCTTTGACTCTTGCTTGATACCTCAGTCTGATTTGATTATCTTCCAGGCGGAGGAAAACAGTTTAATTGCGAAACTGACCCTCCATGGTGTTTACAAGCGTTTCCGAGCTGATATGTTCTTGAGTTCTCTGACGGAATCCAGTGGGCGCTCTCGTGTTTCTCCCTATTCGGTGTACTGAAGAATTACTTCAGCGATAGCCCTACCATTGGGGACGACGGGTGCCGACATGCCTACGCTGTCGGGAACATCGCTGGAGATCTCGCGAAGTCTTGAAACAGCAGCTCAATTGTTTTGCGACAACTTGAAGCTCACGGCGCACAATGGCGATGTGTCGCATGTCCGAGAAGCAGCTATCAAGTTGGCACTTATCAGGGCCTTCCAGACATCGTTAGGAAAATCGGGAACAGATGGTCCTCTTCTGGTCGCGAATCTTCTAGGTATTTCCCTCCTGTATCCAAATCTTTCATGTATTTACCTTCGCTCCAGACGCTTCCTCTGCCATAACGCTTCGACGTGAAATGTACGAGGCCATCCTCCACAAATTCTCTTCTGCGGTGTCCTTGGATGATTGTCGGTGGCCGCTCTTGTCTGCAGCAAGAACGCCCCAGATTAGCAGGCCCGTCCTTCGGCAGCTATCTCTTACCTCGGAAGAGGAAACGGACGAGGCGGGATCATCGCTCAAGGGCTATTGGAATCATGTACAACAGCGGTATCGATCTCGCCCCGTTGATATGCCTGCTTTATCAACGTGCCAGATGACATCGCTACCGGCCACTTGGTCGGTTGTGCACATGTGCGTAACTGAGGACAAAAGCACGTTGTTCGTTACTCGACAGTATGGAGGAGATATTCGCGATAGAGACTTGGTTTTCTGCGTTCCACTCAAAGGTCGACGAGACGGCGAAGGGGGCGAGGAGCACCTGACGTTCGAGGATGCAATTACCGAATTCCAGGACATAATACAATCAAGCAACCAGACGACGAAAGAGGCCGTCAATATTAAGCCAAATGACGACGATGCGAAGTCTAAATGGTGGAAAGAGCGTGCTGCATTAGACACTAGGTTACGAGAACTGTTGCAGAACATCGAGTTTTGCTGGTTGGGGGCTTTCAAGGTGCGTCCATGATTTCGTCTATCTTTTCTATACTGACGGGCCCTGCCAGACTATTCTGAGCCCGCGTCCACGACTTTCCGCTGAGGAGATTACACATATACGCTTCTTGTTCGATAAAGCCTTCCAGCGAGGACTGCACCTTCAAGACAAGAAGACTAAGCAGAAGGCTATAGGACACCGGAAGATCGCTTCCGATTATCAAATGCCTAATCGGGTAACCCTGGACGATACCTTAATGGAATGTTTCTCTACCCTGTCTCCTCGGTGTCAGGACGAGGAGCTAGAAGATCTCGTCTACTTTATGCTCGATCTGTACCAGTTTCATGGTGTTTCCGTCGCCATCGCTGAGATCGATGTAACTCAAGTCGTTGTCGATTTGCGTTCCGCATTGGAGGAGCACGTTTCTCGGAGGTCTAAAAGGGCGTGTAACGTCCCGGAGCAGGATGAACACATTTTCTTGGTCCTTGATAAGGATATTCAAGGCTTGCCTTGGGAAAATATTCCTATCTTACGAGGCCGAAGTGTCAGTCGCATTCCGAGCGTCGAGTTCCTTTTGGACAGAGTTGAATTCTCGCGGTGCAGATCAATTGGTGACTCGTGTATAGACAGGGCGATTGTGGATCCTCGCAAGGGTTACTATTTGCTAAACCCCAGCGGAGATCTTAGCCGCACGGAAGGAAGGTTTGAAGAGTGGACGGAGGACATGGAATCTGTGGGTTGGCAGGGTATCGTTGGACGGCCACCCAGTGAGCAACAGTTCCTGAACGCGTTGCAAGACAGGGACCTTGTTGTGTCAGTGTTATCTTTATTGGGTTTTGAGCGCCGACGTTTACATTGTCTTGTTTTAGGTATTTTGGTCATGGCGGTGGGGAACAATATGTTCGTTCACATAGGATTCGGCATCTCCCTCGATGTGCCGCTGTTATGCTCTGGGGATGCTCTTCGGGCTTTTTGCGGGAGATGGGCAACTTTGATCGCGTTGGGGCCCCTTATAATTATATGATTGCTGGGTGGTAAGTGAATCTTTCCTCTCCAGAATTATCTTTTCCTAATGAAGACGTCCTAGCCCAACGTTGGTCGCTAACCTATGGGACGTGACTGACAGAGATATCGATAAATTCTCGCAGTCAGTGTTTGATAAGCTGCGTCTCGATAGAGACCATGTACGGGACTGGACGGTCCAGTCGATGATGGACGCAGAGAGGACATCGATTGTTGCAGCCGTTGCCCAGTCAAGGGATGTGTGCAAGTTGAAGTATCTCACTGGAGCAGCACCAGTGGTGTATGGTATACCCTTCTACCTGTGATCTCAAGGATGCTCTTTAAGATGTAATTTATATAATGTCATTCGCAGACCGGAACAGTGCATATTTACTACTTGACCATTAGACTGTGTATTGGTTAAATTATAGACTTTCCTATAAGATGGAAGCCTCTATGGCATTCTCACGCGTGTCGCTTTGATTCGCTTGAAGGAGGAATGGCACCTGACGCCTAACAGCCGACCTAAGTGTAGAAAATTTCCGCAGGTCACCACGCAATCCTGTTGGAATCTTAAGGCGCTCTATGTCACTGTGGGGGTAACTACTGTGGAATGCGCAATGTCGGAATTCCACATGGAACAAGGCTTTTCCAACGGAACCATTGCGAAATTCCCGCATTCACAAAAAAAGGAAACTCGCCGCCCTGAGGAAGAGGAGCCGGAAGACTGGCAACAGGGTCGAGGATAACGATCACGGAGACGAACTTGAAGGACCAGTCGACCATGGGCGACCACAAAAGTCGAGAATTCTACTATACAAGCTCTGCCCCTCCCGTCGTCATCTACAAAGCCGGTGGGCACTGGGCCCACGAAACGCCGGTTGGAAATCGAATCTCCCCCTTATCTGCCGCACACCGCGTGCGCCGTCGTCGTGGGCATGAGCTATTTTGAGACTCCGCTCAAAGTTCTGTCTTTTAAAAACTATGATAATACTCTCTTCGTCGGTTTCTAACTCGTATGCACCTACTCTAGACATCTTGAACTGAAATCAGCTTTAATATCGGACTTGGTACTGGCATGAGCGTTTACCCAACCCTGGCGCTAAGTACCAGGCTCGAGCTCAGGGTACACGGCCAGCTAGCGTGTTCGCAGTGTCTTTGTGATCGCCGTGATGTTGGAATTCTATCCTTCAAGTGCCTGGCAGTCTGCAGCATGATCTTCCTGGGAACGTTAAATTTTTAATTTGGTCATCGAATGACTACAGCCCTTTTCCCGAGATATAAAGCCTGAGGCCTTCTCTTTCCACAGAATGTCCACGCTATGGCCTTGATTTTGGATACGTCTGTGGGGTTTGTCTACACTAGGACTCCCTTCTTGCTATTGGCGTCGCTTACGAAAGGAATATATAGGGCGCTCCTGGCGGCTTCGTGGTTGAACTTGATACTGTACACATCCCAGGTCGCTTTGAGTGTCTATTGCTTGCGCCACTTGACGATAACAAGGTCGTTGCGCTCTTGGATCTTGGCATCTTTGGTCATCGACGGGGCTTGTTCGATCGTTGACGTGGCTCACGTTTACAAGGTGTGTCATGGGCCCGTCGACAATCCTTGTGCTAATACAGCTACCCAGTATTTGGTTATTGGCGAAGGTTTGTCTTTGGAACAACTTTGTGTCCATGCATTAGTCGCTGAAGGAACGTCCAGCCTCATTATACCAAGAATTATCATGGACCGTCCCGTCTGCAGGCTTGCTAACATATACCTCCGCCTCGATTGCCCAGGCTTTTTTCTGTTATCGATATTGGACACTGTGAGTCTCTCCTACGTTTCTTGCGTACGCGTCCCATTCTAAAATGACGGGCATGTTTAGCACCGGGAATAAGTGGATCGCAGGATTGATTATATTTCTCATCGTAGCCCATGTGAGTCTCCCTTTGCCGGTACAAGTGTACGTCTGGTTGACGGGCAGTGTGTGTAGATGCTCTGCAATCTGGTAACAAACATCTACCTTCTTGCTCATCCGAGCGACCTTGTAGCAGCTGTACCGCTCTTGATGTGAGATTATGCCTTCTTGATTCAATGCCATGGTTTTACCGATTCTGATTCCAGAACTAACGCCGTGATATGTGCGGCAACGGACGTGACTATTGCGGGATCTCTGATCTGGGCATGTTGGCATATGCAAACGCCTTACATACAAACAAGGAAGTGAGTATTTCACCATCTACAAACCTCATTAATAATGTGTTCAGCATATTGCGACGAGTCATGGTACAAGCCTTGACCTGCGGCTTCACAACGGCCATTTCCACATCCTTCATGATACTTTTTCTTTTTACCGCTTGGAATGGTACGTGAGCTTGGCTCTTGTGCTCATCCTCAGTTGTTAATTATCGTCATTAAATAGCGTCCTATACCCTTTTTGCTGTGCTCGGACGCATTTACAGCCTGACGATTCTGATAACTCTTATGCTGCTTAAGGCTATGGGTCGTAGTGATCCATCTACGATCAGAATAGATGGTGATGGTGGCTCTGAGCCTGCGAGTAAGAGCCCGGTTTGTGAATTATGTTTTAAGCATACGTCGGATACCGACTCGACAGGGAAAATGCAGACATCGAGTAATGAGGTATGTATATGCATCCTTGTGTTGTGTTCTGACTGAGAGCATTTTTTGGTAGAGTGAAAATATTCATCCCTCGACGCCTCTTCAATTTGGGACTCTAGCTAAAGCTTGTATTCATACTGTTTAAATTATGTAATGAAAAGACGATGCCAGCTACCTGTATATCGATAGTCATTTTAGGAAATTCGCTTGAATCCATTCGCACTGTAGATTATAGTGATGCATGCCTACCCATCCCTTAGTTCGGCGAGCACAAGACGTTGACGATGACAAGGTGGTGACTCATTCCTTTAGTCAATCAAGCCTTATAGATGGCCTGCAAACCTTGCAAGTCGTCACGGTAGTACGTTCGCTGCCGACTCGGACTCGGTGGGTCGAGTTGCAATTATCGCAACAAAGTTATTGTCCGATTGATTTGATTTACACAAAGAATAAGCAGTGAGTAACCAACTCCGAGTCGACTCGGACCAAATTAGAGTTGAGGATCAAGATGATGTCCGAGTCGGGATCATCATCTTCAGTGAATTAAAAGTCAACATTATTAAATCTTATCTTCTCCGATTTCGGAATTAAATAGTGATCCTCAGGCTGACTAATTCTATTCCAGCTTTGGTAAGGTTGAGCATGACGCCATTAACTCGTCACTGCAAGCCCGTGGAATAGATAGCGTAGCAAAAATTACGATGACTGGACCGCGCGGATGCCCAAATACGGACCGCTACCCCGAGTCGGCCAGATTGACATGACACCCAGAACAATAACAATACAATTATAACATCCAATCACTCGACAATCATGCGAATTTCCCTCTTTCCGGAACGGACTTAATTTTTGTGAGCGGACTCCGAGGAGAAATCTACCGTATATAAGGAACTGCCGATGAGCAAGGATAGTCAGATTTCGCTGCTATGTCGTCCCCCAAGATCTTCATCACTGGTGCTACAGGTGCGCTGGGTTCTCTTCATCTTTTCCTGTGGGCTCGCTACTGATACTTGTTGTATGAAGGATACCTCGGAGGTTCCTTCCTCTCCAAGTTCCTCACTATCGTTGATCCTGCTACGATAACCGCCCTAGCACGGTCAGAGGACAAAGCTGAGAAGCTCAGGACGCTTGGAGTCCACACTGTCATTGGAAGCTACAAGGATGTCGACGTGCTCACCGATGCTGCATCGAAAGCAGATGTCGTGCTTACATTTGTAAGCTTGCTCATCGCTGGAAGCGGAACGTTGTTTATTCCATGCATAGGTCGATGCAGATGATCACGTAGCCGCAAAGGCTATCCTCGATGGAATGAAGAAGAAACACGAATTCGACGGATCCGTGCCTGCTCTGATTCACACCGTAGGTTTTCTGGCCGTCGTATGTCTATCTGGCTTGACATATCTTTAGTCTGGAACTGGTGTCATTCAAGACAATGCGCTGGGTTTGCACAGCAACTACCCTGTATTCTCTGACCTCGACCTCGACCGTCTCGCGAGCATCCCCGAGGAGGCTATCCACAGAAAGACGGATCTCTTGATATTGGAGGCAGATAAGCAAGGTACGCTCGCATATCCATTTTGAATTACGTCCTCTAATTTGATTGATCCAGGGTACATACGTTCCTACCTTGTTCTGCCACCTACCGTGTACGGCCTCGCTACTGGTGTCGTGGCAGACCTGGGCGTCCAGAACATTCATTCCGTACAGTTCCCTGCGATCGTCAAGACCAGCCTGTATCGGAAGCAGGGTGGTATGATTGGCGAAGGTGTGAATGTTTGGCATAACGTTTCTCTGTCCGATAGTGAGTATGAGTATATCATGTTTTTCTTCCCTTATTGACCTTGGCCTCAAGCCGTCAACTTTTACGTTCTTTTATTCGAAACTGTCGTGAAAAAACCTGATACCGCACATGGTGCGGAGGGATACTACTTCCTCGAGAATGACGAGCATACCATGCGGGAAGTCGCTACAGAGATCTCCAAGGCGTTGGTGGACCTTGAAATTGGCACCAACCCTGAGCCGAGCTCGTACACTGAGGAAGAGAAAAAGGCGTTCTTCGGGGTAAGCCTTTCTTCCTTTAGGCCGGTAGATATTCACTAATTTCTGTTCGTCTGTAGCCGCTCTGGCCATTCCTTGGAACTAATGCCCGGGTTAGGGCTGATCGTTCTCGGGCTCTTGGATGGAAACCGGTCGATGGGAAGGACAAGATGGTCGCTAGCCTTAAGGCTGAGATTGTATCGTTCTTGCCTCCTGCATAGATTTAAAAGAGCATCGTGAATGCTGTAATATGTTCTACTGTAACCGTATATCACACGTAATGGACTAGATTGCATCTCTTACTCTGCCACGATCTGTATAAAAGAAATATTTTGAAATATGGTAATTTTTCCATGACGTCACGCGTAGCGTTTACGTAAGTTCAGACAGTCTCTATTGTTCCTCCACTCTCTCTTACTTATCTTCAACTTTCTAGCCAGAATGAGCGACGGTTTTGTTCTTAACCGGCTCATGTTCTGCATGGAGCACGGCAATGAGCTATGTAACAAGTGCTACTGCGACCATCGCATGTGCAACAACATGATCGCAGAGAGTCGCATGGAAGGGATCAGTGGTGCTGCAAAGAGATTGGTTACGGATGAAGTAAGTGTCCATCTGTTTCCTTGACTTGATCATTTATATGTTATCTAGAATCGAAAACCTATTAGCGACGTCTTCGCGCTTGGCGCAGTCAAGAGTGGCGAAAAGGATGCTGACGGTTATACATTCTACAAGTGCAAAATACACGATACTATTGACTGTCCAGATTGCTTCGACTGGATCAAAATTATCGTTGCGCAGTCCAAGAAGAAAGATAAAGGCAAGGTATGTCGGAAGTAGCTATCCTAAAGAACGTTTATTAATGGAAATAGGTCGAGGATCGGAGTCAGATTTTGGGGCTGTTGAAGTCGATGGGTATCGACCTGCCTCCGACTTTGAAATTACCCGATGACGCGCTCGAGAAGAAACTCGCCAGTGCCTTGAGTGCTGCCCAGGAGATATCAACTCTGGGGAAATTCCCCATCAACCCCTCTAAGCTCCCGCGGTGGGAGGTGAGCCGATTTTGTCAAATGTACCCTTATCACCGTTTATAGACGGTAATTTGATAGAATCAACCCAAATCAGCATTTGATGCTATGCAACGAACGAGCATGGCCGAGGCGGTGAAGAACTTCAATGCAAGGACACGAGGCCTCCCAGACCCCTTCGCCTTGTACAGCTCTGCTTTCCTTGATGCCAGGCAAACTCTGAGGCATTTGTGTCGCAATCTCGAAACAGGCATGGACATCAACGTACTGCAAGACAAAGATCATAATGAAGTTATTTGTATTCGTGTACGTGATGTGATTCTTTCGCTAGTTCCATTTCTCAACTCGGGGATCATAGGTTTTGGACATATACAAGCTCAATGACACGACGCCACTCATTTCTTTGATCTACGAAACAGCTAGCATCAGTACACCCATTAACACCACCATTGATTTCGTCCAGACTGTCATCTCAAAAGGACGTAATGGAGGGCCACCCGGGCTTCCCCAAATTACTTGCACGCCGGAGGAACAGGCTCTCTTGCGCAAGCTGCTTTTTCAAAATTCACAACGCTTAGTGTCCGAATATATGCCACACAAAGAGCGCTATGAGAGAACTTTCAAGACGTCTTTCCTCCTCCCTCTCGGGCCCCTTGATCAGATAACTATCGGGAAATTAAGCAGCAATCTTGGCTGTGAGGTCTGTGGCGAGAAGACCACAAGTCGGTGTTCTCAATGTCAGTCTGTATCTTACTGCGGTCCAAGTGAGTCTCACAGAGTCACACATCTGTGATTGATTATTGATGCGCCGCCGTTAGCCTGCCAGAAAGCCCATTGGAAAGGTGCGAGACTCAAGACACGTTAATTATTCTAGCTGACGGTTCACTGCAGATCACAAGAACTTCTGTCGGTCCTTGAAAGGAGGAAACTGGATCCAGTTCCATTTCGTCACAGCAATGAAGGACATTAACGGGAAGAAACTCTACACATCATATGTGAATAACCAAGGAAGAATGAACCCCACGACTGTCACCCCAGATGACGATGCGCCTCCTTCGAACGTTCACGGAGATAAACCTTTCTTAATCAAGATTCAGAAGCCGTTGACTCGATTGCCTGGGCTTGCGATTTCGGAGGATGCTATTGTTCCTCCTTCGTTGTTGATATATGACAGGCAGCGCAGTTTTCGAGCCCATGCGATCGAAGTCGATAATCCACAAGCGTACCCGATGGCTATTCGCGAAGTTCTGATGGGGCAGACCAAGGTTAAGATCTATCGGTGGGCGAAGAGAGTCGGGGACTTTGAACTCAGTGTCTGTCTTGACCGTGCACCGGATCCCGAGCCCACTTGGTAAGTACAGTAGCCTTTCGGTGTTAATGCTACCAAATGGATTTATCTTCGTCCAACAACACATGACTGAACCTAAATCTCTCCATAATTGGCAGTGGCATATGTCGCTACGCTACAGCTTTGACCTACATGCAACCTTCAATCCGAGTTGTCTGACCTTGGTTCCACGCTTGTCCGCACACAATCATCAGAGCTTTGGCCTCTCTACTACCTGCACTTGGGCTTCCCTCGTGATGTGCTAAAGATTACAAGGCAGATCTCGACGAAAGCTCAGACTATTCTAATTATGCTCAGGACCGCTCCAGGAGTTATATTCTGACTCGATGGAAGGAAGGTCTGCAGGCTTCTTGCCATGGATGATACCAGCATGACTCGGCTGTCTTCAACGCATCGCGACTCAGGAGCTACGACCGTCCGCGTCGACGTAGGGCATTTCGACCCGGATGGCACGCAAGACTTGCGACGGACGTTCTCAAAGTGTTCCAACGCGGGAGATGACAGTGCCTCGTCGTCTACCATAGGAAATGCAGAAGACTTTGACTTTCAGAGGACACTGGGGGAATTCATTAAGCGGTGTGTGATACTTTTACTGGTGTCGCTTGTAGATGGGTTAAACCTCTGGTGTCGTTCTTAGACGCGATGATGCTCAGGTCAAAGCTCGTGAGCTGGGCGTCGTATTTAGGAATCTCCGGGTCGTTGGGATGGGCGCATCGTCTTCACATCAGCCTACGCTTGGAACAGCTTTGGATCCGAGGAGTATTCTCGACGTCATCCAAAGGATCAGACATCCACCTATTCGTGATATTATCAGCGGCTTTGAAGGGGTGGTGCGTCCTGGGGAAATGCTGTGTAAGTTCAAAATCCATTTGTGCCGTACTTCAGCTGAGCGACAACAGTGGTATTGGGTCGTCCAGGATCGGGATGTTCTACCTTGCTCAAAACGCTTGCCAATCAACGAGGAGAATATCATGCTGTAGAAGGCGATGTTCGGTATGATTCAATCTCTCCGGAAGAGCTCGAGAAGCACTACCGCGGTGATGTTCAGTATTGTCCGGAGGACGATATCCACTTTCCTACTCTTACTGTTGAGCAGACCATCTCTTTTGCTGCGAAGACACGATCGCCCCGTGGCCGCATGGGCTTGGCCACATCGGAAGACGACTACAGTGAACTGGTTACAGACATTCTGTGTACGGTGTTCGGTCTTCGACATGCGAGGAAGACTCCCATCGGAAATGCCTCGATTCGTGGTGTGAGCGGTGGAGAGAAGAAGCGTGTATCTATCTGCGAGGCGCTTGCGACGAGGAGTTGTATTGGCCTGTGGGATAAGTACGTCGTGGCTTTCGGGTTTTCATCCTATGGTTATTGACTATCTTATAGCTCCACGCGCGGCCTGGATTCTTCCACAGCATTGGAATTTGTACGGGCACTGAGAATTGCAACGGATATGATGCGTCTTACGACGATCGTTTCAATTTATCAAGCTGGCGAGCCGCTATATCGGTTATTCGATAAAGTGTGCGTCATATACGAAGGTAAAATGGCGTATTTCGGGCCGGCGTGTGCAGCGAGGTTGGTGACTTGTTCTTTCATAACCAAAGATTGGTCCCTGACATAATTTGCAGACAATATTTTATCGACTTAGGATACACTCCTGTAAATCGGCAAACCACTGCAGACTTCCTTGCGGCAGTGACTGATCCAATGGCACGCATTCCGAGATCCGATGTCCTGTCTATCGCTCGTAGTGCTGAGGAGTTTGCTAGGCAATTCAAGCAGTCTCAGCTGGGGCAGGAAAATCGGGCGGACATGGCATCATACGAAGGAGAGTCTGAAGCTGAGGAGAAATCTTCAATGTTTAAAGAGAGTGTTCGAGCTGAACACGCGGCTGCGAGCAGGAAGAAAAGGTACTGACGTTTCCTCATCTCGATGCGTCTTGCTAATACATTTTCGTCTCAGTCCTTACACGGTCAGTATCGCAATGCAGGCTCGGGTTGTAATGCTCCGAAAGATGCAGATTATGCATGGTGATATGTTAGCCATAGGGTTGACCTTCTCGTTAGTGTTTTCCTGTCGGTTCTAATGCTTTCGTTCTTCATGGACGCACCTTCACAAACAGGACCTACGTTATAATAGGTATCATCATTGGCTCTGTTTTCATGAACAGTCCGGAAACTACGGAGGCTTTTTATTCCAGGGGTGGTGTTCTTTTCTTGTATGTACGTTTCTTATTCTCAAGAGATCATCGTCCTGACCTTCCAAGCGTTCTGTTATTTTCGGCCTTGACGTCAATGGCCGAGATCCCCTCGTTATTTTCTCAGCGTCCTATTGTCGAAAGACACAAAAAGGCGGCTTTGTATCACCCCTTTGTCGAGGCTATTGCTTCAACGTTGGTCGATATACCTTTAACATTTGTGACCAGCATAGTTTTTGGCGTCGTTGTCTATTTTATGGTTCGACTTCAACAATCAGTGGTATGGCTTCCGTTAGTATCCCACCCGCGTGATTTATTGACTACCTGTCTACATTGTCGTCAGGCGCAATTTTTGTGAGTCCAAAGATGATCTTAATGTTTGCGTCGCTTACGAGCCTTCGTAGTACATTCTTCCTCTTTATTTTCGTTACATCTTTAGCGATGAAGGCGTGGTTCAGGGCAATTTCGGCTGCTTGTAAAGCCAGTGCTCCTGCTCAAAGCCTGGCAGGTATATCTATTTTAGCCCTTGGATTATACACTGGTAGAGTGTTTTTTTACCTTGATCTTCTTTCTCTAATTCGTGTCCAGGTTACACTGTTCCTAAGCCATCCATGATCAGTGCTTTCAAATGGATCGCATACGTCAATGTACGTCTCTCCCGAGATTAATGCATGCGATGTATTGATTAGAGCCTCCCTCTGCTAGCCTCTGAAATATGGGTCCGTTGTTATGCCGTTCTGTTTCTAGAAGGAAGCTGACACAAGTCCATCAGATTCGACGCCATTATGAGCAACGAGTTCCACACAATTGATGGAGCCTGTTCTCAAATCATACCGCGAGGATCTGTGTACGACCAAGCGCCTCTGGAAAACCAGGTCTGCACTATCGTCGGATCTGAACCAGGAAAAGCATATGTGTCGGGGTCACGATTCTTGAAACTCTCATATGACTACGAATATTCGGACATCTGGACGGTGCATATATTTTTATCGACTCCTATGCAAATTGACATCATCTACAGAATCTGCTTATTCTCATAGCTTTTGAAGTGGCATACTGTATCGCTCTCTTTATTCTGACCGAGTATAACACAAGGTCTGAGGGCGAGACTTCCGTCGTTCTTTTCAAACCAGGCACCAAAATCTTACTACCAACTTCTGACCACGACGAAGAAAAGGCAATATCCCAATCAGCACCTCTTGACGACAACATTACGAGCGAGAAGGCGAAACGACCAACTGTCCACCGACCGATTTTCTCATGGCAACATCTCCAGTACACGGTTCCCATATCTAATGAGGAGGACAGACGTCTCCTCGATGATGTATCAGGCTATGTGGTACCTGGGAAAGTAACCGCCCTCATGGGAGAATCTGGCGCCGGTAAAACTACGCTACTCAATGTTCTCGCAGAGAGAGTCACGACTGGTGTTGTGGCCGGCGATAGGTTTGTCAACGGACAGACATTGCCTCCAGATTTCCAAGCACAAACGTCAGTCTGATCTGTACCCTTTGGACCGTTCTGATGCGTGTTGTATAGCGGGTACTGTCAACAATTGGACACTCATGTTCCATCAGCCACCGTTCGGGAGGCATTGTTGTTTTCTGCGAAGCTTCGGCAGCCACCGAGTGTCCCATTAGCTGAAAAGGAGGCCTAGTGAGTTTTCCTCTTGCGGACTGTTATTCTGGCGTTTCACCGGTTTACAGCGTTGAAGAATGCTTGAAGATGTGTGGATTAGAAGCCTATGCCGATGCTTGCGTCGGTTCACTTAGTATTGAACATCGAAAGCGTACAACGATCGGCGTTGAGCTTGCCGCAAAGGTAAGAATCACGCCTTGGGTGTTTCCCCCCTGCAATTAATCCGGATTAATGCTCCTCTCAGCCTGCACTGCTGCTCTTCTTAGACGAGCCGACGTCCGGCCTTGACTCACAAAGTGCTTGGGCCATCATGTACTTCCTACGGCAGCTGGCTGATAGCGGACAAGCAATTCTCTGCACGTACGTACATAGTCGCCGCATACTTCGCTTTAATTACTCACCCGATACATACAGAATACATCAGGTTAATTCAATATCAATTATCGAGTATAAGATTCTAAGTTCCAATCATAGCCTTCGGCCGAACTATTCCAAGTCTTTGACCGGCTCCTCCTTCTCCAACAGGGCGGACAAACCGTCTATTTTGGTGACCTCGGCCCACACTCTTCTACCGTCATCCGCTACTTCGAGACGCACGGATCGCGTCCATGTCTTCCGGACGAAAACCCGTAGGTTCTCTTCAAGTTCCCTTCCGCAATGTGTCTCATAAATATCTCCAGTGCGGAGTTCATGCTCGACGTCATTGGCGCTGGTGCCACAGCCAAGAGCACGCAGGATTGGCACACAGTCTGGCGAGAGTCGTGTGAGTTCCAGGAGGTGCAGCGGGAGATTGCTGATATTCACACGACGGGCCGAACTCACCCGCCTGTGCAAGCAGCGTATACGCCGACGTCGTGGCTATACCAAATGCATGTTCTTCTCCACCGAAACACCATTGCTTTCTGGCGGGACCCGACGTACATCATGTCCAAGATGGTTCTCAATGCTATCGGGGGACTCTTTATCGGTGTGACGTTTTACCACTCAGCGGATAGTCAGCAGGGAACGTTGAATAAGATTTTCGTGCGTTCCGCCTCCCCCGCTTCTGTTATATCCATGACTTTGACGTACTTCAGGCGGTGTTCATCCCTACTGTACTTTGTGTTCCGATGGGCGGCCAGATACAAGTGCAATTCGCTAACATGCGAAGCGTGTATGAGATCCGGGAACGTCCGAGTAGGATGTACAACTGGGGCGCGCTGGTCACCGCACAGATACTCGCGGAGGTTCCGTGGGGCATTATCGCCTCCAGTCTATTATTCTGCACCTGGTATTGGACTGTTGGATTTGAGACTTCCCGCGCCGGATACACCTATTTGATGCTTGGAGTTCTGTACCCTTTGTACACATCGACGTTTAGCCAGGTTCGTTTGCGAGAAAAGCCTGCCTTTTGTACGCTGATCAAATCGATGTAGGCCATCGCAGCTATGGCGCCTAGAGCAGAGATCGCCACAGTCCTTTTCTCGCCGTTCGTTTCTTTCGTAATCATATTGTAAGCCTGGCATATCCTCCCAGAAACCAGAGAAATCTAATTCCCTCTTTTAGCAACGGAGTCCTCCAACCACACGCCCTCCTGGGCTGGTGGAAGTGGATGTACCGCCTCTCTCCGTTTACCTACCTCCTTGAAGGGATAATTGGATATGGTGCGTCACCCCATCCCCGTTCTTCTCTCTTCTCCTTACCCAGTACTCTTCCACAGCCGCAGGCGACTCCCTTCTAACCTGCTCCTCACTCGAATACGTCACCGTCGTGCCACCGGAGGGCCGAACATGCAGCGAATACATGGACCTCTTTATCAGCTATGCAGGCGGTTACCTCCTCGATCCTTCCGCCACATCAGCATGCTCCTTCTGCCCTTTCCGTACTTCAGAAGCTTACCTCGAGTCTAATTTCAATATCAAATATGATAACCACTGGCGCGATATGGGTGTCTTTGTGGGGTTCATTGTTTTTAATGTGAGTGGTTCAAAAAGGCTGCTTCGTGACGTGATTGATTGATGGGTGGGTGGCATAGATCGTGATGGTATACGTACTGACGTACTTCTTCCGCATACGCTCGGGTAGCCTCGTTCCGTCTTTCTTACAACGGAAACAACGTTGATGATTTATGCCTTTTTGCTGTCGTTTTCTGACCATGACATTCTATGCTCAGACACTGCACACGGACTTGTTGTGTGCTGTCGCTTATTATTACGAAGTAATGAATATACAAGTAATGCCTAGTTTTGAATCGATTCCATCTTTAAGCGAGTCTGTAACACGAGCACGTACCTATATTGGGGTCAGGAAAAGATGGACAGCAGTATTCAACAGTATTTCCACATAAGTAGACGAAAAACACGAAAAATACAGAACATTACAATCCAGAGCGCACGGGGAAAGTGCAAACTGATGTCCAACCCTACGGGATATCCATTGTTATACACCGAAGCTCTAGAAGGGATGTGTTCGTCGCGACTTTGCTGCAAGAAGACAGAACGCGGAGCAGGTGAGTATTTTATCGTGGGTATGTCGTACTTTGAGCAGAGCGAGCGCTTAGGTGGCGAACATGGGAGCGACTGTGGGCTAAACGTGTAGATGGACGGCGGCAAGACTATGGGCGACTCGTTAGCAGAACGGTCATAGATGGATGGCGTTAACAACGAGCTCGAGTCTTTTAGAGCCGTTGGTTTCGACTTGGGCTTGCGAAAGAGCGGAGAGAGGTAGAACCAGAGAAAGACGAAGAACAGAACGAACACGACGGCGAAGCCTAGGACTAAAGGCAAGTCGGCGGTGAGAACGGCGGGCGGGAAGGTGGGATGAGCGTACTAGTGATGGCGCGCTCGGGAACTTGCGTGAGAAATGAGCTAGGGAGTGGCCGCGGTTAGAGTTCAAGACCAACTGGCGATGTTTGGCCCAGCTTGATATCGAAATATTGGTCAGGATCTTCTACGAAATAAAAGACGGCCTAAATTATTTAAATAAACCATTTCTGCTTCTCATGGCCCTGAGCAGAGAGTCAGCTCAAAATCAAGCAAGAAAGATGAGGTTAGACCGGACGTAAATAGACTAGTGCCTTGCACATATTATTTGTCTGAAGGATAATGAGCCTCTGACTGGAAGCTTGAAGAATACCCATCATTATATCCTGAAGGGTTCAATGCTGTCACCCCGAGGTTGGCTCTCCACTATTCGAACTTGAGAAAGGCGAAGCATATCACTGGAACTGGATGTTGGCCACGGTATTATCTTATAGACTTTGGTCTTTCGTGTCGGTATGATCCTTCCAATGGATGGAACCTCCACTCCGCGGCGGCGATAAATATCGACCAGAACATTCAATTATTACCGTCAACCCTCCTTGGGTCGATGATTGCAACCCCTTCCCAACAGATGTACTATTGACAGAAGAATATATGTGAGTATCTCAGTCGGGCACAACGTGGGTGAAGCGACTGAGGCATATAGATAGGAACGGCTGGACTATATAGGTGATCGGGAAACGACAGGAGGTGTAAGTATATATAAGGCAAATAGAGCGAGTGATCAAAAAGTAAGATAAGATGAAACGTACGGATATCCTCCAACATGTACATTATTTGGGTAGTATGCTACAGAGAAAGGTTTCCGTGGTCAGTAACCTTACTTCAGAGAATCATAGAGTTCTACTGACCTTGCTGGTACATAGGACAAATTCCCTCCTCTGCAGTTCTTATCTTCTCTCACTGACGATATGATCCAATACGATCTAAACCTGTGACCTACAATTGGAAAAGTCATCCAATGCTTCGCAGAGTTATGCAACCGTCGGACTGCATTTGAATATACAGGTGCGTGCTGTGGTTTCGTTCTTTTCATGGTCGATCACCGTGCAGGAACATTTAGGTGTTTTATGACTTTTATAACGATACGCCATTGTACCTAGCTCCCTGCAGGTATTTATGAACGTGACGTTCGTTGCAACTTGCACCTTTTATGTACAGAATACACATATACACGAAGAACATTACAAAAAACTCTGTGTATACTTTGGTGACGATTCTCCGTTGTATTCTCCGACAACACCATGTCTTTGACCTCATTTACTTATGGTGCGTTGTTATCCGCTGAGTCGCCACATCAATATTTCCATTTTATATACCGTTTTACTGCTTGTTGCCAGTGTTTGGCCACATTCCCCCCCCAAAATCTCGGCGTCGGGTGACCACTTCTGGACTGCTTATTAGACATAGTTTCTTCAGCAGCAAAGGTATGGATGCTGGCCGATTGAATTTTGGTAGGAGGGTCGGGGAATTGAATTCGGCAAGAATTACGAAAAAATTTGATGCGCTTATCACGTGTCCGTGTCCTAACTCACACCACCATGTATAGTTAGTGCACTACAGAATCGGAGCCTTCGATATGTGTTGCATTTATTCATTATGTATGTCCTCGCTGAACGCGTACGTAACATGCGAGTCGATTTAGATGTTCGCGTCATATGCGGACACCAGGCATTTCACATGTGCCTCCGGTAATTTCCTCTACTCATCCTTAATACAATACAAGTGTTGAAAAAGACATTCCACTTCTGATGTTGTTGTAAACGCTTGGCTGATGAATAATTTTTGCGCTCTTGGTGCTATAAAAAATTCACCCCGTTGTTCCCAAAAAACACATCGGTTCCCTGGAAAGTGGTTCTTCGATCGACGGCAACCATAACCACTTAGGTCCTCAACGTGTCTCTTTTTGTGCTATGTATGCATAATGCTCTGTTACAGTTAAGGCTGGTACAGTAAACCTTGGTGCTTTCCGAGGACTTTGCAAGAAAATAGAATGAGAAGCGGGAGGGTATCGTATCATGGATACGTAGTACTTTGGGTAGGGCGAGCGCTTGGGTACCAAACATGAGAGCGACGGCGGGATGGATGTATAGACGGGTGGCTGTGAAGCTATGGACGACTTGTAAGCAGAATGGTTGTAGATGGTTGGCGTGAACATTGAGCTCGAGTCTTTCAGCAACATTGGTTTGGCCTTGGGCTTGCGAAAGAGCGGAGAGGTAGAGCCAAAAAGAAGACAAGGAACAGAACAGGTGGCGAAGCCTAGGACTAAAGGCGAGTCATCAGCCGCAGGAGCGGCGGTATGAGCATACTAGTGATAGTCTTGCTCGGTGCTTGCAGGAGAAATGAACGAAGGAGTAGTCGTGGTTGACATATTAGTCAGGTCTCCATGATTTTATACAAGCATGTTCAAAGATCTATTACAATACTCAGGAAAGACATAGAATAGAAGCATTGGCTCTCTGCGACAAGTCAAGGTGGTCCTGCTCTGTGCTAGCAAGGTCACTAGTTACAGCATTGATTTCAAAGCCTCGAATAGAACGACTGCCCCAGGACGATCCGCGGGATTGTATGAAAGACACCTGAGTACTAAGGACCACAAATCATCAGAGGGAAAAATATCAGTTCCAGGACGGGGCGGTTCATTCCGCTTCACTAAGACCTCATATATGACGGCCGAATCAAGCAGGAGATAAGAAAAGGGAGGTTTTCCGGTATAGATCTCATGAAAATATCAGCCACACGTCTAATAGACAGAGTATGGTCGCTCACTTCAACGATGGTGCATCCAAAGGCATACATATCTCGAGAAGTAATGTACGCCTCAGTGCGTAAGGAAGTATCCAGGTATTCTGGAGCCAGCCAATGCACCGTTCCTCGCTTCAGCGAGGAAGAACTTCGGGGATTGTGGGTCTCAACGACAAAGGAGAGTCCAAAATCAGCCAGATAGCATTGTATGTCATTGCTGATTAAAATGTTGGCCTGGAAGGATGAGCTTTCACTGTAGAGGATGTAAAGAAAGTGTTCCATACCCCTTTTATGTCTGCATGAACCACCGGCGGTTGAAGACCATGAAGCCACTGTATCGCATCTGCAATCTCGACGACCTGAAAACGGGTAAGTCATAAATACAGCCTGCAGACTCGACATTGAGGACATACAAATTTCGGTCGTTTGTGTGAGTCCTGAGGATTTTTATGCAGATACTCGATAATGTTACCTTGACGCATCCAAGGGGAGATCAGGCAAAATCTGGGTGCGAAAAGGTCCTCGTTGACACCTAAGAGCGGCAAAATATACGGATGGCGCAACTGCCTCCACACCATAACTTCTTTAAGATAGTTCTGTGATAGACACCAGATCAAAGTCGGTCAATATTCTCATATCTATATTCACCTTGAAGGATGAGTCGCGATCGTCTTTCTCAGGAAAATACCTGAGTACTTTCAAACACACGGGCAGGCGCTCTAGCTCAAGGTTACCTCTCCAAATATCCTATTCGACAATAATTTCAGTATGTCGGTGATGCAAAAACCTTAGATGCTCACGCAGGATGCGCTGCCACAAATTGGATGGTCGCCATCTTTCGTAATTGCTTCTTTGGCAAGGTAGCAAGTTGTCGGGATGATTGCATAAATCCTGCTCAATGCTTGAAGACAACTGATACAGCATCTACGGTAGTTGTCGATTTCTGATGCGTAATCCACCTCCTTCACACTTTATTCAGGTCACATCGAAGATATCCGATGATTAGCACATACCCATTGAAGCGTATCAATGACCCGTTTGGCTACTGAAGGGGGCACAAGATTCATTTTCTCCCAGGGTGATTGGCTGGAACGGAGAAGTGAACGGATTTGTGCAATCAAGACGTTGGCTGTGGAGTGTAGTTGTAGGTCGTTCCAATCTGTCACTGAAGCAGCGGCATGAATCACTTCACTGTATCAAAGATATATGCTCAACATGCCACGTAGGAACGCCAGTACGGACGTACATTGGGTTTACATCTCCCGACTTCAATAATATGCCACATTGGCGCTCGCTGTGCTCCTGGAGATACGTGGTCAGAAACCAAGGGTGCCTGAATATAATAGACACATTACAATTTCCTTGATGCTGGGTGTGGAGTCAGATGTAAGTGATGGATATTGCTGACACTCGGCAGATGGCCTACTCAATGCGACGCCTCGGCCTCTTCAGCCTAAAAACAGTTAGAAAGAGAGACAATGGCGATATGCATTAAACATACTCTAGATTCCCGGCATCGTCCCCAGGAGAAGCTGCAAAAGGTTTATAATGCTGATCTTTGAAAGGAAAAATCTTACGTGGTAATAAACCGCGCCTTTGGGCATCTGCAGAGGATATCTAAATGAAATGGCATCTTTCTTATTGGTTCAATAAAGGTAAGGGAATCGGTGCATACCGTAATAAGAGAATACGTATGTTCCATGTTCTGAAGAAACTGATTCGCGATGTGGTGTCTTCGAGATGGACGTAGCCAGTGGCTGAGCTTAAATGGCTCTTTCATCATGGCCTCAGCATCATTTCTACGGTCGACCGAGCTGAAGAGCGAATAAATTTGTAATTTTCCAACATCAAGTTTTGTAACGTACATCCAATAGCTGTCTTTCACCTCCTCTCTCTCCTCTGGACGCCAGGCCTCCGAGTTGGCGAGGAACACACCTTGCGATAGTCGCTGATGTGCTAGTCCTTCATTCCACTTACTTTTAATGCTAATGTTCTTCTTGACCATGGCTCAAAGATTGAAGAGAAAAGGAAGCAGAGACCACGTACTATATAGATCCATGTCGATGAAGCGCGTGCCGGATGCAAGGCATATCGATAGAGTTGATGATGGGAAATTGCCGAGCTCGCGATGCACATGACATATACACGTTCCACCTTTTGATGCAACTTCACTACAGCTTTCTTTACCTTCAATGTGGTGGGACCTGTTGCCCCAAGAATTTGATCCTCGGCCTCCTACGAAAGGAGAGATCTTTTGGACCTTTCATCAGCCATTTCTTGCTGAAGCCGGGTACAATTTGCGACCCAAGTACGAACCAGGATGGAAGCCGCCGCCATGGAAGACAAGATGGGATATGATACGTAGCGAGGAATACGCGCCACACCCGGTAATGAACAAATTTTCTTAGCACAAACTCAATTCATTGTAGTAACAGCGCTACTGCATAATGGACGCAAAACGCGCGTCTGATGGACGGTTGCTCACCCTCAAGCGCATCTCCAAGTCAAGACACCCCCACGAAGTATCGATAGGCAGGTTTCTATCATCTACTCCATTAGCTGGCGATCCAAAGAATCACTGCGTTCCAATCTACGACGTACTCCAGTCGCCGCTGGATGAAGATTTTGAAATCATTGTAATGCCGCGACTGCGTCGGTTTGATAGCCCCGCTTTTGACACTGTCGGAGAGTTTATAGAATGTTTCCGTCAGATATTCGAGGTCTGTCACTTTGTGGTTACGCCCCACTTCATGTAATATTTCCTGCAGGGAGTAGAATTCATGCACAAGCATTTTGTCGCTCATCGGTATGGCGCATTCACGTCAAATATCTATGATGATATTCATTATTCATATCTATTCTCAGTGACTGTACCTTGATGAACATCATGCTGGATCCAAGTGAATTGTATCCCGAGGGATTTAGTCCTGTCAGCCCATGGCTAGTTCCCGACCACTCTAGCCTGAGACCGGCGAAACACATTACTCGAACCCAGTGTTGGCCACGGCATTACCTCATTGACTTTGGCCTATCGCGACGTTACGATCCTTCCAACGGACCGCCAATGGAACCTCCAATTAGCGGCGGTGACAAGCATCCACCAGAACATTCAATTATTACTGTCAACCCTCCTTGGGTCGACGATTGTAATCCTTTCCCGACAGATGTATATTATTTGGGTAGTATGCTGAAGAGAACCTTTTCTGTGGTCAGTGACCGTACTCCAGTTAATGAATTTTACTGACTTTACTGGTACATAGGGCAAATTTCGTCCTCTACAGTTCTTAAATTCTCTTGCTGATGATATGATCTTGTGGGATCCTAACTTACGCCCTACCATTGGAGAAGTCGTCCAGCGCTTCGCAGAGTTATGCAACCGACGGACTATGTGGCAGTTGCGCCAGCCAGGATGTTCGAAAAAGGACATGGTCTGTCAAAGGTTAAGACAGCTAAAGTACATCCTATGTCATGTTCCCCCTTTACCTTCTGCTCCGTTTCCAACTGATACCACCATCGACCCATCACTTCGTACTTTTTACGCATTGACACCGGCACGACTGGCTGTCTTTATTGAATACGGAACGATCTAAATAGCGGATTCTTGACCATGGCCGCACTGTAACGACGACTTAGTGAGTCTTATAACGGTACCCTGTACCTAGCACCTTGAAAATATATTAGGAATGCGACCTTTACGCCAAGAATAGTATGTACGCTGCACACCGGGGAGCCACATCTACACAAGAAAACTCTTAGATGCAAACGCATTGTTCAGTTTTACGGTGACTAAATTGACATATCAGCACTATCAGAAGCGTACAAAGCAACGAACTGGTACCTTCTTCGTAAAGGTTTCCGAGTAGGAGAAGATATGAATACACGGCAAAGTCGCGAATGGTATGGCATAAAAAAGGTAGTGTATATCACAGGATGTATGTAATAGTAGATGGGAAGAAAAATGTCATTGTATACACCGCTATCTCAAACTATGCCGATGTACTCTCCTGACCCTCCATCGCCGTCTTCTCTTCCGGATCAAGCCAGCTCTCCTCCACTGTAGCCTTTACTCGTCTCACATATTCTTTCATATTTTCCCTATATAGCTGTGCTGCCTCCGCATTGGCTGGGCTATTAGGGTTCGGGTCATGCAGAAGACTCTGTATCGATGTCAGGATCGCGGCGACATCGTAAGTCGGGGACCATCGGTTCTGAAGGATGTCTAGACAGAGCTCGCCGTTCGCATATACATTCGGGTGGAACATCCGTGAGAGGAACTTGACGGTGGGGGGCTTGTTGGGGTAGGATTCGTCAAAGGTGAGCAGGAGTTTGAAGGTGCCGTCTTCAAAGGGCGTTTCGCCTGCATTAGTGGGTGAGCCAAGTAGCGAAAGTGAAAAAAAAGGTAGAACGTACCTGGGCCAAATATAACGGCGTTCCATAGCATGATGTTGTCTGGACATGGGCTCCCGGAGATGCCACCAGGAGGATCCGTCGACAATCGCTTAAAGTCTCGGATGAGGCGTCGTCTGCAATTCGTAGACTGTCACATTTGTCAGCGAGGATATCGCATGAAGGAACGAAAACGCACCATTTCGTTATGAAGAAAAAAGTTTCAAGATGGACGTAAGACAGAGGGCTGACTCGCGTGCCTGCTGACAATAGCAGTGCCAATTATTTGGCATCTTCGCCCGATACAAATATCGGAACCTATACGCCGAGCAGCCGGCGTACTTATCATGCGAGTCGCGACAGTCACAAAAGGGCAAGTACGTCTTTTGACTATCAACGGTATGCAAAACCGTCTTGTCCCATGGAATGAACGGATCCGCTTTAAACCAAGCACATCATCTATCTTCTGCCATTCCACAGGGAACGTATACGAAGACTCCCGCGCGAGGGTGGCATCGTTTAGGCGGTCCTTGGGCTCAGGGCGCTCTTTCGCGATGATCGTGAGAGCGTCCCTATATGAAGACCTGTGCGGGGACACTATTGCGAACGAACCTCTTCCGCCAAACTTCTGTCGAAGGTGGGGATTTCAGGGCAAGGACGTGGGCCCTCACAGCATCATGAACATCAATAGCACCTGAGGCGGTAGAGACTCTAGTGTTTCCAGGTCGAAGGAGCGCATAGTTGCTCTCGTTTGTGGAAAGAGCGCTGAGGTCGGGCTCAGGAAGGAGGTATTCGAGGCCAGGACGAAGGGCCCGTAATTAAAGGGAGGTCCAACTGCGGAGAAAGGCCGTGTAAGTTGAACGAAACAAGTTGAACATACCAAGCGTAACATCTATTTCTGGATGTTTCTCCGCGAATTCAACGACCGCCAGGTCTGCATATTTCTTCTGGGCTACGTAGATCTGGAATGGCTATCCTGAAGCTGTCGCTTGTTCCTTGCTAATATGATTCCAGTCTATAGCGCAGTACAATGGGTAAAATGCGGATCAAAGAAAGACGAAAAATTACCGTTGACACAGAGAGGGCCTTTAGGGAAAGAATGTGTTACTACAGAGCTTGTAGCAACAATCCTGGGAACTTTGGCTTTTACAGCTTCGCGTAGAATATGAAGCGATCCTTCGATGCTGCTCTGTAGATTATCATGCCCACATTAATCGCTGATTGATTATCATGGATTGGAGACTCACCCTGAACGCCGTCTCTGGGTCGACTCTTCCAGGGAGGGGAGCTGCAGCATGGATGATTCCAACAATACCTCATGGAACAAATGCGAGCACGACAGTGGGTATATATAAACTTGAAACTGCCCTACCTTTGAGGTGTCACTGGAAGCGATGTCTGCGACCTCGACGACTTCGAATCTGTCGCTGCTGTAGTTGGCAGACAAAGCTTTGTTGAGCAGGTCAATTTCTTTCCGCTGGCTACACTGAGATATAACGACCGTCAGAAAGGACCTTTGATCTGCTATAAATATAACATACGCTCGAACGGAATATCTGTCATCTAACAGTTGGGTCAAAATATGGGACCCGATAATGCCTCGGTCACCTAACGATATTGAGGATCTGGTGAAAAATATGAACACTGAGAGCGCTGTGATACTTACGAACATTAAGCCAGAGTTGGCATTGTTAGATGACATTGGAAAGTAGAGATCTAGACAGATCGACACATCGTCTCTTACTGAGTATCCCGACCTTTACATAAAGAAGAGCATTTCAAAGACAGAAAACATACCTGGGTTGACATATCTCCCCGAATATTTCAGATCTGAGAAACGATTGATAGGCATCAGATCGGGTTTGTCACCGGACTAAGAGGCAGGCCAGAGCTCGGCCCAGGGATTATGGAATCGTGCTGAGGCATCATTTCAGTGCGATAAAAGTCAGCGAAATCTCAGAGTAAAGTCTTGCAAATCTCGGATTGCCTTCTTACTTAGGCGGGAAGACGAGCACCTTTGTGCCGGGCCGGGAAGGATCTAGATAGATTCCGGAGTCCGATCCGGTTTTTCTCACTACAGTACTCTTCTGGTTCAACATCGTCTTCGTAGCAAGCCAGATAAGGGAGATATTTACTCAGTGCATTTATCATCGTAATAAGCGCAGTATTACCGTGGCCCGTAAGCATTCCAGTCACTGTGAAACACGTTCGTTAAAATGGCGGAGTAAGTAATCCCTCAAGGCGATCTGCTACAATTGTTGGTTATAGCATTGCCAGTATATGAAAATATATGAGTATCTAAGTATCGAGGAAATATGCTTTCTGATTCACGAAGCATACTCAAATGCCACGAGTCAATCTAATGCTCCGTTCCCGTTGCAGTAGTCAGCATTTCCATTGGCCGGGTTTCCTGCCCACTGTCAACAGAGAATTATTTAGTTCATGGCACATTATTTGACGGTAAACAACTCACCGTAGGAAAAGGTTTCTCCACATTAGAGGCGCCAAAAACTGCAAAAGAAAGAATAAAGATCATCACTTGCGCTCCCCCGTCCAATGCGCCACCCAGAATGTAGTTATACTTTCGATACCAAACAGGGTGATATCTCCTTAACCAGAACTGGGAGACGAGACCGACAATGATACAGGACGTGATCATCGATGTCTGACCGCTGCTCATCTTCGAAGAGTACTGGTGGTATGTGACACTGCGGTTAGAGAAAGAAGTAGCTGAGAACACGGTACGCACATAGTATACAATGGGTAGAATAATGATGTCAACCCTGACCGGCCCAATGATGGGCCAGCGCTGTCGCGCGAATGCGTAAACTACTATTATAGATAGGGTGAAGCAAAACGCACCTTCCATATAAGCCATTGGAAGAAGGTCGGGACCATCCCGATTGGCAATCCCAAAGGGACAATGAGATAGGGACCACTGCAACCATATAGCTGCTTAGCGTGAGACCATGTCACCGCAGCACTGTTCAAACTTTGTAGAGTCTGGCCACTCCACACCACTGTGCCTGTAGGGTCCGTCAAGACCTCACGTTGTTTGTCGACGACAGAAACCATAACCGCTAAATTGTGAAAGAGTTGGATACCACAGTGGAAACAAACTCGAAGATGTGGTTACCATAATTGACGATTGCGCCTGAAGGTTTGAGGAGTGAGTCAATCAGACTGAATGTCAAGAACTACTAAAATCATACCAAGAAGCGTCCCCCAAACCTGGGTGAGGAACATGACGCGGGGAGGGATTTTGGTGTATTGGCCAATTTTCAAGTCACCTGCTAGGTTGATGGATGTCGCTACAACATCGTGACTCCACATTGAGAACTGGAGGGAACGTCATTGAGGAAAGGACCGTTTGTTACTTCATTCATACGTAGAGATTCGCCACCGGTTTCCCGGGGTTAAGGGCACCAGGAACCATCTTCATGAGCTGGTTCGTGGCAACACTTGTTCCCATGCGTCCATAGAGAAGTGTAGAGAATGGCTGATAGTGCAAATGAGTACTAAGGACCATCATTTTGTCACATTTAAGAACTTCACCGTTATGAAGCCGCCTAGAATTAGGGCTACGATATACGACCACCATGGTAGAGAGGTTTGCCCCTTGAGTACCACGATCAAACCTATTAGAACAATAAAGCTGATGCACATGTGCCGATACAAGTCTTTGAAGTTAGGTACCTACCTGCAAAGAATGAAAGCAACAAGAGTATGGCGTACCACCACCAGGGCGCTTCACTGTACTTCTGCATTGCCTGGAAATGCCGATCTGGATGTGTCTTATTACGCGATTGCTTGATGGCATCTCGGGCGTATGGTCCCCAGAAAAAAAGAACATGAGCAATAAGACCACCAATCTACAGCAGAATCAGCAGACAATTCGTCGCTGCTCTAAAATGCATACCCCAAGATTGGCGGTCAGATTAGCCCACGCATTTGAACCAGTCAAAGCTGGAAGGCCGACTTCATCGAGCGCGGTTTGATTGAGGGTCCATTTGGAACCGAAGACGGCAGATTGCTGGTACACAGTCCCGTTTGATGAGAAGATGGAGGTCGACAGCATTGGGAAGGATTTTGACTGTTGAGACCCAAGACATATAAACATCTGCATACGAAGAGAGTGAAAACGGAACGTACATTCCAAGCGTTGGAGTAGTAGATTGCCGAGATGACAATGTAGCAGATGATGTACCCAACCCAAGCATTCGCTGCACCGTGTCAAAATGAACTTGGTACTTAGGAAGCCTGACAGCCAACGCACCTTGTTGAATAAGTGGTAGAGACATATACCTGCCGATTGTTTTAGTGAAGGACTATATCGACTGGATGGTGCGTACGTTGATCCAATATATTGCCAATCAAGTGACAGGTTAAGCAATCCAAGACCTTCGTTACTACTGGCGCCACCGAAAATATTAGTGAAAATATCAACGGTCGCGGCTGATGCTTTCCGAGATGCAAGACAGAAGATACTGAACCCGTTGAGGAGCGGAAACACGTAGGACGGAATAACTTCGTAAATAAACATTCCTGTGAAGGCCGTCCAGAAAAGTTTGATTCTCTTTGTGTTGGCATGAATATCAAAGTGTAGGGCTGGCAAATGCTTAGTAACGGGATGCGGTCATAGGGGTGATTAGATGGCTCACCCTGAAAGACGGAGACGGTGAGCAGATTCTAGTATGCGATAAGAATAGCAAAGATACACAAGCCGCTGTACTCACTTGCCAATATACCATCTCAGACGGATACACTGTAAGCGGTCGCAATATGCCAACAAGGCCCATGCTATTCGTGAAGAATATAAGCATACTTCTATGGAGTGGAAGAAATAATACTCACCCGAAAGAAGCTGTCGAAAATGTCGCTAATATAGCCGTCAACGCCTGTACATTTGTATCGTAGAACAGCTACAAAACATCTTAAGCAATCTAATAACAGACGTCAACTATATGCGTACCCGCTGGACAGCGAAATTGTTCACAGCAGTACTTCCATTAGCCGCAGTGGAAGCTATCAGAGTAGCCACAACATGCTGTAGGGGAAAATAAGGCCAAAAATTTCGAGACCTGAAATTCGACGAGCCTATAAACTCACCTCCTTCAGACCAAATGAACCGGGATTAATAAATTCCAGCACCGGCGCCAGCTTCTGCAACCTGGTACCTTCTACCCACGCGCGCCGAGGTAGAAAAGTAGCCCAAGCCAACCCAATGCTATACAGAACCAAAAGCAGAAATACCGTCGATACCGACATTTGAACTGGCTTGAAGTTATAGATCTAAACAGCACACATAAATCAGCAAAGATTCATCGCACGATAAGCAACGACTTGCCTGACAAAGGGCAGCGCCCAATCCAGCGATGACCGTGCCCAAGAATAGTGACCGAAAAGTAAGAGCAGGGTCACTGTCATCTCGTACATCAACGACAAACCGGGAAACATCTTGCCCGCTAGTTACGATGGCTTCATCATTCAAGTGGGATTTTTCATAGTCGAACTCTGGATCGTCGGCAGCGATGGATAGTTTCTCGTCGGCGCTGGCCTGAACAGTGTCTGCTGAGTTCGCCATGGCTGAAATATCGTCAAAAGAGGAAGACCAGTGGTACTGGCTTCTAATCGCTAGCCGCTCTCTTATCATTTCTTGAAGAGGGCCAATGAACAATATCGCTATTGCACATCATCGTAGCGCAATGATCCGAGGATGCGTTGGAGGCGATACATCGGTCGCTCTTTTGAGAGATTTGGTATGTCTGAATATGGAGAAGTTAAATGTCGGGAACGACTGGTGAAACGCCATCGTCCGTCCATCACCAAAGCCTGAGAAGCCTGAGAAGCAGCAGAGCAATGGGATTATCGAATTCCAAAACATTTCCTCGCAATATACAGACCATCTGACGCGTGCTGCTAGAATGTTCCTTTAGATGTCCAGAGGCAAGCAGAAGATACCGAGATATTCCACTGCAGGAACTGATCCTGGACCTTGGGACTTGATTCCAGGTGCACCAGACGTTGATTGTTAAATCCGGATAGATCAAGACCCGTGTGGTTGTACTGACTCAAATCCAGAGAAAAATCCAACGGCCACCGCTGAGTCTGAAAGAAATCCTTTCAAAGACAATAACCTCCGCGGGAGTATTTGATCCAGCAGGTGAGAGAAAGACAGCGTTCGACGTTCGAGATCTAGGATGTAATCGACATGATTATATGAAAAACACATGTCCCTACGCGCAGACTACGTATAATAACGAATTGGTATCAAAACTAGTAACATTCCTGTCTACTATCTCTACGACTACTCTTTGGGTGAAGTATCTACAGCTAGACGTATACAAGCATTGGATACTCTAGGGGTGGGGCCAGTAAGGAAAACGAAGATCGAAAAAGAAGTCACTGTGTTGGATTATGTCCTAAGGACTTCTCCAAGTCGCATAAATATGTGCTTCAACTCTATCCTGTAACGATGCTGATAGGTGCAGCCGCTGTTGGGGAAACAAGGGAAAAACGGAGTAGTATCATTGCCATGGAATGGTAGGAAAAATGCGGATCAAAGACGCTGTCCTTGTCCTGCCGAAGGCATATGGTAAGACGGGTGCTTGTTCCCGCCGTGAGCATGACGTTGTATACGAGAAATACGGTCAGCAATATAAGCTGGATGCGGGCGTTTCAGGCCAACGAGGGTCAATGGATGAGGCGAGTCGCCGCCATCAGTCAGGAGGCGTATGTTTAGGTAGTGCCCTCTGAGAGACGGAGGGCAGGCTCAGCGGACCTAGAGGGACGCGGCGCTGAGAAGCATCGTCGGACAGTGCAACGGAGTGCTTGCGCTTGTAGCGCGTCCCCGTGTTATGAGCAACATCCTGCTCAACGACGAGCCGAGAGGAAATAAGAGGGGAGTCACTCCCCTGTGCTTGTGACACACCCTGAAGCCACGACGGAATCCATTCTCCGGCCTCGGTGAGAGGAAGGGATGCCAACGATGAATTAAAATCGGGTACCGTCTGACCCAAGCCTTCTTCAAGCTCGGGTTCAGGATATACATGCTCGTCGTCGTCCTCGTAATAAGGTGGTAAGAAGGCAAAGTCACCCTCGACACTCCCTTTACTAAAAGAATCATAGTCCTGAAGGAGTGGTCCGGGAGGGCAAGGCGTGTGCTGGTCGTCGCTAGAATCCGGTGTTAGAGATACGTCCTCTGGGAGAGGTACAAAAATTGAAGGGAACGAACTTGGAATGATCCCCCGCCTCTACAATCCCAACAGGATCGACCTCCAATTTCTCCGCCTTTGGTGTAGCCATAGGTAATGACGAGACACCTGATACTGGGGTATCGCTGGGAGGTTGTCAATGGGTGACGACGACAATTAACACGTAGGCAAAATACTCTTGTAATAAGGTCTCGAAGACCGTTAGCTGAAGGTCAATGGGTTCAAGTAAACCGTCGTCAACAAGACGCGAGTCATGCAAGACCTGGATCTTTTGTGAGCCCATGTTTCTATGCAGGATTTGCTGGGAGGAACCGCGTCAGTGCACTGTCAAAGACGGGATTGACAATACTGGGCGCACTGGATACATATAAATACCGGATCTGGTACGTGGTGGAAGGATCAGGAACCTAGAAGAAGGTGGTGGAAGATGACAAGAGCTGACGACGCATCCAAACTCCGCTTATATATCGGCGGTCCGCTTAGGCCGGCGCACCGCCTGCGCTCGGCCTTCTACACCTTTCTACATACCTCGTATATGCATAGTGAGGATTTGTGAGGGCTCGACGCATCTTACCTGCGGATCGGTATCATGAAGTTAACTTTTGAGATCGGGTTATTATTACATCACGCGTCTGTCTCTCGTTGCGGCACAGCAGGATCACAGTCAGATGCGCAGTATATACGACGAAGCATTATCGGACCATATGGTCAAGGTCCTCTGTCAAGCGCAGGTGAAACTGTTCCATGCCAAAAGTTGAGAGCAGGACACACGATAACGGTTACTAAAGCGCAGCGTAGCACAGTACATATGCATCACAAAGCGCTTGATTTATCCCTGGCAGGAGCTTCGCAAATGCTTTGCCAATTGAGTTGAAAGTAAGCAAAGAACGAGGCCTCAGAACTAGGTCGTAGAAATAACCGGGGTACCTGACTTGGGCAATATGACCTAGCTTTATGCAGCTCTCAACCTAAAAAAAAATCCTGGTTATTTCGGCCACGGAATTGCACGCTTTTCGGTGGGAAAATTTGTACCTCTGCTGAGTACTTACTACACTAATTATTGATCATCAGCCGTGTATCTGACGCAAAAGTTATTGTTTTGAACACAAATTGAATTCGAGTAAAGGGGGGAAAGTGTTTAATTCAAGTGACAGAGTCTTAGTCTACGAAGTATTCTTGAAGTCCAGAATGAACCAAAGCTCAGTCTGACAACGGACAAGGTCCATAAGTGTCCACCAGATCGATCAATCTGGTCACATGTCAAAGATCTAAACAACGCGTACATTGTCAACAATGATGACAAACAATTTTTGCTCTGTCCTTCGACGACGTTGAGAATCACAGAGGCAGCGATTGCCTGCATGTCCTGCGATGGTCAAATCTTCCTGTATTCTCGATGATCTCCACGAATTGCTGTCCGTCAGATTTGACGAAATCCAGGATTCACTAGCCAACCATCGCAAGAACTGTGTTGGACTGTATAAACTGCATGTCCAGGCAGGGAAATCTACAGCACCAAAGCTCGACGGGGAGGTTGCATTTGAAGATATTTTTATTGGCATGCTGAGTCGGGTGCTAGCGGTAAAGAAGGGCCCTGCAGCAGATCGCGTCGTTCGTTTTGTTGGGACCTACGTGAAGCATATACACGCCAAAGGTGTGTCTTCAGTGATATTGTCCATGCCTTATTACGGACCTCTTTTAGTTCTAGAAGATGTTGAGAAGAAAGGGAAGACTGTCAATGATGATACGTTGGCGGCTCGGTTCACTACACACATTCTCCGATGGCTTTTGGAGGGATTCTTGGCCAAGAATAAAGTTGTACGAGGCAGAACAGTTCAAATAGTATCAGAGATGATTGCTCACATTGGCGACGTTGAGTGCGTAGTGCTTTCATGCATCGTTAGTCTGACTGAGTGTTTTATAGTGAAGATACTTATGATATTCTCCGCGATGGACTGATTGAGCGTATTTGTGATAAGGAGCCGCCGATTCGCTCACATGCTGTGGCTGCGTTGTCCAAGTTGGCTGGGACAGAAGATCCAGACGAGCTACGAGCCGATGAGAGGACGATACTGGAACTACTGTTGGATGCAGTCACTTATGATCCCTCTGCGTGAGTGCATTGCTGCTTGAGATTCCTCCCCATCTCATGTTATATGCAGTGAAGTCAGGCGAGCGGCCTTGGTGAACCTCCCAATTGCACCACAATGCATGAAGACAATCTTGACCCGTACGCGTGATACCGATCCAGTTACACGCAAGCTGGTTTATTCCACTGCATTGCCAAAACTGGGAGATCCGCGCAAGCTTACTATCGCGCAACGCGAAGATGTCGTTAGAACTGGCCTTGGAGATCGCGAGCCTGCGGTAAGAGTCGCAGTCAGTAAGATGCTGGCAAACTGGTTCGACCTTACGAAGAATCAAGATATGTCTATCGACGACACTTGGGAGGGCGATGACAGTGGTGTCATGAAGGGTTTTATTCAATTTATCTGCTTGTTTGACGTTGTGGGCCCTGGCGTTACCATCGCTGTCGATGCGGTCTTGTCGCAATTCAACTTGAGGCCAGCTCTTTTGGATGCGTTCATCTTCACAGGTAGGTGACGCCTTCTATCCTGGACCGAATGATTATCCGATCGGTTCTTTTCTAGATCAATTCTGGAAGACTTTGACGCCAGAATCCGCTGTGTTGGCTCGCGTTTTCGTGGAACATTGTCATTCGACTGAGAACCAGCAGCGTGTGGAAGAGGCTTCTTTGCCGGTCGTGACAGCCTTCGCTTTTTACCTCCAGGGGGTTTACAACGACCTTATAAAGCTATTGAACGAAGCAGCACTCCTCGGAGGTGATGGTAACGATGAAGAGAGTGAGCAGCGCGAAGAAGACATCGCGAAACGGGAGGCCATTCTTAATGAACTCCTTCAAATGGCTCTGAAATTGGACTACATGGATGAACTAGGGAGGAGAAAGGTCTTCTCTGTTGTTAGTGAGCACCTGCTTCTGTTTGTTCCTCAGAAGACGCATCTCATTTAATTCCTTCATTGGACAGAGAATATGTTGGCACACCCAGAGCTCCCTCCCGGCTTGATTGAACCTTGTCTTGATGTACTCAAGGAAATATCTCCCTCAGAACGCGAACTCATACGAGTTGTTGTCGAGATTGTGGTGGATTTGCGCGACGACGATGACAATGAAATTGCCGAAGTGAGTGATATTGATTTGTCCCCCAAATTTACAGGTTTAATGTATGCACAGGGCGATATTAGTCGAAGCGATACGATGCAAACCACCATACGTAAGGAGGGCTCAATTCGACGGATGCGTGACCTTGAGTCGATGTCACCGGAGGAAAAGCGGGAGGCTGACCTGATGGATATGAGGTGTTTAACACTCTGTATTGGGATGCTGGAACGCATTAACGGGGTAAGATCCCTTTTTATTGAAAACCTCCTACTTACTATGTGTTATAGACCTTTGAGGATAACTCTACGCTAGAAGGGATGTTGGCTGATCTTATTATTCCTGCAGTCAAGAGGAAAGAATTGCCAATGAGAGAGAAAGGCCTTGTTAGTCTCGGACTGTGTTGTCTCATTGCTAAGGTTTTTATCTTCCCTCTTTCTACATTTTCACGCTTTTTTGATGAATCTATAAGAACATGGCGTTGAGCTCATTCCAGCTGTTTCTCAGTCAGATACAAAACGCTCCCGAAGAGCTTAGACTGAAAGTACTGCAGGTTGTGTTTGACCTGCTTGTAATGTACGAATATGAGTTTTTAAGCCGCTCAGAGGAAGTGGTGAGCATCGTTACGGAGAACTGCACATTCCTATCCAACTGATACCAATTTTCATATCCAGGCCGAGCAGATTATCACATTCCTTGTCCAAACACTTGAAGTGGAGGAATCTAATAGCGTTCAGGCAGTTTTATGCGCCGGTCTATGCAAGTTGCTTCTAGCCGGCTTGGTTAGAGACCCTAAGGTGTGTGTGTATGGATTCGGGCAAGGACTGCAATAATACTAGCCACCAGGTTCTCACGACTCTTGTACTAACTTATATATCCCCCTCGACATCCGACAACTCTAAATTGAGACAATGCCTCTCGTACTTTTTTCCTGTCTATTGTTATTCGTCATTAGGAAACCAGGCTAGGCTGCAATCAGTAGGCCATTTTTTTGACTTGAACCGGATTGTCACTCATGAGTTGCAGATTTTCATAAATGCGTTCAACCTCGCTTCCCACCTTCACGATGAACTGGAAGAGGAACAGGAAATGATCTCGCTGCAGCAATTTGCCTTATTGCTCATGGATTGGACCAACCCAGAGAAATCGGTTGACGTGTTGGTCTACGATTCATCTCGCTTGTCGTCCTTGGGCTGAGTTTTCTTTTACAGGATGCCTGAACACACACCTAACAAGAATTTTCATGCGTACTTGGCGGTTGATATACTACTGGCATTGTATGATGAAGACAAGAATGGTGAGTCGGCCCACGTTCTCGTCTTCTTCAAACCGCTCATTTACACAAACAGATAATGAAAGGAAGGTCCTTTGTCAGCTGCTCAGTCAGTTAAATATAATACCGGAATTGGATCATCGGACAATTCTCAAATTGAACGTGCTCCTGGAACATCTCAACAACGTGGGTTTGTGCTCAACAAACAAAGTACCGGTTCTGACGCGACTCCCACTAGCAATGCCCTCTGAACAAGGTTTCTCTAGACAAGATTGTGGAACGTTTCAGAACTCGTGTCTCCAAACTTTTTTCCAAAGATCTGGAACAGATCAATGCGCAAGAATACATGGACGACGACTTCCATGATTTATATCAATACATTGGAGTCGCAGTACCTACGGCGGGAAACACGATGCCTGCGCGGTTTGAGCGGTGCGCAGTTTCATGATGAACGCGTGATCTAAACCTTGACTGATACGAATCTGCTTCTTAGACGAGCAGCTGACGAGCGGTCACAGTTGGATTCAGGAGAAGATTCCCCAATGTCAGTGGTTTTGGTAGAAGACGTCCTTAATGCTGATTTTAGTAATTGTAGTCCGCCTGCCGGTCGGAAACGACCTACTACAGGCCAGGTGAAGGGAAAAGGAAAAACGAAGTCCTCTGTGCCTGTCAACCATGAGTACGGTTCTAGTTTCATTCGCATCGTTGGAACCAGATGACTAACTTCGACCGTCCTTTCTAGGTCGGATGATGACGCAGACTATGCTCCGATAGAGGCGACCGTAACCCCAATGAAACCTTCAAGAAAGTAGGTGTACATTTCTTCTAGATTAAGTAGTTATTTAATGTTTGGTATCAAGGCGCGCTCACACACCTTCGAAAAGTCTAACCGTGTCTTCGCCAACACGTAAGAAACGTAGTGGTGCAAAAACTACGTAAGTTCTTGATTTTTGCTCGGGGATTACCAGAGGCTGAACACTACTGTTCGTAGGGCTTCTAAGCGTAATCAGAATAGGACACCCTCGCCTGTCCCTCAGAGACGGAGCACTAGGCAGACACCTAAAGTCAAGACCTATGTTGAAGAAGAGGAAGACGAAGAGGAAGACGAGGCCATAGATGAACACGAAGATGAAGAAGCTGAGGTGGAACAGGCGCTCGTTGCTGACGATTCGCAGCCCTCCGTATCGGATGAGGATAGTGAGGTAGCTGATTCAGGAAGCGAGGATTAATGATGAGTGGATTCGGGATGCTGCCCGACTTAGAGTGTTGTATTATTATTGAATCTGTCTGGTTATCAAACGTTTTCATTCTTAATGCTGTTTGCACTTGACTTCCTGTAAAAGTGCTACGAAATACCTACCGTCAATGACATATCTCATTGCTTTACATGAGGCAAAGGCATGAATATTTGCCCCCAAGCGAGGCTTTGGGGAGGCGGTGAGCCTTCACTTCCGTCAGGATGTGTGAATATCAAGGATTTTTCAAATTGTAGTAATTTGTGCTGGGGTTCCGTTATTAATTACGTCGACGCGTAAGTGTTGCGTACGTCGCACGACACATTGTATGATACACTGCGGAAAGATGGATATACTACAAAGGGTAAGGGAGGTGAAAAGCGAAGAGCGATGGCCTGCGGGGAGAAACGTCCGTCCATGATGCCTAAAGTGCAGTGAATTCGATAGCGACCGAACAAAGATGACGATGACAATGAAATGGTTATAATAGACAGAAGGTATGCTCGCAACCATAATAACAGAGGTATAGAAAAGGAAAGAATCCACGCTGGAGAATTGAGTGAACGATGGATACAAGGGATTATTGTCGGATTTTTGTGTAAGCAGGCGGTAGCTCGACGGTCTCTGGCTCTTCCTCTGCTCTCAGAGGACCACTAGGACCCGCGTCGTCGTGCTGAATAATATTAACAGGGCGTAGCGACCTGAGCCCGCCCTTCCTCACACCACCCATACTTGTCGTTGAACCGGGAATGTCAGGTGTCCCGCTCCTGACTGATAGGATTTGGCTTATTGGCCGTCCATCGGCACTCAGCCTTCCATCTTCGGACGCCACAGTCGGATCTGGAATGATAAACGGCTCCGGTTCGTAGTACTGCGGTAACTCTGCAGAATTTGGAGCCTGTTCGTCACCATCATCCTCATGCAGTAAATCCACAGTCTTTTCCTTTTCTTGTTTCTGCCGATGCCGGCGCCGGAGAAACCAGAGCAGGAGAAGAAGTGCAATGGCACCGACAACACCACCTACGACGCCACCAACAATGGCACCCGTGTTGTTTCCATTGCTACTGTTGCCGCCTGAACTTTCGTCGGTCGCACTCGTAGGGTAAGTTCCTCCAGCAGGGGTGCCGGGCGTCGAACTTGGACTATCCGAAGTAAGACAGGTACTGTTGTTAGAGGTGCCGCTGCTGACAGTAAAGAGTGCGCTGCCTGCTGTACCGTTCCCTCGATCGTCGCCACCGACCAGCAATAGAGTTGTCCCTCCGCGTATAGAAGGTGTCCATGAGAACCCCGTTCCTTCGCTGGTGACTTCGGTTATAGTGCCTTCCGGCACAGTGAATGACTCTCCACCAGGGATGACGCCAAGAAAATTGGGTGTGCTGATTGCATTGAGCTGTTAGGGTTGGAATTCAGATATTACGATTCGACGTACCCTTCAACATTTGCAGGGTCCCACCATATGCGTGTTTGTTGGCACTGTACTATTTGATTTGACGGCTCAATGGAATAGACAAAATCAGGTGAGACGTCCTGAGAAGCGTTGTAACAGGAAAAGTCGTCAGAGGAAGTGACTTGTGCAGCTACGCTTGTACCGCCGGAGCCGAATCCTGTAGCATCACTGACCTAGAATCGCGTTAGCATGCAACTCAAAACCCCAAACGCGGTGACAAAAAGGCCCATAGTGAGGTCACGCAGAGTGTAAACCCCCTTTTGTCTCCGAAAGAAACATGAAGGGCGAAAACTCACGACTGCGACAAACTGCGAGTTCTCGGGATAGTTCAGTTGGAAGGTAACCTCTGTCGCCGAGTCTGAAGGAAATTTCTGGTCCAGTATTCGTCGCACTTCTGTGTTGTTTGCAAACGGTGATGACCCGAAGGGAACAATAAGGATGCGATATGGTCCTTTACCGTCACTGCCAGAGACGCTGACGGTGAGGTTTTGGCACTGAGCTGGTGTCGAAGTAAAACTCCATGAGTACGCAGTCGACGGCGCCGGTAGCTCTAAAAGAAGTAGAAATAACGATAGAAAAGGGCCAAGCATGGCAGGATGCACCGTTAGGGCGAGGTGCTGTCGCTATGAGTGACGATGAGACGCAATCGTGGCGAAGTAGTGGTCGTTGGGAAAGGCTTCACTTACGCTATGTTGTCACGACGTCACACATTGATCGTCACATTATCGGACCGAATCCGATCTCGTCTCCGAGTCGGTATCCTTCCAACTTCCTTCCAACTTCCTTTCAAAACATGGCTCTGCCCTGAAAACTGAGCAAAATTGAAAATCATCAAAAAGTTCCGACTTGCCTGGTTCGAACAGGCGACACCCAGATGTATCAATTACGCAACCAATTACAGTCTGATGCTCTTCCAGCTGAGCTAAAGTCGGTTATATAAGATATTGTTTGAAGATATATATATACGAGATATTTGAATAATTTTATATTCATATGAAACGTAGCTACATACTCTAGTGCACCACTTCCAACTTGCTCATCGCAGGAAGTAACATCCGGTGACCTCATATAAAACTCAGGGTCGGACACGCAAGCTTTTAGGTGTATGATTGGGGTGTGATTGGGGTAACTATTGACTTTAGGAGGCGCTTGACACTTTACGACTATGCATCATGCGTAACGTCATCTCCCTATCGTCGTTACGCCACATGAATTTTAACAACCATAAGGAGAAGCGAAGTACTCACATGGTGTACTCGCCCATATTTGATAACAGGCAACGGTCGAATAGGATATTGGCTTCCCTCTTGCTTCACCTGCCAATCGGAATATACGGCGTCGAGATAACTATTCTGCCCCGGTATATAGTCATATCGTTTGAGCATGCGCTCATTGACCTCCGCAACCGCATCTAGATTCTGGGAAATGAGGAATCCCCGCATAAGGGAGACGTACATAACAAAAGAAGGCACGGGCAACGCATTGGGAACAGACGTAGGTACCGGCCGAATGTATTCGATAGATGCCTGTGGATCTTCGGAAGACGTTGCAACAGTCTCCGTCTGTCGCATTTCTTTCTCAGAGATTGGCACTTGAACAATCTCGTTATCACCCTGTTGGTCAAAGGCGGTCTCCAATCGACACAGCAGGAAGAGGGCTCTCTGGGCATTACCAGTAGATGCGTAGTAACCTGCGAGCTCGGTGAAGTGGTATGCCGTCGGTTGGATCCCCAACTTCAGCATATCCGCTAGAATACTAGCTCCTCGCTCTACACCTGATGAACGCATCAACTTTCCCATGAATGGGGTAAATGCAGCAGCGCAAACGCTATTAACCCCGGGAGGAGTCTGAAGCGCCTCTACACCACTAAAAGCGGCTAAGGTTTCTGATAGATGGTCCGAGTATTCCCCACATGCGGTTGCAATAAGTTTTTTATAGAGCACTTCGACTTTGACCGAAGTCGATGACATAGCGACAAGGGAATGCCAGATCAGGGCGGTGTGATAGGGCGTGGGCCACATCTTGCTACGATGTGCCAAAGGTCCAGACAATGGAACACCCTGCTGTGACTTCAAACGGGATATTACCTCGCCTCGAGGTACACCTGTGATATAAAAATTGTCTACAAATGTTTGTAGGACAAGGTGGTGCTGGTTAAGTCGGTAATAGGTGATCATTTGTGTGAAAACAAAGACAGTGGTGGCAATGGGACTGGAGCGAAGGGCCTTTCGGCGAAGAAGATCAATGGCGCGTGAACGTCCTGAGTCGACGTAGGCATTAAAAAAGTTGATTAGTGTTGACGGGTGAGGAGGAGCATGACCGGGAGAGAACGACGTTCTGATAGAACGCAGAGTCTGAGCGAGAGACTCTGACCGGTCATCGTAAGGGCGTGTGCGAGTTTGGGAGGTGAATCGTAAGGTGATGGAAGATTCTGCATAGTCTTGTAGAAGAGAGTCGTCTTGTCCAAGCTGCCGGGCACGCATAGCTCTCAGGTACCCAAGAAGAGGGAGATACTTAGGGTCACCGGCTTTGACGAGGAAGGTATTGAGGACGTCAAAAGTATGAGTCGACAAAGAGTACGGGGCTTTCTTGGGAGGTAACATATCTACTGCTTCATCTATCCGTCCTGCATAAGCCAAGGATCGGATAGCCGAACCGCGCATAACTGCTTGGAATTTACCCCAAAGAGATGCGGTAGACCGTTCATGATACCTTTTCAGATATTGTCGGTGCTTTTCTTCGAATCGCAAGTAAAACTGCTTGCTGACATCGGGACTCGCGAAACGCATGACACTTGGAATGACCTGCCCGCCAATTAGATCGGCGTATCCCTTCTCCGAGCATATGAGAGCGAACTGGATGATCAAGGACATATTTGTGAGAGGCGCGTGAAAAATCAGCCTTCGAATATCGGTGAAGTCCTCAAGGGGTTGGTCATGGTAAGGAGGAACGAGGGAAAACCATGCCGCAAAATCTTCAAGACTCTCCGTGGCGGTTGTCGAATGCTGTAGGGCATTCTGGGCGGCAGCCTGGTAGATTGGCGAAAAAGGGATATGGATATGGAATTCGCGAAGCTCGGACAAAAAATGCTTTGCCTCCTCATACTTCCGATCGGCAACTAGTTCTGCTAAGTGGTCACCAAGGTCTTTGTGAGAGGCGCCGACTGATGTTTGGGCTACGCTGGCATAGTCCGGGTGATTTTCCTCCTCGAAGATGAGAGCGCCGGACGACGGTGTTGGGAGCACGATAGGGAGAAGCGCCTGCTTGAGGTTTTTAATGAACATGCTCTTCCGATGGTGGTACCGGGGAGAAACGTATTCCATAGCAGGAATGACCTCTTCTCTGACCAATGTCGTATAACCTTTCTTCGCCAGGACCATCCCAAACTGATATATTAAAGCGACCCTTTCCGAAGGATCGTTCCAAAGATAATCACGAGTTTCTCGGAATGGATTTAGTGCCGAGTCAGAAGCATCGGGACACAGCTCGAGCCAGGCTGTGAAATACGAAAGATCATCTCCAACACGAAGAGACCGTAGCGCAGCTAAAGCCGCTTTCTCGAAGATGGGATTCAGAGATATGTTGACCCCGTTATCAATCATCTCGAGGCGAACGCGGTTGGCAAGTTCCCAGTTTCCTGTACTGACAACGTCGATCAGGACCTGCGACGGCACCCGTGTCTGCGGAGGTGACCTGAGCTCTACAGAGACAGCTGAATAGTCCTTCATCTCCCGTTCTTCGAAAACTTTACCGTCAGGTGGCTCGGAAGGATAGGGTTCATCTGACATTTCTACGCCGTCGAGACGCTGCCGAGACTGGGCGATGGTTCTGGATACAACATTCCAGTTGAGACGCCCAAGAGATGGCCATGGAAGACGGGCTAAAATCCGCGTAGATGACATGCATGTGTACGACGAATACCGGTTACTGACTGGTAGCTGGAAATTCCGGATAGTACCGCGGGTGTTTCGCTCACCACCTGTGCGCCTGCCGGTCAGAAACAAAACAAAAAGATGTTGATGACCTACCCGAAATCCTCTATTCCACAATTAATACGAGAGCAGTAGATTTGTAGCCCGTCGTCGTCTTCGCTAAAATTCGGATGTGATGTAGTCACGCCCAAATATTGCCATCAACGTGACATCATTGGATCAATCTCTTCGACCTTCTATCACCAACGCTACTGGTTTCTTTATTTTGCTGCTTGCTGGCCGAGCTGCTCGTGTTCTAGCTATATTATCTCTCTGTCTCTCTCTTCGGTAGCCATGGCGTGTCCGGTATCTTCAAGTCCACCTCGCGCGCCTCCTGTCAAGTATAAAGCTCCGCTAGGAACTCGTTGGGAAAAAGAGAAGGCTGCAGCTGGCGGTGCTGAAGCGTTCGAATACGCTACAGATCCAAAGTGTATAGGTCCTTGGATTATAGGCGAGTGCGTCGGGAAAGGTGCTTCCGGTCGTGTCAAAATCGCCAAGCACAAACGTAGTGGACAGCTCGCCGCCGTCAAAATCCTCCCTCTTGCCCCGCTGGTCAACTCTCGTGTCTCACTTTCTACCCAACAAGTGAAAACAGAGAAACAACGCCTAGGAATTGACCGAGAAATTATAATGATGAAGCTCATGAACCATCCCAACATCCTACGCATCTACGATGTCTACGAAAGCACTAGGGAGCTCTTTCTCATTCTTGAATATGTCGAAGGCGGAGAACTTTTCGATTTCCTGGTCAACAAACGTCGCTTGGATCCTTCCGAAGCTCTGATCATTTTCATGCAAATCATATATGGTCTCAACTACGCGCACACATTTTCTATCATCCATCGCGACCTCAAGCCCGAGAACATTCTCATTGCTTCTTTTAATCCTCCTTTCGTCAAGATAGCCGATTGGGGAATGGCTGCCTTTGCTCCCCCTTCTCTTCATCTGGAGACAAGCTGCGGCTCCCCTCATTACGCTAGCCCCGAAATCGTCAACGGACATAGGTACCAAGGAACCGCGACGGACATCTGGAGTTGCGGCATTGTTCTTTTCGCTCTCCTTTCAGGCCGGCTGCCTTTTGACGACAAGGACGCCGGGGTTCTGCTAAGCAAGGTAAAGAGTGGCGTTTTCGAGATGCCCCAGTCATTAGATCCATTGGCAAAAAATCTTCTGTCTCGAATGTTGGTTGTTGATGTTCATCAGCGAATCACGGTACGAATCAAGCACGATATTACGCGTGTTTACTGATTGATTCATCAGATTTCTGAGATTCTTGTGCATCCTTGGGTAACCTCTTCCGCCGCAGCATCGGTCAGCAAGATTCCTCCGAATCCTTCGGTCCCTCCTTCTCCGGAAGTTCTGGCGCGCCCTATCCTCCATTCTTCGCTTATCGATCCGGACCTATTCTCTTCACTTCGTATCATCTGGGGGAAATACACAGACCAGGCAGGCGAGTCGATCAAACGCGACCTGTGTTCTCCTGCCGGTCAAGGTGTACACGCAAAAGCTTTCTACTTTCTTCTTGGAAAGTATCGCGAGGAAACGTCAAAGCTCGAAGATACCAAACCTGCCGATACAGCAATTGCTGACGTTTCACTTGGTGGCATGGGTTTCAATCTGGGCTGGGAGTTCGACTCAAAGATTAGAGCAGGACTTCTGAAGAAGTACGACAGTGGTAAATGCGACCCCTTTCAAGGTCGTTCCCGATTCGTTGCTGCTCCTATCGGATTACATCCAGTTTCTCCTTCAATCAGACGCACCGCTACCACCTCGCAAAGAGACAGGCCTGCTTCACCCGCAGGACCACAGCATCCCGTGAATGAACCCGTCCACCGTTCTGAGTTCCACGTCCCTCGGTCTCACCCAAAGTCATCTTTCGTGATGACTGGTGGCCCGCCTCCTCAGCTGCCAAGGCGAGGATATACTTTCTCTCATCCCGCCGCGAAGGACGGTTCCTATGTTTCTGTTGAGACGCCCTCCGTCCAACGAGCAGCTTCTCATTGTCTGTCAGCCGCCACCGAGCGTCCGCAATCTGAAGTGCCAGTCAAGTCTTCTCGACGGATTGATAATAGCATTCTTCCATTTCCTGCCGTTGGCCGTTTATCTTCAGCCCATAAGCCGTCATTAGCTCCGGTCACTCCTTCGCTGGACGTATCTTCTCACAAAGCAGATCCTCATCCAACTGAAACAAAAGCCGAGGATCTCCTGGCCAAAATCAATAGTTTGACCGTCACTGACAATCATCTTCAACAGCAACGAATGTCAGTCCACTTCAATAAGAAGAACAAAAGTGTTCGCGAAGAGTCATGGAGTTACATCGGCACCGATGATGAAGGCCGCAGCGGCATTGGCCTGAGTGTCGGTAGGGACGTTTGCAGGGAAGTGGGAAATATTACCGCCGACAGGGACACTAGCCCAAATAAAAACATGAAAGAACGCAAGCCTAGACGTAAGTTGACTATTCAGCCATTACATTTGTGGCGTGACTGATTCTATTTCTCAGCACCTCCGCTTGAGCTCCCGTCATTGAACAAGAAGCATTCAACGTTGTCTATTCCTTCCCCGCTCGCTCTCTTCTCGCCTTTAAGCAGTGTCCACACACATAGCCGATTACTCACATCCCCGGTCGTCGGCGAGTTTAAAGGGTGGTTTTTCAATCTATTCAGCTGGAAACACCAAGGAGCGCATTCCCAGAGCAGTTCATGGATGCTGTATTCATCCGATGAATCTATGAAGGCTTGTGATGGTGTCAAACGTGTGTTAGAAAGGCTCGGCGTCATCATTGATGGCCCAGGTTCCACGGTTTCGCCAGGATCAAGCGGGACACTAGAACCGCCGTTTCTCAGGTGTAGGCTCGACGAATCGAGCTGTGGCGAGCTTGCCAATATGAAACCCGTGCGCTTTAAAGTTTGGTTCTCACCATCATCAATGGCCCATCTAGCTGCGCCTAATTCACCTCTTATGTCGCCTACCTCGAACTTTCTCTCGGCTCCTCCGCCACCAGCCGTGCTTGCACATGGAAGTGCCAGCGTTTATGTGAACAAGAGTCCTCATATTTCACCTCTGCCTATTCCTAATCCTTGCGCAAGTAACAGTGTCTCGCATGTGTGCGTATCAATTATATCGCTGGTCCGAGAAAAGGGATCCACTGCGACGTTCCGGGCTATCTGGCGAAGACTCAAGGACGCCTATAGCGACGGTTCTATGGCTCCTGACTGCTTCAGCTCAGCGATGGTTAGTACGCCAGTCGTGGAAGGCTCTCCCACATTTGCAGTGTAATTCGTGCATCCGAAGACAACGGTTCACATCTCTTTTTTGTATTTACTACATATAACATGATCACCAGTGTACTATCTGCATTTCTAGGACCTGTATACCAATTTCCTGTTAAATACCACCTTAACGGCTTTGTATTCTCATACTATTGTACCATTTCTTTCAAACACGGAAATTCTCTTACAACGCAACGAGGCTCTAACTCGCCTAATACCGTGTCACGCGTGACACTGGCGTGTTCTCCTTCCGCATTCATTAGACTGAATTTTCTGCCAATGCTGCGACCTCGTTTTCTGATAAAAACAAGGCGTTTATATCAGGCGTCTACAAGAGTAAACAGCGGCCTTGATTGCGGTTAGTGAAAACTCGTGTCCTTGTGGTAGACTGAGAGCCCTAGTCACACATCAGCCGTGAGTTGTCAACACTACCACACGGTTCTTGATACAATCTGACACGCTCCTTTTCCGGCCTTTGGGTGTAAATGTACTTCTTTCAATTTGTGACCGTCTCTTTTCTCTCTCGTTGTTGGTTTCTCGAGCTGTACGGGCTCACATCGCTCCTCTGGATCCCCTCTTAGCGTCGTCCATTTACTCGCCCAACTAAAAATATATTTCGCTATTCAAACCGACAGTACATATAGCAAGTATATTTGTATTAACTTGCCCATAATTCATGCTGAATATTCTAAGTAGTAGTGCATGACCAGCAACAACTGGACTTGATGATCGGCAGCTGAAACGGACTCCGAGTAACGATCATTACCACTTACTCCTCTCTCCTTTGAGATAGATTTGAACGACTTGATGACCAGCTGTGGAATGCTCTCTTGCTATCCTTATCTCTCATAGAGGTCGCGAGAAGAGCATCCATCCTATTTGAAATTGGATCGAGGTGGCGCCTGACGCTCGAGGTCGTCTTAAAGCTTTTCTCAGTAATTGTATCATGGAAAACACAGTGAGTATATGGAGACAAAACTCAAGATGTTATCACTACTGTTGCAGATGCCGATTGACATTGACTAAGAATGCATGTTGACATGTGTATCATTTCAGATCCGGAATCCGATTTTATGAGGAGCCAGGACTTGTCTTATCCTACCCCCTCCGGCTGTGTACGAGTTGCAATCAAAAAGTTGCAGTATCGATATGACGATGTCCCTGACATCGTCGCTTACATGTAGACTGTAAGTCCCTTTCGGCTCCGCAGAGTGGTATCTACGCCAGTTTCTGCGAGAGGGTCGCGATACATTAACTCTGGATAGTTACTGACTGGGTGAGTATATAGGAGTGTACCTTGGGTTTTTCATCAGGCTAATATATGAGTATGAGGGAGTTGAGATTACTCTACCAAAGACCGAGTAGACTAAGCCACAAGACTTCCCTGCATAGATCAGGTGCGTTCCAAACGTGGTATCCTGAGCTATTGAGGGTGTTGATGCATCACTCGTTCCTGGTAATGATGTTTTATAAAAATATACTGCTCAAGGTATTGAATGGACACGGCGCGGTCGGCAGCTAGACCGCAGTTGCCAAGTTTAAGCAACAGCCTTAGGGTCGCATAATACAGGCCATAAACTGGGGGCGATACGGCTGCGCCGATGTAAGTAGACACGTCGAAAGGTTTCCAAGGACATGCGTTGACTGGCGTGGCACCTTACGCATCACCTAGGCGGCACGGCCGTGTATGAACAACTCACGTTTCTAGGCAGTGCCGTGACCCTGTCGGTTGTCCATTGCCGAAAAAATACCTACAATGGAGTACCGACAGTTTGGTGACAATCTCGTGAATGATGGATAGATGGATATGGCTTGATTTCTGGGATAAGAAATGACGGCAGTAAAGAGATAGGGAAGCTGAACTTTGTTGGTAGATAGAAATCGCCGGAATGGAGCTCGGCGTGGTGCGGTTGGCTGGGAGTTGAGACGGCTGCCCGAAAATCCGACTAGGAGAGATGCTACGGGAAGGGTGTATATACCCGCAGTAGGCGCGCGAGACAAAAGCCTAAGACTCGCGGAAGCGCCCAGCCAGCCAGGCTTCTGTGGCGTCTATATATACAAACACCATGGTGAATCCGGTCTGCCTGCGAAAATGTTTCAGGGGACCAAGAACCGTTAAACAGGAAGCAAATGGAAGATCCTGAGATCGAAACCCTGGGTAAAAGAACAGGAAAGGTGTAGTGTGTTCGTCTTTATTTAGTTGATTATTGGGTCCGAGACGCTAGGCTCCGCAGATCATCTTCAGACTGTTATCGGTCTGCTTTCCGCGTATAGTTTCCAGTAGACAATGGAACAATATCACCTAGGCAACGGGTACAATGAACCTGCATCGAATGGTGGATGCCCTAGAAGAGGGTTGCATGGCAAAAATACAAAGAGACGTAGTGGTTTATCAGGTCATCTGGCAGGATTCATTTCCTGGGCCTCGAGGAAAGATCCGGGAACGGGAATGAGCGGCTGAGCAATATCGTACATGCGAATATGATTGGACGATCAAAATGAAGGGTACGAAACACAAGAAATCAACAACAAAGAGAGCCCAAAAAAATACCAGTCAGTGGCTCTGGAGAGCGGAAGGGAGACAGGGGAAGGAGGGACAGGGTCGGGAATACTCCGGACGGTTGTAGAACATGAAGGAAACCGAAGGGGATAGATCCGGTACTAGGTGAGAAGCACGTGCCATATGGAGGGCTGTTGTTGATGCCGTCAGCATGTTGTTTACCGTGACTCCAGTCACTCCACGCTATTTAACGCCTTCACTGCGCCCGACCAATGTCCTTTCTTTTTTCCCCACTACCGTCAACAATGAATTCAACAAAACGATCCCGCCGCAGCGCGACATCTGTTATGGCTGGAGCCTTCCAGATACGTCCCTCTCGCGACGTCCTGACTAGCCTGCTAAATGGCCTAGGGCCATATGCACTCGAAGAAGAGGAAAATTGGGAGAGCACATTGAAACAACCTGTGAAAAGTAGTTTTTGGATGGAGAAGGGTCCGGAGAAGCGAAAGATGAAGCATGGCCACTGGGAACGACCACCCGCTGCATCACCTGCCAAAAGCGCGACGCCGGTAGCACACACACCGACGGTGGCTCTATCACAGCCTGTCCCTTCCACCTCCTACAGCCGTCCTACCATCCACATTACCACCTTGCAACGATCCCTATCCATCACGCCGCCTCCAACAATGTCGCCGCCTCCGTATCCTTCCACACCTGGCTCAACTCCTGGGCCGTCTGATTCGTCGAGCGTTTCCCGTACTTCTTCCAAGAGACCACATACACCCGACGATGATGAAGACCTGCCACGCCTGGTCGCTCCCAGGCCTCCGCGGAAGAAGCGGGTCGCGGTAAAGAAGGGCTGGAAGGGCTGGGTCGAGGTTGACGAGTCGCGCGAGCTACCGGTGTCCGATAAGCTCATTAACCTTGACCGTCCACAAGCATATGCCGACAGGCGGACGCGTAGCGGCAAGCAGTTTGACGGCATTGTGGGTGATGGCTGGGTACACATGCTCCACTGACTAGGTGCGTGCTATCTTTTTTTCCAACCGTTCATTTTTTCTCATTTCTCGTCAGTTGGTTCATCACTATCGTTAAAGCATTCTCGCCCAAAAAACCATCTGTCTTCTTCATTCGGCCACCTCGTCGAGGCCGTCCACATGCTCTCATTTTCATGAGGCCTATGCCTATTCTTTCCGTTCACATTTCCGGGTTTTTGGTGCACTGGCGTATCTATCGATCTCCCTTCACATTTATACCTTTCATGGATCTCGACCCTCGTTCTCCATATCGATTGATTGTATTTCAAGTTTCACCTGTTGCGCTGCTCGTTCCCATTGGTCTTTTCCATTGTTCTGGTTGTTTCATCCATTGTATGTAGTAGTTGCTATCATAAATCGGTTTAGAATAGAGCTGTTTGATGCGTATCTTTCAGCGTCCATTTGCACCGTCACGCGTCACAGGAAAATAAAGGTGCGAGCGTAAATTTGGCCGTATATTCCTGCGAACAATGTTTTATTGATGGTCCGGCCACCCAGCAGGGTGGATCTATCCGTGTAATTTTTTTTTTATTTAAGGCTCACCACTTCCCGCCGCCCGCGACGGCAGGGTCGCACTTCCCCGAATTCAATACAGTCGTGCCTTGATAAAGCAACAGAGGCAAATAGGGAGAATTTACTATTCTTCTACTTATGGATAAACTTGGCGCCGAACTCCAAGAACCCCCTTTCTTCGTGTGAAGAACTCTTTTTAGGCGCGTTCCCACGATACCTGTGGATTCACCAATCTAGTTCTGTGACCTCAGAACGATGTCTGTTGTTATGAATCTGTTTAATGAAGTATGAAGCATTCAGCGAATCAAAATACGACCTTCCAGAATTATACTGAAGACTTGGAAGGCAACAACGGCTCCAGCTACTTAAATCCTTTGATGTGATCAGCGAAGTTTGGCACGCCCTCACACTTCTGACTACTGGCCAATCGATAGCTCCACATTCATGAACAAAAAGTAGCGACCACTGGGAAAGGGACCTGGCTAGAAATACACGTGAACAACATTCAACCCGGGTACCTATTGTACTTATTCTTTGAGTCTGCCCAGCTCGATCCTGCCCCCTTTGTCTTGGTTATCCCCTGTGTGATGGAAACTTAGTAGTCACCTTGTCCTCTTTGCAGTTATTCGATGTCATTGCCATCTTGCAGAATATATAACAAGTATACAACAGGAAGGCTACATTATTGCCAGAGAAAAGTCAGTAGGCTAAATCGTTCCGGCATCCTCAAATTTTCGGAATGATTCCCCTTCGATGACTTTGATAGGTGCACTGGTTGCAAACTGGTTGGTGAACATGTACTGACTGCTTACTCATACATTGAGCCACGGTACTTATTCCTCATGGATAGAAAACGGTCTTAAGTGGTGGCTAAACAGCATGATGGCAAACGTAGATGTTCCACGCCTTAGCACGACAATGAGTGAGGTCAGAGGCGAGAGGAAAAATCGAACTTCCTATTACTACTATGCCTGAAGCAAGATGTAACGTGGAGAAGGTTGGACATGTAACATAATTACAGTGTGAATGACATCAGAGAGATCAAAGAACATTACCCCCTAGTAACAATCATATTCACCAAGAGATCCAGGAGTACTCGCACGAACAAGCGCGAGCGGCAAACTTGACGCAACGTGACAGTGTGACAAAAATCGGGCCGGCCCAAAAATCAATCATTTCCAAAAATCTCATTTGAAGGCGGGAGTTGTACTCTTCCAAATATGGTGAGTTGTCTTCCAAAGACGAAGCTTCTGCCGCAAGTAATACACTAATGTCCCATTGTCATCTCCGAAGCGGTCCCTGGCAATCCGTTTCTCGGAATGATTTACTGGACGGAAGTCGGATCCGGAATTTACTGAAATCGGGGAAGCGGCTAGGATTCTTGGCAGAGCTGAGTGAGCCTGTGAGCAATGTGGTTACAAGAGAAAAAACATTCCCGTCGGTGGCCGAGACCACGTGATGTTACGTCACGAAGAATAAGAAATTGCTCTTTCCTCTTTAACTCGGTCTAGTCTGCTCGTATTCTGCTTGCAACGAGTCAGTCTGACCAGGAAGTGACCGCCCAACCTGGCACCATCTAGACTAAAGTGTGGCGTTCACAAATCCGACTCGCGGCCAGACTCGACAAGTTGTCACGATAAGACGCGCTCTGAAAGCGTCGATTTCCGTGGATAAGAACGGAATTCGGATCTTGCTGCCGAAATTCACTGTGTTGGTACAAATCTACGAAATTTTTATCTTCAACTCCGATTATCGTAAGGGTACCCTGAAAATCCAAAAATGGCGGCATTCTGACAGGATCCTAGGCTATGAATTCTCTACCTGCACAACTGCTACATATCTCGTGTCCTGTTCTGCCGGTACCACCATCATGGTTTCCGGGACACATGAACAGATTTACAAAGCAGCTGCCTTCAATGTTGTCCCGTACACATGTTGTCCTCGAAGTCAGAGATGCTAGGCTTCCTCTGACAAGTATCAATCGTAAACTTCAAGGCGAGTACAATGTGCGGCTTGTTATTTCCAGGTGCTGAAGCGATGTGATAATAGATATGCTCCAAGAGTGGAGAGACAAGGCGCGAATGAGCAACCGAATGTTCCAACACGTTATCCTTCTGAACAAGGCGGACCGTGTCCCCGAGTGGGGTATCCCAGTAAGAATATGAACCGATATATCGGAGGAAGGCTTGTGATATCTATTTTTGCGCCTCTTAGCCATTCCTGTCGGTGATGCAAGACAAATATCCGGAACAAGATTTTTATTTCACCTCACTGAAGGAGACCTCTGACCTCAAGCGGATATACCGGATACTCTCTGGTGGGCCTCTGCGTGTGCTTGTAGATAGCGTCTTATATTTTTTTCCCTTCCCGTATAGACCTAGGCAAGCACTACCGATGGTTCGAAGGCATGAACGTTCTCATTGTCGGCATGCCGAATGTGGGTAAATCATCATTACTAAACGCTCTCCGCAACACGGGGATTAAAGGGCGTACGTCGAACCTAAACGTTGTTTTCTCCTTCTCACGTCGTCATCGTCTAATTAGGAACGCCCAAAGCCGTGCGAACGGGGGCTAACCCTGGAGTAACGGTATCCTTGTCCAACAGGATAAAAATCTTTGAGAATCCTCTCGTGTACGCCTTTGACTCACCCGGAATGATGTTACCATTCCTGGGCCACGGACCAGCAGGCGCCGAGCGCGGTGCTAAGCTCGCTTTGATTGGTACGTAACCCCCCGCTCTGGAAAACCTCCGAACTGAGTCCCATGAACTCCCAGCGGGGATCAAAGAAGGTCTATACCAAACTGAAACGCTCGCTGAATATCTCCTGTACAAACTTAATATCCTGAATTCCATCTGTAAGTTTTCGTATCAGCGGTTCCTGGCTATTTATTAGCGCCTTTTCTCGAAGTTATGCTTCTTGTGTTCATCTACCAAACCTTGTTCCCTTTTGTCTTCGGGGTTCTATGGATGTATTCAATGAAGCTGAACCTAATTTTATATTATTGTAGCGCCGAACTATTTATCCGTCCTGCCATCAGGATCAAAACCGACGGCGGACGTGTGGGAATTCCTTTCGTTGCTAGCTAAGCGAATGGGGATGCTTGCCGGACGCGGGGAATATGATTTACAGCGAGCGGCAATGTTTTTCATTGACTGGTGGCGTAACAAAGGCGGTCTAGCAGAACATTCCGACGTGGGATCTTATGGATGGGGTTTTGACTTCCAATGGACCGTTCCTGCGGGCGAAAAGAGAGATCTACGACAATTGATGGAAACGAGTCTTGCGCAGTTTGATGCCCAGGTTGAGCTGGAGGAGCAGGAAGGTAACATGATAAGTGATACGCAGAAGGAGAAAACTGCAGTGGAGGAAAGGAAAAAGCAGAAATTGAAGAAAATTATGGAGCAGGATAAGGATCAACGGTCGAGGAGACTATTCACAAAGCCACGGCGCCGTCGATAGCTCATGCACGATCGGTAGGATTCATTGAAGATGTCCTGTTTGTGCATTTGTATTCTGTCGTTTCCCAGAACTTGGCCAAGTGCGCCATCCTTCATTGATATCACGAGGAACCCTGGTATGCATCTGCTAGTTGTTTGATGTTCCTGATCCGTCATTCAAGCCCAGATTCGCTCTCCTGCAGACCTATTCAATAATTTAAGTTGCAAGAACCGACTGTGCGGTACAGTTTCAGCTCTCAGCAGTAAAATGAATCACCATGTGTTATACCGAAGCAAGCTTCCTTTCCTGGTGCAGTAGCAGCCGAAATCCTGGCGTTCCTCTATGTTCCTTGTCCAATCCGAGGATTCAGCTTCAGGTAACTCAATCACTAGTCATAACGGTGTATTTATGCCTCTCTCTTATTTTGTACCCTGCGGCGCAAGCTCAAATGTCCTATGATACTCCCCAAAACGCCCATTTCGGACAGAAGCATATCCCTTGAACGCTTTGTCTTCTTTCTGACATATTAACAGCGTCTTGTGACCTACTCCCTTTACTTCTTTAGTTATCTTCGCTTGCTTGAGGCCTGGGTCATACCCAAATAAACATGTATGCTCACATGCCTGCCTCAGATACTATGACAGTTTCTCGGAACCGTGTCGTGGTCCAGTCCCTTCTCAGTAAGAATCACGATGCTTCTTGTGTATTTCCGGAGTGCCAAGTGTTGCAGAATCAAGTTTTCGCACGTCTCACACGGGTTACCCTGAAAGAGTATTCAGAGATCCTAGTTCTTCTTTTCGTGGGATGTACCGATGATAGTATACATAGTCATCAGCGCGGCCCGCAGATAAGATCGCCACAAATACATCGTTAATGCTAGAATAAGCTGAGGGAATTCCCATTAATTATCATCAGGAATACAAACGGAGGCGACAAGAGTTCATGCTTACACGATTGGTGACCTTCGAACTTGACAATCGATATCTGATCGTGAGGTTTGTCCTCGATCGTTGATCATGGAAGGACGCCTCGTGCTCAGTTTGATCGCCCTCCTCGCTCTCTTTCTCGTCGCTCTTGCTGTCGAACCAACAGCATATCGATCGCTTTTCTTCTTTCCCACCGCCACCCTCGCCCTATACATCGTTTTCTTCACCACTACTAGCAATGCTCTGCTCGACAGTTCGATAGGCGGCTGGAGCACCACCATTGTCTTGTATGCATCGGACTACTTGGTCCTAACGACGGATGTGCAACGGGAACTGCGTAAATGTGACCAACAAGCGGGACGCATATCTAAGAAGTCCTTTCTGGCGCGCTTAAAATGGGCTGCAGCCCTCTGTTTCAGTCTCGGCTGGGCTCAGCCTGCAGCAGTATTACCACCCTGTACACGTCAGTCGGTGACCCAGCTTTGGCTGAAAGTTGGTCTATGTCTACTGCTGCTTGATGCCGGCAGTGCGTTGAACGGATTAAATCCTGCATTTGTCAACAGAGAGTCAATCACGTTGTATGGGGTCAAACGGCGTTTTCTTAGCCTACTGGGCTTCGGAACGGGGACTGTTTCAGTTCTGAATATCCAACACTGTTTGCTGTTCCTTGTGACTGGTGAGAGGGTTACATCGGCTTTATTTGGGAGACTGGCGGATGGCTATACGGTGCAAAGATTTTGGGGTACATTTTTCGTCGTCCCTATGCTCTCGTCCTCATTCTACGTTATCCTAGAAAGACCTGGCATCAATGCTTACGAAAAGTGCGCTGAAACTGGTTTTTTTGTTTCGTCGGCTGATTTTCCCCTGGCCGTAGTTCTTATTGTCGCATGCGCGCTTCTTAGCATATCGTGTGCTTCGTCTGAGACGCGGAAGCTATGCAGCCTTTTCCGTACAGCTTCATATTGCCTTTTTTATATCCGGCTTCTTGCATCAGCTCCAGGAATGTTCGGTCACCCGTCGGTGGGCGTATGGTAACAAGATTTCCTTTTGTTCCCAAGTTGGCGCAATGGCGTTGGAACAAACGGTTATTACACTGGGAAAATGTATGCACCTACTGTCTTGGGCCGGGGCATGGGCTACTGCTGGGTGTTGAGTTGGTTCATATTTATACTGCCTTCCTGGCTAGATCCTATGACGCGAGCAGCGATGTTTGTGGTGAACCCAAACAAGACTGTGACACCCTCAGGATGGAAACTGCTAACGGCCCAATAGTACTCCACGCCTACCCCCCAGTTCGTCTTAGCATATACAGTGCAATCTGATGGCATTCAAAACATAGAAAGACTCGTTATACCAGCGGTGAATTCAAGTATAGTCACGCAAACAAGTGTTAGAGAACAAGCACCCTCCCGCCGCAACTCCCCCGATGTATTCTTATTACTAGACAATTTGGAAATGTGGAAATGCATCTACTCTGAAAGAAAAGCAAAAAGACGAAAATAGAGCCAAAGAAGAGGATTAAGGATTCGAAGAACAGAGGGAAAAAAACTATTGATACAGTCGATATGGTATGGTAAGAATAATGATACAAGATGCAGATTGAAAACGCGAAAGACGAAAACAAGATGCGTAGGTCAAAATGTCGATGCGAACCAAGGAACAAACTGATAAAGGCGGTGGGTGTTGGAGTGGAGTGGCGGACGTGGCGGCTGCAGAGGCAGAGGCAGGTCGTCACTGGCTTGGTCGTCGATTTCGTGGTCCCCACCTTGATCTTCAGAGTCACTGCTATCGCTCTCGGACTGACTGTCAACCGGGCGACAGCGTGGATATCCCTCCGGATATCTGCGATCCTTTGGGGGTTCTCTGTTGAGATCAAACGGGGGTTCCGGCTTGAGATCGAGATGGCAGTCGGGCTCGTCTCGGGACTGATGCGGGTTTTTCGGGGGCTCCCGCTCGAGAATATATGTAGGCTCGGGTAGGACGGTGTTGTACCGGTGGTCCTGGGAGTCATACGAGCTTTTGGGGGTAGGCTTGAAAGGGCTGGGCGGCTGTGGATGCGGCTTCTGTGAACGGAGGAACCATCGCAAGAGCCGCGGGCAGCCACGCTGTCGGTCTTGTTGCCGGTCGCGCTGAACGTGTGATGGCTCGACGTCTGACGGCTCGTACGGTACACGGAAGGGCTGGTGGTGTTGCACGGGTGACTGATCGAACTGTTTGTACGGTTGCTCGCGTTGGAGCTGAGACGGCTCGTACTTAGCGTGTAGTTGCTCATACGGAGCGTGTAGTTCATACGGAGCGTGTAGCGGCTCGCACCGAGCTTGCGGCTGCTTGTACTGATCGTACGGGTAATCGTCGTGGTAGTCATACTGATAGTCGTAGTATGATTGTTCGTCAGGATCGCACCGCAGCGGCCCGTCTTGGCTAGCACGGCAGTCTTCTGTCTCCGGGACATACGACGAAACATAGATATGCGACCAAGTCAGTTGAGGAGCGAAAGACCAACAATCCAAGTTGTCACAAAACTCCTCGTGGTTCTGGACACATCGTCAATCAAAGCTGAATAACAAGTTGACGAAAAATGGACCTCCAGTTGGACCTCTTCATGTTCGTCGAACATTGTGCCTAGAGGTAAATCTTCTTGACAAGGAGTGGGTGGTGGTGAAGGGGAGCAGGGTGTAGAGCCAATGCTCGATTCATGCTCCAGGAAAAGGACGCCTTCAGGAAGCACCGTTCCTTGCGACGAGGGAAAGAATTCTTCTGCGGATATAGCCCAGCCTGCATCAGAGCAAGGAAATCTCCAGTTTCGAACTTCAGCCAAAGCCGCCTTCACGGCTTCCTCTCGCAGAACAAAGGTATCGTCTAGATTTTTTTTGTCATGTAGTTCAGGATGGAACCACATGACAATCTTCCAGATCGCCTCGTCTTCAAGTTGTGGATAGGTATCCCGGAAAAGCAGAACAAATGCCGGAACTTCAGAGACTTCAGGTATTGAGGGTAGTCTGTCCTTCAATTTCATGAATTGGAAATCACTGGCGAAGTACTGCTGAGACTCTTGTTCTTGTTCGATCGCAACTTCAAGATAACTCTCAGGTGAAGCCTTGCAAAAATAGAAGATAAGAATCTGAAAATGATCAAAACGAAGACAAGACATACACCCAACCTAGGGGAGTTGTCCTCGTGTGGTCTGATGGAGTCGGTCGTCAAGGATGCAGTGGCGGCGAGCTGATGAATCTGCTGGTCTTGCGATTGCGCTAGTTTCACCATCGTCAGAAACTGTTCTACCACCTGCACGGCCAATGCCTCGACATCCGACAGTTGGATGGAGAGCAATGTCTGCACTTCCCACAATTGTGGAAACTGCTGTAGCATATCATACACAAGTTGCGGGACCAGCTGATTAACATGTTGGATGTCCATGGATCCTCGAGCAAACTCTGTTACGTTGAGATTACTGACGACCGCCTGGGTGACCGCTTCAGCGAGATGCCGCTGCAGCTCTCCTAGAGACAGTTGCGTATGCGAAGGTTGCGGTGAAGTGGGCCGCGGAGGAGACTGGCAACTAGACGGCGGAGGTGGCATGATTGGTACGTGACATTGAGTCAATGACACAACTTGTACTTCTTCAGAGGAAAATTCATCGGACGATTTATTCAGAGGCGGGTGAAGATGCTCCTCCATCTCAGTGTCATATATAGGTACTTGGATGGCATCGTGGACGATGACAGAAGGAGTGGGCTGGGTGATAGGTGAGGAGCCGTTGGGTTGAGGGACGGCGGGTGCAGAAGCTGTGGGTGGCATTGGCTGAGAAAATGGGACGTCGTTGCCTGGAGTGGTCGTAGAATCGGGACGAGGTGTCCGGGACGTGTCTTGGAATTGAGATGATGAATTTTGGACTGGTTCTACTGGAGCGTAGAGGGGGACGAATTCCAACTCTTCGTCAAGCTCATCTTCCTCTTGAAGAATTTGGGCATCTAACATAGACAGTATCGTAGACAAGTCAGGTGGCGCCTCATGAGAGGGACTGTGTGATGCGTCCTCCGTCGTTTCCTCAGGCTCCCCGAATATCAGGGAATCCGGTGCTCGACCACGACGACTAGCAGAGGCATTGTTAGCATAACCTCAGATGAGGACGAAGTATAGGCACGCACTGGGAAGGACGAGGGGGATCCTGCGGAAGAAAAGGAATGCTATTTCGAATAAGCAACTCGGCTTCAGCGTCGTAGGTAGCCTTTCCCGGCGTTGTCGTTGACCATGTTGCCTCCTCGGGAGATGTGGTATCGAGGAAGGAATAATGTTCCTTGTTGAGAGTTCGAGGGACGGGTCTTAAGAAAACATACAGCATGAGCACAAAATAAGACCGGGAGTTGATTTGGGACTCACGTCTGTTGGAACATTGGGGAGACAGAGGCAGACACCAAACGTGGACCTCTCTAAGTAGTTTTTTGCAATGACGGTGCACGTAGAGAGCAGAAAGTCGCTGATGGGGAAGGATGCAACCGGGTCGTGTTGGTCAAAGGCTCGATGCATTATATATATTGGCCGGCCAAAGTCAAGTATTTGCAAGCAGTACAATAACGTCGGAGGTTGAATCCGTTTTTGGCCAGGTGATGGCAACCCACTTTCGGTGGCGCGACTGAGGGAAATGACAAAAAGAAGACCTTGCTAGCGGTCATTTTTCCTCAGTTATCTTCTGACGATAAAGTGTATGATTCTGCTTGACTTTCTATAGCACATACCGGTGATAACATACACGGAAGGCCTTAGATTGGCACCTTTACTTGGACAAAGCTAGGTCGGACCGGGGTAAGAAGCTGGACAAAACGGGCGCATGGACAAAGGAGAGTGTGAAGCAAGTGTTAGCCCAAATTGGATGACCAGGTACGCGAACAAGGCAAACACTGCTTCGACTGTCTGCGTTAGGCTCTTTGTTTTGAAAATTGTAGCGCAATTGAGAAATTGGTAGCGGAAGGACTGCTGGCGCGACACCCACCATCATTATTGTCTTTGGTGTAGTGAAATGCAATCTTTGAATTCGTGTACATGTGAACCTGTACTAGGCGGGAAGAGCCACCTGTTTCCCACCTTGAACCTCGAAAGGTGTCGTAGAAAGCAAAGATGTGGCTCAGCTTATAAACTAAGTCGCGGAGTATTACGTAACTGCAGATACTGAATACATGGTTCAAGGAAGAAGCTATCACCGAGAAAGGTTGTGATCTCTACTTGACAAACGTGTCGTAGCAACGTTTACAGCAAACCTTAATGGGCAGCCTTAAAATTTCATCTCATAAGACAAAGTCAAGACCTTAAAGCATGAATACAAAGGCAAGACAAGAATCAAAGTCACCTGAACTTTGAAGAATACGACGCTAATGACAGTTGAAGCATGCACGAGGTTCTTGTCAAAGCTGCAATCGGAGCTTACCGGGTGCTTACGCTAAGCGACACGATCATGTGATGATGTTGAACATAGCACATGTCACGTGCTTGCCACGAGGCTATCGCGCGGATTTCAACTTGCAGTGGCCTGCCTTTTTCCTTGTCCCATCATTTGGCGTTAGGCCTCCCTCAAGATTCAAGCTTCACGTCGCTCACGTCCATTCATGCAGGCATACAACAGGATACCAGCGCCACCACTCGCCGGACCGTCCAAGCGCTATCCTCTCAACGTCGTCAACAACTACGTTACCGGCCCGCCAGCTTCACCACCAAAACCCGCTGAGAAACAAAAACAGCCAGCATCACCTCCTTTGCCTCGCCAGAACAGTAAAACTGCGCCGCCATCACCACCAAAGGTCATTTCCGACAGCAAGAACAATAGGATATATCACCGATTGGACTTTTTGGGAGAGGTGAGCAAGCTATTTATCCCAATTTTCTCGCTTATGTATTCCTTCTTTGATAGGGTGGATTTGCTCGAGTATACGAAGTGAAAGATGTTCGAGGATCCAAATGGGCATGCAAGGTAGTCACCAAGAGTTCTCTCAAAACCAAGAAAGCGAAAACCAAGGTTGGCCATTCCGTTCATTCTGCTACCATTTCCGTTGAGTGAATTTAAATAGCTGTATGCCGAAATCAAAATCCACAGATCCCTCGAACATCCGAACATTGTCGCGTTTATAGACTGTTTCGAAGACGACGAAAACGTCTACATGACTCTTGAACTCTGCCTGGGTGGGTCCCTCATGGACCTCCTACGCAGACGCAGACGCTTCACTGAGCCTGAAACCCGGTTCTTCATGGTACAAATCCTCGGCGCTTGTCATTACATGCATACCCATCAGGTCATCCACCGGGACCTCAAACTCGGCAACATATTCCTAGACGCCAATATGAACATCAAAGTGGGCGATTTTGGTCTTGCCGCCCTCATCGAGAACGAAGGTGAACGTAAGAAGACGATATGTGGAACACCGAACTATATCGCACCAGAGGTCCTGTTCGACACCGCGAATGGTCATAGCTTCGAAGTCGACACATGGTCTACAGGCGTCATCCTGTACACTCTTGTCGTGGGACGTCCCCCTTTCCAGACAAAGGAAGTGAAAGGAATTTACAAGTGCGTTACTGCATGGTTACGTTTGTCTTGTTGTTAATGTTCCGCGTTTAGCCGCATCAAAGAGAATGACTACGATTTCCCTCCGGAACGTCCAGTGTCATCCGAGGCCAGAGACCTTATCACAAGCATCCTCGCGCCTGACCCACAGCTTCGCCCAACCGTCCACGAAATCGTCGCTCACCCCTTCTTCAGCGAGGGTACTTTCCCGCCTTATATCCCCATCTCTGCAAACGAGACCATCCCTACCTTCCAGCATATCAATCGTGCGTCAAGTGATGCCAACTATAGGCGTGTCAAGCGCAGGGCTCTTTTAGATGATGACCAAGTGACGTCCATCGCTCTTCCTAAATCGCAGGTCTCCACGACCTCCTCTGGCGCAATGAAGAGCGTTACTACGAGCATCGCTCAGCAGGAAAAAGAATTCCAAAAAGCTGTTCAGCCCGGCTCCCCCATTTCTGCCTTGCTAAGTTCTGCAAGGCAGCCGCTCTTGATGACTACTGCTGCCGGCAACGGTGCGAAGGAGTCGCCCTTGATGAGAAAGCTGCAAGCAGCCTCAAAACAAGCTTCGCCTCTTGGACCCCATAAAGGACGAGGTGTCGTTGGTGGTGCAGCTGGCAGAGGTTTGCAGGGTATTAGAGAGGAGGACGATGAGCAACTGCAGCGGGACAAGGCAAAGAGGAAGGAGGTCGAGGCCATGAAAACCCGGATTGTGGTTCAAATGGCTGAGCCCAAGGAGGAAGACACCGAGGACGAGAGGGAGAATATGCCACCTGTCAAGAATGAGGTGCGGAAGCGCAAGGACGCGGATGTCAGAGAGGACAGACTACAACGTAAGTTTCGCTATCCCCGTATATTTGATGCGCGAGCTCAATTCGTGTAGGAGACGGAGAAGTAAAACTGACTGGGCAAGAGCTAAAAACTAGGCTCACTGGCTTTGATGGTGCTGCCCATGTTCTCTCGCTTGCTTTTGATGCAAAGGAACGAGGGAAATTATTTCGTGACCCTAGAGAAGATCCACAGCTTCCTCTTCCTGAGGAACGTGTGTTCATCGTTTCCTGGGTAGATTACTGCAACAAGTATGGCATGGGCTATGCTCTAACCGATGGTAGCGTCGGCGTTCATTTCAATGACACAACAAGCCTTGTCCTGAGTGCTGACAAACGGTAGGCCGGTTTTGCGTCATCTAGGGATATGAGCTCATTCGTTATGAGGTAGGCACTTTGACTACTTGGCCGCAAGAAAGCAGGGGGTCATCTTTGTGAAAAAGTCATACACTGTTGACGATTATCCAGACGACTTGAAGAACAAGGTATATCTGCTCAAACATTTCGAGCGGTATATCATGGAACGTCTATATGGGGAGTATGAGTACACGTTTGAGGACGTGGACAAGACGAAGGGCATGGACTGGGTGCAGAAGTACCTGAGGATGAAACATGTCATCGTCTTCAAGATGAGTCACGATGTATTACAAGTTAGTTTCCCCGCACGCTACGCATTCTTCCTGTCACTGACGTATGTTCGGATTCAGTTCAACTTTTACGACCACTCGAAGATCATTCTATCTTCGCACGGACTACTGGTGACGCATATCGATAAACACTATAAGATGACGCGCTGGACGTTGAGCGATATCATGGCTACCGCGTTGAAGTCGGAGGCTGGCGATATCGACGAGGCGGAAGCAAAGTTCAACGGGAAGCTAGTCGACAAGTTGAGGTATTGCCGAGAGGTGCTGGTCAACATCAAGACGGCGAGTGGCGTGGATGAGGGTGTGAAGGAGACCCTGATGAAGAGAACATCTAAGATTTCGTTGCGGTGAGGAGAAATTGCCCATGACGATGCTAGGTCGTCAAAATCAACTCGGAATGGAAGTTGCACTTTTGTTTTTTTGCTATTTTTGACACACAGGTGTATGCATACCCTTCGGACAACGAATGTCTACATTTTTCTCATGATAACGCCTCAGATGCATTTACTTACGGAGTAGCATACACAGTATATTTATGAAGGCTTGAAGTAGTTCAGGCCTTGACAACGCTTGTATATCCATCGAAGACATAACATAATAAATGACCTTTACAGAACTTGCACCGACTACTTTTGCTTTAATACCGTACCATGCCAATGTTAATTCACGAAGTATTGCTTTATCTTGCTTCCTTCCCAAAAACACGACGTAATGAGATAGCCGGAGGGTACATCGAGAACTTGGCGGTTGCAGCGAGAGTGTGTCGAACGTATTTCGTCTTTGTTCCTTGTCATGGCTCACAGTCTGTTCATGCCAACGATTCTGGTCGGCCGCGTTGCAGCAGGGCATGCTCGCCCAGACGACTCCTGGAGCAAAAGCGCCAGGGCGTCGTCGCTTCAATTCCAAAATCACTCGTGTTCGCAGGATGACGGCCGAACGAGTGAATCTGGATGGAACACATCTCGGCGCATAAGACCGGACTTGGAGGAGGGCTTGGAGGAAAGTACAGTGTGTTAAGACTGGAGGGCGCTGAATGGCTTGACATCGGTCTGGAACAATGTACTATGCTATTTATTCAGGACCTTAGACCTGTAAGAGTAGTAGCAGTACACAGATCCACGAAGTCAGGCTAGGGGAATGGAAGATGCCGCTGTATCTCAGTTTATTCATGCGTTGACGCAGGCCAATTGGACCAATTATTAAAGACTCCAGTTCACGCATTACGACAACGTTATTCAGAATTGGCTAGCCACCATACATGAGGGCTAGCTCCCACCTCATTCATCCAAGCGACCGCAGACGAAATCCGAAACGTCAGTCCAAATCTTGCCCCAAACAATCTTGACCTTATCAGAGCGGTCAGAGTGAGTCGCTGCTATGAACATGATTGACACTCACCACTGATTCCGAGCGGTGCACATAGCACTTGCTGGGGATATAACCGACAGAACGACTCCCATGGTTCAGAGTCAGGAGGAAAAGGGGGGCACGCTACGTCGCATCGAGGTTACGAGCGGACGACGTTAAGGGTCAGCGTGCGAGGATGGTAGTCGACAGTGATCAAGGTGAGTCTGAGATTGGACCGGCGTCTTGTGCTATTTCGTACGAGCCCAGACGATGTCAGCCGTGCTATCTGCGGAATCCGGATTTAGTCAAGTCCACGAATCGTTAAAATGAAGAAAATATATACCAATAGAAATAAATGCAACTGCAGTTGCAAGCCTGAAGAGAATGCCAAATTTAAAGGTTCTATAGGTTCTTTACTACACTGTACGAACAGGAGTTGACTCTGTCGTTGATAACGAGTGTGTCTTGTTCTATGTTTGGGAGACAGTCAGTCGGAGATTGGCGAGAGAGACAGAAAAACTCACGAATACCCCCACACGTGTGTCAGACAAGATGAATACATGGAGTTCGCACAGGAACCACTGATGGTTGCGTTCCGACATGACCATCGTAAAAACACGGAGACTTTGAACTCCTCTTGTAGGTGAAATGCCTCGAACGAAGAAGCCAGAGAGAAACCAAAGGGAAATCCAACACTTCTACGAACACATCAGGAAACTCTAAAGGAATAAGGACAATGAAATGCGAACGCACCCGCCGTGCAATCCTCCTACAGGTTTCTTTTCAGGAATGCTGTCAACGTCTGTTCTGTTTTGTCAGGACCTCAACCAGACGCCATCTCGAGACCTAGAGAAATGTGTAAAGACCGGCGGAATAGAAGAATTGAACGAATGGTACACCGAGAAGTCACTCGACGTTGATTCTTCTTCATTACTGGAGCTCTGCCTTCGCCTTGTGGGGTCCAGGACATTGTGCGCTGGGTCAAAGCGCATATAGAAAGGTAGGATTTTGGGAGAGGTGTCACTGAATCCTAGGAAAGCTGGATGCCTTCGTATTACTCCCTCGAGGCCTTCGGCAACTATCGCTGGCACGGTCCGTCATCGTCGAACATATATGGTGGATTGTCCAGTAGCAAGTCATCCTTTTGCGACCAAAAGCGATACCTGAAGAGAGCTTTAGGAGGACGGAGATCGTGATTGCACGACGACGTACCGAGTTTTTTCTTCGCCGTCGGCATATCTGCTTCACTGTAAGGTTACCATTCAAAGCACAGACAATCAAGTACTCACAGGCGATGAGTACCGTTCGGAAGAATGGAGACACACGCGCCTTCATGCCAGTGCTGGGCGTGTTGATTTGTAAAGGGTTGATACACGTCAATTTTATCTCAAAAGAGGACAAGGTGTTACAATCTGTGTGCATGTGCGTCACTTGTTTGATTTCTGGTCGCTGTCTGACTATTTCCCATAGCTTCTTTGCCTGCCTTCCGACAGCAACAACGCAAGTTTTCATGACTCAAGCGTACAGTGGAACAGGGAGTGCAGACCACTTGCCTGCGTTTCTTATACCGCAATATTTCCTTATGTTTCTATCAATGACAGCTCTTTCGTTGATTATTTTGATATTCCTCTCTGTCATTTTTTGTAGAGAATACAGGTCGACTGTTATTGGACCGTTATGTCCTCGCGACTTTGACGATTGATGATAGAGGCCGCGGTGGATCGTGAACTTGTTAATGGCTAATTCGAAGTCCTGCCTAGACTAATGACCAGCGTTTGGACAGCCCTTCGGGGTTACCAAGCGGTCGTGGTCTCGTGTGGGTTTTAATACCTCGCATTGACGCTCTCACTATCGACACCCTCGTATGCGTCGTTATAGAAAGTCTTTTGCATAACTAGTGGTACGTGTGTTAAATATCCGCGATCTCTTTAACTTATATGTGATACGGCTTGCTGGCAATTAATAGCAACAATTCCTTAGGTAAGTAGCCGTTGTCGATCCTATTTCGCTACGCGGCACTAACCGCCAATCTCATAAGTGTTAACACTAAGCCCCTATCTGAGTCCCTGATTGGCCCCCCAACCCTCTCCTGATTCAGAAGCTAGACACTTGGGATGGTGCGGAGAAACAATCTCCAAGATCTCACAGCTCCACATCCTAACACCACTAAAAGGTGGCCTGTTTGCCCACACTCTTTTCCCTCACCAAACACTACTTAACTCTGCTCACTTATATCACTCTTCTCAACTCGTCTCAGTGCGTTTCTTTTTCGCTCTGAACTGCCTTTCTGTATTAATGTTTGTTTTCCCCTTTTTTTCAGTGGATCCATCCAAGCTCGCCATTGCCTTCGAGCCCATGGGCGACGACGCGGAGCTGCAGTCCTCCCCTACGTCCCGGTTGGTAGTGACAGAGAATCTATCTGAGGTCTACTACAAGGGCTTGCCCTCCAGACCACTCCTCATCGCTACAACTAATCCCAGCCCCTACGACTATCCAACTGGCCCCGAGGCCTACGCTGTCCTCAAAGAGCTTAGGGAGCTGGGTGATCACCCCCTCGCCAGTGTTTGGGACCATGGTTTGGCCGACCGCCTTCGCAGTGGCCTGAACACGATGTGTGTGAACTGGACTAGTATCGACGCAGTCCGAATGGTCAAAGAAGGACAGTCCTCCGGCCCAGCCATCGTCTGGATTGGCGTCGAGTTCGGGGCGCTCACCTTCAAGGAGGGCAGCGATGTCGCCTTCAGTTGCCTCTCGTTCATCAACAGTTACGGTTTCCGTGACTACCATGTTGAAATCAGGGAGTCTCGCGTTATGAGACAAGAGGGCAATAGGTTCTTTGATACTGTCTGGTGGTCCGACCCTACTTTCGCTGTTCGCGACCCATACACCGCAACACTCGGCATCCCGATCTCGACCAAGAATAAGCCTTTGGCCGAGGGAACTGGCGGCTTCTACCTCAGTGCCGGTGGCGACGACAAGGACATCTATCTCGTCACTGCCCGGCACGTTGTCCTCCCTGTCGACAAGAACGAGAACAGGGAATACCAGCACAGGAACAACAGCAGGGCACGTGAAGACGTGATCGTCCTTGGCGCCACCGGTTTCAACAAGAAGCTCGCCGCCATCGATGAGAAGATTCAGGACGAAGAGTTCACGATCATCTATTCCAGGAAAAGGATTGAGTTGGTTAAGGACAAGGATGACCGTGCATCCGTCATAGAGCATGAGAAGGTAGAGAACGATTTGCAGAGGGCGGAGACGAAGATGAAAGCATTCCGGGACTTTCGCCGGGAGATTGCCACTCACTGGAGGCCGGAGGAGAAGCGTGTCTTCGGGGAGCTTGCCTGGGCCCCTCCCATCACCTACTCCACTGAACCGGGGGAGTATACCCTGGACCTTGCCGTCATTAAGATCGACACCGGCAAGCTTGACGCCAAAAACTACTGTGGCAACACCATCAACATTGGTGACAAGTATAAGCACTGGGAATTCATGGAGAAGATCTATCAGCACCCCACCAGCTCCAAGTCCTTCGAATTCCCTGTTGATCGTCTTGTGACGCTTCAAGGACAGGTCCCTGAGACTGTCCTCGTGAATCTGCCTGTGCTCGATACCAACAGCGAGTCGTGCTTGGTTGTCTTCAAAAATGGTGCCAATACTGGGACCACCATTGGCAAGACAAACAATGTTTCATCATACACACGCATCTATGTTGCAGGCGAGTACCTGGAGTCGAGGGAGTGGCCAATCATTCCCACCGACAAGAACTCAGCCCCATTCTCCAGGAAAGGGGACTCTGGATCTTGTGTCGCTGACTCCTTTGGCCGCATCGGCGGCATCCTCACCAGTAGTTGTGGTGCCACTGATTACTCCGACTTGACTTATGTCACCCCCATATCCTTCATCATGAAGGTACTCCATGCTACAGAGTTCTTCAAGTATGCTCACCTCAACCCGGTCCTCACCTAGGAGGGCACCTGAAATTCATTTATGATGGCAATTTGTGTGCATGTGTGTCACTTGTTTGATTTCTGGTCCCTGTGTGACTATTTCCCATGGCTTCTTTTCCTGCTTTCCGACGGCGACGACGCAAGTTTTTGTGACTCAGGTGTACAGCGGAACAGGGAATGCAGACCACTTGCCTGTGTTTCTTATACCGCAATATTTCCTTATGTTTCTATCAATGACAGCTCTTTCTGCTTTCACCCTTGAGTTATTATTTTGATATTGCTCTCTGTCATTTTTTTGTAGAGAAAATACAGGTCGACCGTTATTGGACCGTTACGTCCTTGTGACTTTCACGATTGATGACAGAGGCCACGGTGGGTCGTGAACTTGTTAATGACTAATTCGAAGTCCTGCCTAGACTAATGATCTTGTCCTCACCACGTAGACATCCAACACTCCGCTGGAGAGACTCTTTATCGATGACCACGAACCGATGGTTCTGCCCTGCTTTGCATCTTTGCATTTCAAGAATAGTATGATTTCGGCGCAATCTGAAGGTTTATCACTGCATTTTTTTCTACGACACTCGGAGGTCTAGCGTGAGGAATACCAGGCAGAAAAGTAGATTCCAGGATTTTAGACCTATATTTCACCGTCTGAGGCTTCCTAGAGCATTTTTCCGAACGTCGTGGTAGAAACTTACATTGGGCGAGGTGATTTGATTGTAAGTTTCTATGTATTCCTGACTGGAAATTAACGCGCTTCTAGTGTATAAGGCTTGCGAGAATGCGTCGATTGTCCCATGGCTATTCGGTGACCCGTACATCTCACTTTCAATCTGGATGTAACATGACAAGTCGTGTCGGGCGGTCACAGAACAGATTTCCACAAGGGGGAGTTTGAGTTAGAGCACTTACAGTGAGTCAAATAATCCTTCATGTCGATATTCATCCATATCAACAGACTCCAGGGAATGAACCTCTTCGCAGCCGATGGAAACGTGCAGCGCAAGCATCGACATATCATGGGGCCGGCATTTAATAACAAGCTGTATCTGACACGCTTACTTACAAAAGGTGGCGTGATACTTTGCCCTCTCCCTTGTCCCCCACCAAACGACATCCAGTCGCCTCTCTCACCCAACTGTAACTACTGCTTACGAGTCAGTCCTTTAGTTTTTGCTATCTTTCCATACTTACACTATCGTTTTCCTCTCTCTTCTTTCTGTGATTACTAGGGATCCTCCCCTGCAACAACACGTGTGTGGCTAACGGCCGCGGACGTATTGGTGGCTTCCTCACCAGTAGGGCCGGCAAGACGAAGTCCTCGGACGTCATGCCAGAACGACACCGGGGACCCTTGCGAGGCGGTCGGAGGGTGAGAGGTCTCATTCCCTTTTCTTTTTGCTTCTGCTTACACGACGTCTTCTCCTTCTGTCCTATTTATCGGTATTGACGAATGCTTTGACTAGTAGACTTGTTATTTAGGTCTGTTTCATTTCCTTCATCTCTCCCACTATGTAACTAACGGCTTCAACGTAACACTTCTTTATCTATAGATTAATTATCGGTATAAACGGGTGCTTTAACTGGTCGACAGCTGTATGGATTCGTCTCTTTCTTTCTTATCTTTTTGTATAACTGACGAGCTTAGCACCTAGGCCCTAGTTCTTCAGGTTCGTCTTATTTCTTTCCTCTCCTCCCTTACGCAACTGACGGCTTAACATCCAGGTCACAGACGACATGATATGATTGGCTGAACTTCCAGACATGCTCATGACCTTTGAATGATGTCTGCTGAGCAGGCGCCGGCATTCGATTAATCTTGGTATGGCAATGTCTCGTTTTTTGCACAGAATACTGGCAACTTAACCTCCGCTCTGCCCTCTTAGGACTTATTCACTCCTACATGTCTATCCTACCATCTTATTTCTGCACCTTTTACTCTCCTTCGGAGCTGTGAGGCCGTTTCCTAGTCCCTTCTCTCCTGTGCTTGGACTTACCTGTGTTCCAGCTATGTTTTCTGCTGCGAACATCCCGGTAGACCTTCCGTCCCACGACACCATCGTCCAACTCTGCACCGTCGCTAGTTGCAGCTAGAACGGCGTCTGCATCGAGGTCGCAAGCAGCCCTTGATTTTGGGTAAAGTATGGCGGCGGTATCATCCCGGGTGAGGCCTGCACATAGAACCAGAATGCCCAGATTGTGGACGGCAACCCTGCGAGCGTCGTAGTTGCGCGGGCGGTGTCGCTGCATCGTCATGTAGTACGTCAAAGGTAGGACAGTCATAAGCCGCCAGTCGAACACGGGCAAATACGCAGAGGATGACATGGCAGTCGTTGCTGCAGCCGTTAAGCAGCTCACTAGCATCCGAGTGCCTGCGGACACCGCCCATCGGCCATGACTTCTTTCTTGCGTGCAAGTAGACGTGCGAATACCCCACAGTCGAGCATCTCTAGGATTAGATAAACAGGGTATACTTTCCACTTTTAATACTTTGCATTGACACTCTTATTATCGACAGCATGGGAAAGGTCTTTGCTATTGACTTCTAAATAACATACGAGGGCGTGCGGTACGGGTTATATGACACCCTCGTACGTTATTTGGCTAATAGCGTCGTTATAGAAAGTCTTTGCATAACTAGAGGTACGTGTGTTAAAGATCCGCGATCTCTTTAACTTATATGTGATACGGGTAGCTATAGGCTTGCTGGCAATTAATAGCAACAATTCCTTAGGTAAGTAGCCGTTGTCGATTCTATTTCGCTACGCAGCACTAACCACCAATCTCATAAGTGTTAACATTAAGCCCCTATCTGGCCGTTGTACATCAGGATATCCCATCTTTTGACAAAGTTGGAGCAGGAGAGGTTGCTACCCGAATTTAGACCGACACCCTTGAGCTTACCCTTCCTCTTTACGACTTTTCTGAATGCTTTCCAGACTTAGTACAGCAGGGGATGTCAGAGAAGGTTGCGCTCGTAGTGTCCTTCTTGTCGGCCTTCGCTACCGGTTTCATATTGGCCTATATCCGGCGTCTCGTACTTGCTTTGACGTCTTTGCTGCCTTGTATTGGTATCACCGGAGCGGTCATGAACAAGGCCATATCCAAATATATGCAGTACGTTCATTTAGCACTGTGCTGCATTATCCAACAGACATAAACCTTCTGCTAGGCTTTCCCTGAAGCACACTGCAGATGCTGGCAATATCGCCGAGGAAGTCATCTCTACCGTTCGAACTGCGCAAGCCTTTGGCACGCAGCGAATTCTGTCGAGCTTGTACGATCAGCACGTTGCCAAGTCGAAGGTGGTCGACGTCAAGTCTGCAGTATGGCTCGGTGGAAGTCTTTCGGTCTTCTTTTTCTGCATCTACTCGTCGTATGCCTTGGGTGCGTACAAAAACCTTGTCCTTACCCATTTCACTTACTTTCTATTAGCCTTTTCATTCGGTACAACCCTTATTTTGCGCGGAGATGGTGCGTTCGCATCAGTGAAAAACTCTAAATATCATTATTAATATTTTGGTCCATAGCCAATGCTGTTACTGTCATCAACGTCTTCATGGCGATCCTAATTGGTTCTTTCTCGTTGGCATTGCTAGCACCCGAAATGCAAGGTATGTGCCATGCACCATGCATTCACTAGACATGTGTGCTTACCCGTGTCGATATAATCTAGCCATCACTCATGGACGAGGTGCAGCCGCGAAACTTTACGCAACAATCGACCGTGTACCAGATATAGATTCTGCCGACCTTAGCGGGGAAAAGCCCGAAACCGTTTACGGTGAAGTTACGCTCGAGGACATTCATTTTAATTATCCTTCGCGTCCCAACATCGCCGTTGTCAAAGGGATCAACCTCACCTTCCGAGCTGGTAAAATCGCTGCTCTTGTCAGTGCCTCAGGATCTGGCAAGTCGACAGTAATTTTTCTGATCGAACGATTCTATGATCCCTTATCTGGTGTCAAATTGGATGGATGGGAATTGAAGTCTCTCAATGTCCGGTGGCTACGTTGGCAGATCGGGCTCGTGTCGCAAGAGCCAACACCGTTTGCAACCACGATTAGAGGCAACGTTGAGCATGGACTTATTGGAACTAAGTATGAGAACGCCTCCGAGGAGAAGTTCGCGTTGGTCAAGGAAGCATGTGTCAAGTCCAACGCTGATGGCTTCATAACTAAGCTACCTCTGGACTATGATATTATGGTTGGCGAACGAGGATTACTGCTCCGTGGTGGTCAGAAGCAGCGTGTCGCCATTGTGTCAGACCCACGCATTCTTATTCTCTATGAGGCAACCAGTGCTCTGGATACTTGGAGTGAGGGAATCGTGCAGGACGCCCTCGACAAAGCCTCGGCTGGTAAGTCAAAAAAATTTCCGTCTATTTTCAATGGAGAATGAATTGCTTTCAGGACGTACCACCTCGACGAGGGTGTCGACTGCCTGCTGAGTCTCTTAACTTATATGTAATACGGGTAGCTATAGGCTTTCCGGCAACTAGTTAAGTAGCCGTTGTCGATCCTATTAGAAGCTGCAGAGTTCTCAGATGTGGACAGGCCCTCGGATTAACAAACTCGCCTTTGTCCTCTCCTCTCCTAATTCAGAAGTTAAACACGAGGCAACCCATGCTTGGGATGGCGCGAAGAAACAATCTCCAAGATCTCAGAGCTTCACCACTAGAAGGTGGCCTGTTTTGCGCACACTCTTTTCCCTCACCAAACGCTACTTGACTCTGCTCACTCATATCACTCTTCTCAACTCGTCTCCATTTCTCAGGTTTTCTAAACACAACATCTGCCACCAGTGCGTTTCCTTTTCGCTCTTTCACTCTCTTCCCGTACTAACGTTTGTTTGCCCTTTTTTTCAGTGGACCCATCCAAGCGCGCCATTGCCTTCGAGCCCATGAGCGACGACGCAGAGCTGCATCCCTCCTCTACGCCCTGGTTCACAGTGACTGAGGGTTTATCTAAGGTCTACTACAAGGGCTTGCCCTCCGAACCGCTCCTTATCGCTACAACTAATCCCAGCCCCTTCAAAGATCCAGCTGGCCCCGAGGCCTACGCTGTCCTCAAAGAGCTTAGGGAGCTGGGTGATCACCCCCTCGCCAGTGCTTGGGACCACGGTTTGGCCGACCACCTTCGCTGTAGCCTGAACACGATGTGCGTGGACTGGACTAGTATCGACGCGCTCCGAATAGTTGAAAAAGGACAGTCCTCCGGCCCAGCCATCGTCTGGATTGGTGTCGAGTTCGGGGCGCTCACCTTCCAGAAAGGCAGGGACGTCGCCTTCAATTGCCGGGCACTTATTGACTCTTACGGTTTCCGCAACTGCCACGTCGAAATCAGGGAGTCTCGCGTTATGGGACAAGGTGGCAATAGGTTCTTTGATCCTGTCGCCTTCTCCGACCCTACTTTCATTGCTCGCGACCCATACACTGCGACACTCGGCATCCCGATTTCGACCAAGAATAGACCTTGGATCGAGGGAACTGGCGGCTTCTACCTCAGTGCTGGTGGCGACGACAAGGACATCTACCTTGTCACTGCCCGGCACGTCGTCCTTCCTGTTGACAACAACAACAACAACACGGAATACCAGCGCAGGAACAACAGCAGGCCACGTGAAAACGTGATCGTCCTTGGCGCCGCCAGTTTCAAAGAGAAGCTCGCCGCCATCGACAAGAAGATTGAGGGCGAAGAGTCCATAACGATCGATGCCAGGAGAAGGATTGCGTTGGTTAAGGACAAGGACGACCGCGCATCCGTCACAGAACGCGAGGAGGCAGAGGACGATTTGCAGAAGGCAGAGACGAGTATGAAGGCACTCCGGGACTTTCGCCGGGAGATTGCCACTCACTGGAGGCCGGAGGAGAAGCGTATCTTCGGGGAGCTTGCCTGGGCCCCTCCCATCGTCTGCTCCACCAACCCAGGCGAATTTACCCTGGACCTCGCTGTCATTAAGATCGACGCCGGCAAGCTTGATGCCAACAATTACTGCGGCAACACCATCAACATTGGCGACAAGTACACGCACGACAAATTCATGGAGAAGGTCTATCTGCACCCCGCCAGCTCCACGTCCTTCAAATACCCTGACAGCCGTCTCGGACACTCAGAGGCCAGGTCCCCGAGACTGTCCTCACGAATCCATCCATGCGCGATGCCAACACTGAATCATGCTTGGTCGTCTTCAAAAACGGCATCAGTACTGGGATCACGCTTGGCAAGGCGAACAATGTCTCATCGTACACGCGCAGCTATTTCAATCAGTATCAGGAGTCAAGGGAGTGGCCGATCATTCCCACCGACAAGAACTCAGGCCCGTTCTCCAGGAAAGGGGACTCTGGATCTTGCGTCGCCGATGCCTTCGGCCGCATCGGTGGCATCCTCACTGGTGGTACTGGTGCCACCGATTCTTCCGATGTAACTTATGTCACCCCCATATCCTTCATCATGAAGGTACTCCACAGGACAAAAATTTTCAAGTATGCCCATCTCAACCCGATCCTTGCCTAGGAGGGTACCCAAGTGATTGGGTTCGTCTCATTTCATTTCATTCCTCTTCCCTTAGCATGCTGACGGCCTTTTTTCACTGTCCAGGTTGTTGGTGACTTCATGGGCACTTCCCTCGTGCAGGCCTTCAGTCTCATCGGGGTCGTGGTCGACGCGAGTATTGACTAGTTTTTGTTATGGTGGCCTCTCTCGTACTTTGGACAATCATATGTATAGCTCGTGCATCATTCATCCTTTGCATTTTTTAGTAACAAATGATAACTTGTGATTTTGTTTTTTCTCACTTGCGTGAGATGAACTTAAGTGCAATATCTAGGTAAAATGGACTTGGAATACTTGTCATGTAGTGCCGAAAACCACGAGGGACTCAGTCTCTCGCGGTTGGGGCTTTGAGCTTAGAGAGACCGTTAGGAGAAGTGGCTGCGGGGGCATCGGGATGATTGGCATCGAGTAAGACATGGACGTAAATTCTACATTTCGGTGCATCGCAATCGAACTCAAACTCCAGGCCATGATGATGATTGTCTGGTACCGTATCTTCACTCAACGCCAAGAAAAATAATAATGCACTGGTGTAAAGTTCTCCCATTCCTACGGAACGTTGTATAGAATCAGGTCAGTCAAGAAGCGGTGCAGTAGTGATATGTCTCGATCGTGATTGAAGCCGAGGAGCCACAAACCGTAAAGAAAAGATGTCTCTAACATAATCCTGTGGTTTTTTTTCTTCTTGTTTGGATTTCGAGGGGCGGTCGAAAGCACCTAGTACTTGGAAAGAAGGGCCTTTCTATTTCCCATTACTTCTAAGTAGTGGAGACAAGCGCAAAGTAGGCCGCTTCAGATTAACTGAGGCCTGCAAGGTGGTCGTGGGTTCGCTGGCCTGATAACCAAGTCAATGCGATCACGAACGGCCTTGCAGTATATACTGACCACTTTGCTTTTCTCTATCCATCCGCGAACCACGTCCGGCGTGAACTCATCGGCGAGCACCTTCTTCTCCCTGTTTGTGGTCCAAGCAAGTCCACTGCATACAATACCAATATTAGGACCAAACGATGAGTCAGGGTGCTTCTTTCCAGTCGGGCTAGGATATCCATGGTTGACTACAGTGCCACTGACGTTATCGGTGGGAGTAGTGGCTGCCATGGTCGCACTGCATCACTCAGTTCGTTAAACAGTTCGCTGAGACGCAAAATCAGGAACAGCCTCGAAGACGAAAATTGACCACTAAGGGACATGAGGCTTTTCACCAGCGGGTTGGCGATGTGCTCTTCATGACGCCACCATGGGCTGATAACACCAAGGTTAACATTACTACTATCTTGCGGAAGTAGCAGAAGTACGTCAATCGCATCCAGTCCACTCGCTCGTACTTGGCACAGATATTGTGACCACATGCAGCTTGGAGAATGGCGAAGCGAGCTGCAGAAGGCTAACAAAGCGACAGCCATGGACTTCCTCCTTCATTTGTGCGAGACGTACAATATCATATCGTTGGGTACTAGCTGGCAGTACTTCCGGCAGTACAAACATAACGTAAGTCCATGAGCATGCCTGAATCGGACTTGATGCTTACCTTTGCAGTCTATGCCAGCACGGTCGGGCGGCACATGGATCTCAATGACAGTAAGAAAGTCTACAAGGTACTCCGCTCCTCCGGTCACGAGGAACAGTCTACTCACGCCTTGTCCAGTTCCACAAGAACGTCTTAATCCACAATTTTGGCCTCCAGGCACCTAACGTGTGCAGAAAGACTATCACTGACTCTGGTGACCTGCTAGCACTCCTATCCTTCAACATCGCCTATGACTACCGCGTCTTCCCTAGCGAACGCCAGCGGCTCAACGTCGCAGCTTGCTATTTCATCCTAGCCTATACGGGATGCCAGCCAGCCGAGGTTGTCGATGGCGACAAGAATAGACCTTGGGACGGATCCTGGGAGGAGCTCTTCAGCTCTAAAGCCATCCTGCCGTTACTCCAGAAACCCCCGGAAGACGATGCATACGCCAAGGAGCTCACGAAGTTGCTGGAACGCGAGACGACCCATCGTAGCTGCCCTAGGGCTCTCTGCTACGAAGATATCCAGTTAATGGTAGTCCACCATCTGGAAACCGGACTAGACACTTTGACCATGCCGAAGACTAATCCTGTCTTGCAGGACTATCTTCTTCTTCATGCAGACTAAAAGGCTGATCTTCTGCCTTGTCACTCTTGTCGCCAGCATTGCGATCCTGGACGACGCCTTCGATTTTCCGACCCTGACCAGCGTCGAGGCCGTCTTCAGAGCCAGAAACTGTAGTCCGGTCACATGCACACCCCTCCGATGGAAGAAGGAGTGGCTGAAGCGGCCCGTGTTCCAGTGGTGCGATGGCGACCCAGACTCCCCTCTTCTATACTGTACCCTTCACGACTATATAGGCAACCAGTCGCTCGACATGGGCTACGAGAAGCACATCGGCCCCAAGGACTGGCGGAGGAATGTGGGTAACACAGTTAACGGCTATGCGTCCGGCGCCATGCGCCACCAGATTATGCGCCACAACTCCCACTTAAAGGTTTTCCAGGACGCCTACCTCAACTCCTTCGTCCAGTACGACGTGCTGAATGCAGTGCTGAATGAGCCCCTACAGACGAAACTGCTCAGCATGTTGTCGCATGTCGGCCACATGCGCGACCCATGCGCTAGTAGCGACATGGTCCCCGACGAGGTGTGGACTAGCCTGCCACCAGATCTAGAAATCGTGGAGCTCGAGAAGAGGAGAGAGGCATTGAAGGGTGGTATGTTCGGCACCAAGGGCTGTCTGTACGAAAGAGAGGTCCAGCTGCTGACTGCCACGAGCGTGTCCATGCAAGCCAGGAGGAAGAAGGCAGTCAAGTTGTTATACCGGAAGTACTATTTCCACAACCATCCTATCTGGGACCTGTTACGGCAGGCCAACGGTGAAGCACCCACCGAGCACGACAAACCCGAGATAGACCTCCAGCTCGCTGATCGCGCCGCCCTGGCTGAGCTTCTCTATGATCAACCCGATGGCCTGAGCCCCGAGAAGCTCCACTGGCATTGCATCATGGTCGGCACGCACATGGTCAGGCTGGGCCAGTTGAAAGAGCGGATCAGGCCCGACATCGAGCACAAGAAGGTGATGCCCAACAGTGCAGCGCGGCACGAGCCCTGCCGCGACGTATCTATCATTCAAGAGCTTCACCGCCGGCCCCACTTCTCAAGCAGAACCAGAAGGCCCTGTTCCCGAGTTCGAAGATGGCTCCACCCAGGGAGCTGCGTCTGCATCCTCGTCCTCTTCTTGGCCCTATGCTCACGTCGATGCCTTCTAACTCGGATGGCAGCCTCACGTTGAGTCTTGCTCTCAGCGACGACTCCGCCATCATGCAAATCTCTGCTTCCAGCCTCGACTATGGCCTCTTGCAGTGACTCGACCCTTCTCGAGGGTTTGCAGCATACGTCCCTCCCTATCCAGCTCCACACTGCGCCCCTCCTCATTCAGCTCTGCAGTACACCCCCAGTCTCGCGATGGAGTTGGGATATCCTTCTCTTCCTCAGGGACTCGCTCTCTCCACGGACCAATCAACCAGCCGCCCTACGACAAATCGAGCATTTGCCCTCAACACTTCTATTGCTCCGAATCCCGCTCTCACAGCACAGATCTCTGTCTCCATCCCGACCTCCACCCAGAGCTTCAGCGTTGATATCAATACCTATGGTCTGCCTCTACACAATGAGTACGCCAACTCTTCAGCGCTGGGTGGGATGGTATGAGCGGGAGCAGGGGCAGCAGCCATGAGCTACGACCTGGGCCTGAGCCAGACAGTGTGGTGGGTGCCACAACAACTTCAGGTGCAGACGTATGCAGTAGAGAGCTGGAGAACGGGGGTGACTCATGTATATAGGCACCAGGGCGCACAGCTTGCACCGAACTGGAGTGCTCCTCTTGTTTATTCAGCAGGTCTCATGATGCCTACCTTTCGGCCTTGAATTTCGGTTCATCAAGTCTTGCAAGATACATACTTATAGCATTGTTGCGGTAAGCCTACTAGAGAATGTCTGATATGTTCGAATGTCTTGCTTGGGCATGCATATGATATCGTTCGGTAAAGGAGACGCATTGCTAAAGGTAGTCTCAGGTTGGGCTGCGCTCATGGGGAGCTCAAAGAGCTGGTTCAATGACATGCCTTGACTCGTCTTGCAAGACTATTACATCATGAGCAACCGTGTTTGACGTAGACCTGTTCCAGAATGCTGACAGCGTCGACGAAGCTGCCAGCCACTGCAAGCACACAGGCTCTACGATTGATCAGGCTTGTGTGCATTGGTCGAAGCAGAGGTGACTTAGGAGAAGCGGCTCAGGAGAGGTGGCAATCGACACCCTTAAACATCTCCTTGAGAACTAGGTGCAGACGGAAGTAGCTGAAACAGTGTCGGTGTGAACGAAGGTTTATTATTCTGTAGCTATTGTTGCTCACCATGTAGTCCAATTCCTGAGACGTGTGGCAGTTGTTCATGCCACGCCATGGAATGTTGACCAGCACAAAAGAGAACAATGCAGCGAGACATTCCAAACATCATGTGTAGAAAGCGTAGCACAGGCTCTCATCTTCATACATGTCTGGAATATCAAAGCCAAATAGTCCTCCAGGGACTCCAGCTCAATTTCGCCAGTAGGTTCAACGTATAATGGCAGTATCATAAGAAATAAAGTCATAGCTCGAAGAACGAAGTTGAAGCACGAAGTCAAATGAGCAATGTTATAAAGTGGGGTCTCAACGATGAAACTATAAGGGCAAGTCACGATGATGAAGTAGTAAGAGGGAGGCAGTTAGTGAGAAGTCATATAATCGAAGTCCCCAACCGCGAGAGACTGAGTCCCTCGCAGTTTTCGGCACTACATGACAAGTATTCCAAGTCCACTTTACCTAGATATCGCACTTAAGTTCATCTCACGCAAGTGAGGAAAAACAAAATCACAAGTTATCATTTGTTACTAAAAAATGCAAAGGATGAATGATGCACGAGCTATACATATGATTGTCCAAAGTACGAGAGAGGCCACCATAACAAAAACCAGTCAATACTCGCGTCGACCACGACCCCGATGAGACTGAAGGCCTGCACGAGGGAAGTGCCCATGAAGTCACCAACAACCTGGACAGTGAAAAAAGGCCGTCAGCGTGCTAAGGGAAGAGGAATGAAATGAAATGAGACGAACCCAATCACTTGGGTACCCTCCTAGGCAAGGATCGGGTTGAGATGGGCATACTTGAAAATTTTTGTCCTGTGGAGTACCTTCATGATGAAGGATATGGGGGTGACATAAGTCAAGTCGGAGTAGTCGGTGGCACCACAACTACTGGTGAGGATGCCGCCGATGCGGCCAAAGGAGTCAGCGACACAAGATCCAGAGTCCCCTTTCCTGGAGAATGGGGCTGAGTTCTTGTCGGTGGGAATGATTGGCCACTCCCTCGACTCCAGGTACTCGCCTGCAACATAGATGCGTGTGTATGATGAAACATTGTTTGTCTTGCCAATGGTGGTCCCAGTATTGGCGCCATTTTTGAAGACAACCAAGCATGGCTCGCTGTTGGTATCAAGCACAGGCAGATTCACGAGGACAGTCTCAGGGACCTGTCCTTGAAGCGTCACAAGACGATCAACAGGGAATTCGAAGGACTTGGAGCTGGTGGGGTGCTGATAGATCTTCTCCATGAATTCCCAGTGCTTATACTTGTCACCAATGTTGATGGTGTTGCCATGGTAATTGTCAGCATCAAGCTTGCCGGCATTGATCTTAATGACGGCAAGGTCCAGGGTATACTCCCCCGGTTCAGTGGAGTAGGTGATGGGAGGGGCCCAGGCAAGCTCCCCGAAGACACGCTTCTCCTCCGGCCTCCAGTGAGTGGCAATCTCCCGGCGAAAGTCCCGGAGTGCTTTCATCTTCGTCTCCGCCCTCTGCAAATTTTTCTCTGCCTTCTCGTGCTCTATGATGGATGTGTGGTCGTCCTTGTCCTTAACCAACTCAATCCTTTCCCTGGAATACGTGATCATGAACTCTTCGTACCTAATCTTCTTGTCGATGGTGGCAAGCTTCTTGTTGAAACCGGTGGTGCCAAGGATGGTCACGTCTTCATGTGCCCTGCTGTTGTTCCTGTGCTGGTATTCCCTGTTCTCGCTCTTGTCGACAGGGAGGACAACGTGCCGGGCAGTGACGAGATAGATGTCCTTGTCGTCGCCACCGGCACTGAGGTAGAAGCCGCCAGTTCCCTCGGCCAAAGGCTTATTCTTGGTCGAGATCGGGATGCCGAGTGTTGCGGTGTATGGGTCGCGAACAGCGAAAGTAGGGTCGGACCACCGGACAGTATCAAAGAACCTATTGCCCTCTTGTCTCATAACGCGAGACTCCCTGATTTCAACATGGTAGTCACGGAAACCGTAACTGTTGATGAACGAGAGGCAATTGAAGGCGACATCGCTGCCCTCCTTGAAGGTGAGCGCCCCGAACTCGACGCCAATCCAGACGATGGCTGGGCCGGAGGACTGTCCTTCTTTGACCATTCGGACTGCGTCGATACTAGTCCAGTTCACACACATCGTGTTCAGGCCACTGCGAAGGCGGTCGGCCAAACCATGGTCCCAAACACTGGCGAGGGGGTGATCACCCAGCTCCCTAAGCTCTTTGAGGACAGCGTAGGCCTCGGGGCCAGTTGGATAGTCGTAGGGGCTGGGATTAGTTGTAGCGATGAGGAGTGGTCTGGAGGGCAAGCCCTTGTAGTAGACCTCAGATAGATTCTCTGTCACTACCAACCGGGACGTAGGGGAGGACTGCAGCTCCGCGTCGTCGCCCATGGGCTCGAAGGCAATGGCGAGCTTGGATGAGTCCACTGAAAAAAAGGGGAAAACAAACATTAATACAGAAAGGCAGTTCAGAGCGAAAAAGAAACGCACTGAGACGAGTTGAGAAGAGTGATATGAGTGAGCAGAGTTAAGTAGTGTTTGGTGAGGGAAAAGAGTGTGGGCAAACAGGCCACCTTTTAGTGATGTTAGGATGTGGAGCTGTGAGATCTTGGAGATTGTTTCTCCGCACCATCCCAAGTGTCTAGCTTCTGAATCAGGAGAGGGTCGGGGGGAGCCAAGGGGCTCTGGCTCACTTCCGACGGCGCCGACTCCCCAAAATAGATACATTGTCGCAGCCCCTGGGACAATCGACGACATTAATCTAGGCAGGACTTCGAATTACTTATTAACAAGTTCACGATCCACAGGACGTAAGGGTCCAATAACGGCCGACCTGTATTTTCTCTACAAAAAAATGACAGAGAGCAATATCAAAATAATAACTCAAGGGTAAAAGCAGAAAGAGCTGTCATTGATAAAAACATAAGGAAATATTGCGGTATAAGACACACAAGCAAGTGGTCCGCACTCCCTGTTCCACTGTACACCTGAGTCACAAAAACTTGTGTCATCGCTGTCAGAAGGCAGGAAAAGAAGCTATGGGAATAGTCAGACAGCAACCAGAAATCAAACAAGTGATGCACATGCACACAAATTGCAACATCTTGTCGTCTTTTGAGATAAAATTTACGTGCATCAACTCTTTACAAATCAACACGCCCAGCACTGGCATCGCAACCATGCGACCGACAGCTAGCGAGAGAATTGCTCCCAGTAGCATACTCGACCAATGAGGCACCTTCGAACGCGCCAGCGCGGAACCCAGACATATCAAACCAAGAGGAACAGAGGTCACACCCATGAATTCTGCAAAATGGATGATAAACGTCAAAGGTGGGTCACCGTCGGGCGCTGGGCGCATATAATAGCCGTCGACTTGGACGAAAAGGTCCTTGACGGGAGTGATGAGAGCAATGGCGAAGGATACAATGATAGCTAGCGACACCGGCATGCAAATGGACTCGACAGCCGTACGCAGCGTAGGTAAAACAGTCTTCCATCGACGCAATATAGGATGACGACTTAGTATACCTCCTTATTTCTTTGTCATCTAATGGAACTCTTCTTCGCTTCTCGCACACAAGAATCTGGTGAGTAGGGATTGTCTTCTGATGCGACAAGGGCTAATGACAATTGGTGAGTCAGGGTTAATGAAAATTCTCTCAAATCTTTTGTTCCATAATATATATTGGCCTCACACGGAGATGATAATTATTCTCTCTGTGCTTTCCCGGTTTCTGATTTTCACCTTATTCCAGGTGCTACCGCAAAGCCTAATGTCCCAGGACTGACTGACGCGGTGTCTAATGTTATTCATCCCGTGGACCAGATTTTCTGTACACCGTTGCATTCGCCTCCGAACTTGGGGGGTTAACTCTCTTGTCTAATCACCACGACGCTGCATTGAACTATTATCTGGATTCTGCTTCTACGCTTTGAGCCAAATTGGCCTGCCCAAGTTCCGGGAAGACGTCCCACGCGGTTTCGGTACCGACTTTTCCAGACTTTCCTTCACCCACCGTCGTGTAACCTCACCCCAATACCAACTCCAGAGGACATCCATTTTTCCCGGTAGAATCGAACATGAAAGGGGGTTTAACCGGTCACCCTTCTCGGCTAGCGGACCTTATCTTCCTCAAAATGTACCGCATTCCTTAATCAGTGCCCGCCCTTACGTCGTACCACCAATGTACGTCTAGAATACTTGATGTTTTTACTGACATTTCCTGCAGGCAGGGCCGATACGTGAAGGCATAAACTCGACGGCTATCCGTAAGTATTCCCAATTCGTCTACTTATCTGACTCTTAAAGCTTAAATACGGGGGAGGTCTTGCAGTCCATTGTACGATTCTGTCACGTCCTTTTTTCCAGTCTCAGATCCACGATGCTTTCAGCAGGACAGCTCATATGGGTCTCCTTCCGACCTCTGTTACGATTGTCAGTCAGACTTTGATCGCTTGCTCCCGGCTGAATCTCTGCTGACACTTCGACCATTCCCACAGGGTCTTGAGCATACTTGGAGGCTTCGTTATCACCAAAGCGGATATCTTCCCGGCGGTCGCTGCAAGAGGCGCAGGACGAGTCGCTCTGGTACACGATATTCGTGTTGTTAGTATTCATGTGTGCTGATGGTCAACGCAGAATATTGCAATGCCTTGCCTCATGTTTTCGAAAATGGTACCCGCGTTTTCCTCAAGTAATATCAGCGTCTTAGGTGTGCTCAGTCGCAACTGGATCTCACCGCTCATATTCTACCGTGAAACTCACTCCGGTTTTTGTGCTTGACTCTGTCACACTCTAGGATCTCTGTTTGCAATTGGCGCTACCTATCAATTTATGGGCACCGGCTCGTACTGGGTGATCGAACAGTTCTTCTGGGTTCCACATCGCTTCCGCTATGGAATGCTTGCTGCTGGTGGATAGGGAAATTATGGTGACATCCACGAGGCAGTCTTTCTTTCTCGTGTCATGGCACTATCTCTTACTCCAACATCTTAGCGATGGCTGTCATCATGAGCATCACTGGAGCAGCACCATTCAACGGCGAGGCAGACCAAGACCTTGCTGTAGCTTATGTTTCGGCATTAATCCTGTATTATATGATCAGTAAATCTCTCATAAAGACTTCTCCATTTGACAATACCTCTCTAGTTGACTTTCTTTCCGCTGGGGGAAACAGGCTAATTGCATTGGACTTCAAGGGACCGGAGGTCGAACCTGAAGAAGTCCAAGAAAGCATTCGCACAGGATGAAAATTTCTTTTTCGTGGTTGGCCGAAGGCTTTAAAGCAGAAAGTGTTACACCGTGTAGCTGATCCTAAAAAGACGGATTGCGAAAATTAGAACGAAAAGGCTTCGGCCGATGAACCTGTCGACCTTCAACACCGTCCCGGATTACGTGTTCCATACCATGAAGACGCGACAATTGTGGTACCGTCAGAAGGTGCTCAACCCATATGTCGTACTAAACCTGAGTCGATAGTCACGACCCACGGGGAACATAAGGACGGTTCAACCTCCTACGCCTCGGCTCCATTTAATCCCAGTCGTCATCCTATATTGCGTCGATGGAAGACTGTTTTACCTACGCTGCGTACGGCTGTCGAGTCCATTTGCATGCCGGTGTCGCTAGCTATCATTGTATCCTTCGCCATTGCTCTCATCACTCCCGTCAAGGACCTTTTCGTCCAAGTCGACGGCTATTATATGCGCCCAGCGCCCGACGGTGACCCACCTTTGACGTTTATCATCCATTTTGCAGAGTTCATGGGTGCGACCTCTGTTCCTCTTGGTTCGATATATCTGGGTTCTGCGCTGGCGCGTTCGAAGGTACCTCATTGGTCGAGTATGCTACTGGGAGCAATTCTCTCTCTAGCTGTCGGTCGCATGGTTGCGATGGACAAAGGTATACGGACCTGCGAGGGACGAGGCAACAGCATGTTCGATATTCTTTTTCCCATCTGTCTCTGCTTTGGTGAAAAGATGATATTGACCGCTGCGCGTCGTCCTCAGATCAGAGCGTATGGGCAAAAAAAGCAACTGGCCTACTTACTTGAATAATTCTGGGAAGCTGTCAATATATCCCAAATCCGCATTGAATATGCCGGACATGACGACAGGCCTGCTCCATGAGGTGAGAGTGGCATCGTTTGCAGTAAAAACGTAGGGCAAGAAGGGGCCGTAGCTGCCGGTCAAGAGGGAAACGACGATATTCAGTTCTCCGGTACTGGTGTCTTTAAAGAATTCCTTGGGAGGGGAAGGTTAGCGAGTATAATGTAGCTGGTGGTGTGCCATACTGGTGCCCAAGTGTTGTTCGGAGTTATTAATGAAGAAACGGTGGAGATCGTGGCAACGAGTGTCCAGGTGAGAAGGTCAGGACTGCTCTGTGGATGTAAATGAGGGTCAGCGGTTTTGTAGATTCAACATGCAATGATAAGCACTGACCGCGATAGCAAAGTTTGTTCCGGTCCAATCAGTTGTGTCTCGATAAAGGGAGGTATCAGAGTATAATTACATCATAGACAGTCAGCTCACAAGCAATGTAATATTTTCCGCTAGACGACAGGGTCAGTCTATCGGTATACGTAAACAGGAGGACCGGTACTGACTTTGTGTGAAGAATAACGCTCGGGTCTCGAATAAGGCCGGTAGCCGGGGTATAAGCTGGTCCTTTCAAAAGGTTGAAATTGGTGCCATCGTCTGAGGTGTATACATAGAGATTGGATTCGGACACGCTTGTAAAAACGGTGAAGACGTAAGTGGAGTCGACAGCTCGTTTGAATGCCTCTGGAGAGAGTTCAGGCCGATGAGCTCTACCGGAGGGGATGCCACGAAGCCAAAGAGCACCGATCCGAGTAAGGGGAGGAGTATTCCCATCGTAATCATGGTTCGCATCTGCTGCTGCCGTCGGAGTCATGTTTAATAGGACCTCCGGGCGGTCTTCGATGTCATGGAAAATTTTTCGTCTTTTCTTCTACTTGGTGCTGTCGTTCTGATGTCCTCGGGGACCATATGCTAGTGCATGTGCATGGTGTTCAGGTGTTCTTCAGGCAGGTCAGTCGCACCTTTACCATTGTTTGTCTTGGATAACCGTTGATCCGTGAATGTAGCAGGAAAACCACGCAAAGGTATCAGCTAGTTTCTTCCCGGAGCAGTCAGGTAAATAAAGATAATTTGGCTTCAAGTTAGAAAATATAGTGCTGATTCTGTTTGCGTGTTCTTGTTCGCGCTAAGGACCAGAACAGCGGGCAATTCCCGGATGCAAGGAATTTGAAACACGGGTTTATCTGCATTTTCAGAATGGGGCATAGATCAATAAAGCTGAACCAGTTAGTATTATTATAAAATTTTGCTGAATTGATGGCGTGATGACTTACTGATGAAAAGAGAACAAAACGATCGAGAAGAATTGCACGCATTTAGAAAAATTTCCAGTGCAGCCAACTGGTCTGGAGTCAGTGTGTGAAACGAGTGAAGCAATAAATATTAATCATCGTTTCAGTTGAAAATGGCGGAGATTGCAAAGCGGGAACATGTATTAGAATATTCTTCAGCCATGGCTTTCTTCATTATGCTCCTCAGAAAATCGTCAGCCCAAAGTTTGGTACAGGGGTACCTTTGTTACAAAGCCAATTCGGCGATCAGCAATAGGTCAGCGGTTGATTTATCAGAATGACCAGGCTAGATCTAAAATATTTGGACAGACATGTCAGCTTTCCAGCTTTTCTCTGTCATTGGAATATTACCATTGACCTATAAAGCTGTAATGTGTATCAAAAGACTGTGGCATCAGCCTCCCTCCTGAACCATTCAAATACCTTTGAATGTCATCTATGCAAGAGACAATGACCTTACCTTCAGTGGCACCAAAATTGCCTTTGTTCTTGTCTTCAATGTGTATGACAAAGACCAAATGCCACTTGCCCTCAGAAATACAAAGCCAGTCCATGTCATTGCAATTTCCTTGTCCTCTTTCTTTCCTATCTCACACATAGAGCTTGATAGTCATTGACTTTGAGCAGTTTTTGCAGGACAACATTGCTCCACAAGAATGTGTGATTATTGGCTGTTGGATCAGTCAGATCTCATATACTCTTTCACAAGGCAACTGTTTTCTGCCTCACACTCCAGAGAATATTGCTGCAGCAGACTTTGGCTTGTATCCTTGCCTGCTGATTGCAGATCATGACTTCAGTTTATGTCAAGCTTCTCATACCTCTCTGCTTTCTAGAAACAGTACTCCATCCTTTGTGGACACTAGCTATACCATGTTGACTTCTAGTGCACAACCTGACTCTGCATCTGTGCCCAGCCCAGTGCCTCTGTAGAATTCTCCTCTGGTGACATCTACAGCACCATCAGAATCCTTGCTTCTGCTCTTTACATTTGCTTAAGTCCAGCAGATTATCTCACAACTTACACAACAAGTCACATCTGCATTACCCATGCAACCCCTCTCATCCCCTGCTGTAATCCCTCAGTTCATTCCTGCTGTGACACCTTCACATAAGTTCTTTCTTGAATGCTTTCTGTGGTCATCCAGATTATGGTCTTCAGATATTGGACAGTTCTCATCACTATGCTAATCACTTGATTTTACTGTCATTGCAGTATAAGTGGAATACCATCTTATTATACCACATTGAGTATTATCAGCACCAGTATCATGAGATGGAAAATGATGATATCACTGGCTGGAGACTGGCTAGCCAGAAATTAATTACAAATTATCTGGCTACACATGTCCATGCACCCACCTCCTCATTATCTGACAGAAAAGCTGTCAGATCTAAGCAATCTGAGCAGCATTGTTTTGTATAAAATGAGGGGAAATGCTCTAGAGGTTCCTCCTGTGACTGCAAATATGTGTGTAAATATTGTGACTCTACTGATCATTCAGAAAAAGTTTGTGCCAAAGAAAAGAGGAAGAAGAAAGCCTGAGAAACTAGCAGGGTGAGAAGGACTCACTTTCAACATAGTGCTGCTCACTCCAGCCAGCAGTCACTTTTCTTAGTACCTTCATCATTGGATAATTTATCTTTAGCTCCTCCTTTCATTCCTTTGCTCTCTTATATAGCATTGTTTTCTCCACTGCATTCTCCTCCTCTTTATTCTAACACCAACTCATGCTGCAATGATCTTTTCTATCATTCTTTCTTGCTTTCTATTTCTTTCTCTCTTTCTTATAAAGCATGGGAGCATTATTTATAGGATTATCCTAATCATGCTTTTGTACATACCATCCTCCACATAATTCAATATGATGCTTCCATTGGGTTTGAAGATGATGAGCATATTCAACCTTATTGCAATCTGTCCTCAGCATTTGAGTACCAGCAATTTGTCAATGACTCACTTGGTGACCTGATAGCCAGAGGTATGCTCTCTGGGCCTTTTTCATCTCCTTCTATGGAGAACTTTCACTGTTCTCTACTTAAAGTTGTTATTTGCAAGTTGTTATGATTTTTCTATTTTTTTAACTTGATTAACCCCTATTTATGCTTAGTCAGAGCATTTAGATCAGCACTTAGGATCATGGGAGAGGCTTAGTCATCACAACAAGCCAATCAGTCATTGTTCTCTAATATAGTAATAAACTTTTGATGATGCACAATGGCTTTTTGTAAATAGTAATAATACTCAAGGATAATGAGTATAAGGATCTGGATCAGTACAATAAGAAGTAGTATATTTATCTCCACCAATAAGTAGTATATAAGTAGACTAGCTCTCACTGGTATAACTCTAGCTTCAAGCTAAAGTTTATTTATATCACTTCACTCTTGAGCTTTCTTGTAAAGGCCTTAAAGCATATTGGTCAACAGAGCACAACAAGTAAACTCTAGTATGACTGTACAAATACAATACAGTGCTAGTTTATCATATGTTCTGATCACATGTGACTTAAGTCTAACAATTAGCTTAAAGCTTCTGCTTTCCTTTTCTTATATACAATAAGTGCAAAGAAAACCAAATATCACTCATATAGACTACTACCCCTAATCTTACTGATGATTTTTTTAAACTTCTAGCTTCCATTATTAGAATGCTACTTGGACTTCTCACTATCATCTAGCTTTGTTGAGGATGCCAATTAATAACTGATTGAATAGTCAGATACTATCAAGTATTTCAGCAAATATAGCAAATCCTTTGCAATATCATGCCTGACTTCTTCTTCTATGATATCTCTCCCTCTATCTGAGTTTCCTTCTAGCCTCAGATTGGAGCCATACTAGAAGCTCAGCCTAGTGGCTCAAGTACATAGGATAATCAAGAAGAAATGAGACACACCTACCCTCTTTAAAGAACTATTAGCAGAAACAGCAACAATCATCTCATGAGTTTTCAGAACTCATGGATTCTGCTGCCAGTCCCAAACTATGAGAACAAAGATCTCTCTGACAACTTTTTCAATGATGAGCCCTCTCTCAACACTTTCACTGTCCCAAGAGAGTCTAGAGTTAGAGATCACACTCAGAACTCTCTTGATGCCTCTCAGGTGGCTTCAAGACCTTGAAGTGTTTCATCAAACTCAAAGCATGACTCACTCTATACTATGCTAGTAGGAAGCCCCATCTCATCAGTCCACACTGACTATGGTAGTCATAAGGCCACTGATCTCTGATCAAACAATAAGAAGCTGCATGAGCTCTGGGAGAAGAGTCTCATAGCCAGAATCAACTCAAGCAGAAGGCTTTGCACTCAGCTTGATACAAGAGGGAGCCTCCAACATCATAGCTCAGAAAGACAAAGTCACAATAATAGCACTGCTGCTCAGGAGGCCACTGTAGAAGTAGCTAACAGAGCTTTTGCTCAGTATGAAGAAGAAAGATATGACTGATAGTAGTGATAAGAACAATGCTGCCAGAAAGCTGCCACTTGAAGATCCACTTTTTCAACTTGATATAGTCTTAAAACTCTAGACTGTTAGTGACCAACTATAATAAACAAGACTAAACTTAAGGCTGTGCTTCATATTCAGGCAATCAGCATAAGAGAGCCTTATCAGTGAGTTAGAGCTTGACAATCAAGTCAGGTGATGCTGAGAGTTCAATCAGAAGAGTATTGAGAGAATAAACTTTAGTCTGAAGCTGGGGCTTAAGGCTACAGCTGAGCTACCTTATATATAAAATAAGTGAGTCTAATAATATGTAACAATAGTGCAGTGTAAGACCTATAGTTGTACCAGAGGTGTCTGATATTTGTGTGTCACAGTAAGAAATATATGTAGCATTTGGTATTTGTATGACAGTCATCTATGAAACAAGAAATAAAGAGTAATGTTGGTATATTATACTGCAGAGTGCTGTTGTTGAATAACAACAGCATGGGAATAGCATGGAAAGCATATGCTGTGAAGATCATGAAGGTGTGAAATGGTCATGATCATAACAATGCCCCTCAGTTAAGGCAGTCATCCCAACTGCTTACTTGCTGTGTAGATTGATGTTGGTCTTCCAGTCATGGTCATGATTCAGAGGGAACTCCTGGTCATAAAAGTGGTCATTTACCTTGGAATCAGTGTCTTTTCACTGGTAAAGCTTCTTCTTCTCTATCAGAAAGCATCACAGCATATAGCAGCATGGAACATATCATTTATAGTCCCACTTATTGAAACACCTCTTGAGGGCACAGAGAATTTGTTCATTCCTGTCTAGGTAGTCCTGGATCAGCTCCTTGCAATGCTCAAGGTCTTTGACCCTGAGCCACTCATTCTTCTTGTTCAGTATACTCCTTCACTTGACAAAGTACTCTGTCTTCAGCAGTTCTCTCCTGTGGCAGATGATTCAGTCATTGAGTATATGCTTGACTTTCTGTTCATATTAGCTGTTAATCAAGTCAGATGGCAGGGGCAGGGGTTCTTCCTGGTTAGAGAAGGCAGGTGGATGATAACAGGTCAGAAGAGACTCATTGAAGACATTATAGATCTTCTATGTGGGTGGAAGACCA